TGTACCTTAGTAGAATACATCTGATGAGCCAAGCTATACGTTTGCAGTATACAAGGGCAGATTGAGGAAACTAAGTGTGCGAAACTTAGTTTATTTTGGAACTTGGATTTTTGGGAAACTTTGATGCAACTAAGTGTGTGAAACTTAGTTTATTTATCGCACTGGAAGTAAGGGAGATCTACAAGACTGGACAAAACTTCGACAGGGTGAAGCTATCCCCAGCGCAAAGCATTAGACGTATTGTCCAGCCTTCATAGACTGAGAGGAAATGCTGACATAACTTGTGTTTGAGAAACTTAAGCTATTTGGATCATCAAGGAACTTAGACGATTTACAACATTATTGGACTTAGTCAGTATTTGGTGAAACATTATTTTGGACTTTGTTATTTCTGGAGATAGAAATATTTAACTTAGAATATTTTAACATCAGTATAACTTAGTATGAAATTAACTTAGTCAATATTTGGTGAAATATTATTTTGGACTTTGTTGTTTTTTTTGGAAAGAGAAATATTGAACTTAGAATATTTCAATATCAGTATCACTTAACATTAAATTAACTTAGTCATTTTAGAGGACAAATATTTTCACATGTTATATTTTTGCATATGTCGTTGTGTGCATGCTATATTTGTAGGTAGCCTTATTATTTAGTTGTGAAGAAAGCAGGCTACATGGACTTAGCAGTTGATGCCGTGTATTAGACGTCCTTGGACTTGGTAGATTGAAGATTGTGATAGTTTGACTTATACATCTACAGAGAAGAGGTTCTGGGACTTAGCAGTTTATTCAACGAGATATTTTGACTTTGATGATTTTGGGTCATTGAAGTTAGAATATACATCTACAGAGAGGACGTTCCAGGACTTAGCAGATTATCCAGCGAGATATTTTGACTTTGATGATTTTGTGTCATTGAAGTTAGAATATACATCTACATTGAGGAGGATCCAAGTGATAGCCGTTCACAGAGCTGATAGTTTGACTTAGATTATTTCACATAATCAAAGTTGAATTATACTACAACACAGAAAGAAGGATCCAGGAGATAGTCGATTGCAGAGCCTATAGTTTGACTTAGATTATTTCACATAATCAAAGTTGAATTATACTACAACACATTGAGGAGGATCCAGGACTTAGGAGTTTACACAACTTGATAGTTTGACTTAGATTATTTCACATAATCAAAGTTGAATTATACTACAACACATTGAGGAGGATCCAGGACTTAGGAGTTTACACAACTTGATAGTTTGACTTAGATTATTTCACATAATCAAAGTTGAATTATACTACAACACATTGAGGAGGATCCAGGACTTAGGAGTTTACACAACTTGATAGTTTGACTTAGATTATTTCACATAATCAAAGTTGAATTATACTACAACACATTGAGGAGGATCCAGGACTTAGGAGTTTACACAACTGATAGTTTGACTTGGATTATTTTACATAATCAAAGTTGAATTATACTACAACACAGAGAGGAGGATCCAGGAGATAGCAGTTTACAGAGCAATAGTTTGACTTAGATTATTTCACATAATCAAAGTTGAATTATAATACAACACAGTGAAGAGGATCAAGGAGATAGCCATTTACCGAGCTGATAGTTGACTTGATGATTTCACATTATCAAAGCTGAATTATACTACAATACAGAGAAGAGGATCCAGGAGATTTACATTTACGGAGTAATACCTTGACTTAGATGATATTACATCCTCAAAGTTGAATTACACTACAACTCAGAGAAGAGGATCCAGGAGATAGCCATTTACCGAGCTGATAGTTGACTTGATGATTTCACATCATCAAATTTGAATCATACTACACTACATAGAGGAGGATCCAGGAGATTACTATTTCAGGTTCAAGTTACAAGTACAATACAAGACGTACAAGTATTACAACATATATGAACTTTTAATATTGGAGATACAACAGTGGTATATAGTGATCATCTACTTTAGTTTATATGGACTCTGGATATTGTGTTCTTAGTGATTATTATTAGCTTATACGGACTCTAGATATTGCTTTATTAGTGATAAATATTAGCTTATATGGACTTTTGAGTTGTGAGTTTTGAGAGAGATAATAATATCGTAGCATTTTAACCTTCATACTTGACATTTAATGTACATCTTTATTTGGGCTTATAAACGCCACAATATACTGTTTTATATTTATATTTAATTGTATATGTCTGTTTAATTCTTTAGGGACAATCGCACATTTAACGTGTGCCGTGTAACTCACCAAGTAAACACCGTTTACTAAACAGTGGGCCTATTATAAGCCACGCTACCACGTATATCCACAAAAATAGGCCAAACTGTTACAATATGTTTCTGAGAAACATACACTTTTGAAAAAATTAAGAACAAAATCAAGCTCAATTTGGGAAATTTCACTACAGATGAATGTCTCATATTAACAAAAAATAAACCAATTTTTCTAATGATAAAAATGTTGTACAAAACATAACAAATTATAAAGAATTCATTTTCTCTGAACAAAAGGAATTAATATTAAATTATTGTTTCGGAATTAAATTAATAAAAAATGTGAATGATAGATATTTACAGACCAGAAATTGAATTGTATATGATAATATTTGAATTATTAACATCCTGTGAATAGAATAATGACTTAGAACAATGGGATTATGCCAGGCTAGATGAGGTTTAGCTATAGGGGCACATTCATCTTGTACATGTATAAAATGCAAATAGAATACACTAATTTTAAGATCAAAGGAGGACATAAATTTGTCACTAAGACAAGTGTCTCAGCTTGACTCTTGAATCGGTTTATAGTGAAACCCTCTGACGTTGTAGGCCAAAGGTTCATTTTTAAGACCTTGAAACATAAAAAACGAGAAAAGAAACTTTGGCTCCCTTTTTGAAGTGGGCAAGCCAGAAAATGGTTGTCGAAGCCAAAATGAATCAAGATGCTCGAAAAAATTATCAGGCATTTGTTAGGAGGGTTCGAACAAGTTCTGTAGGAGATGAACTTGATGTTGATGATACACTGGAAGGTAAAATTAAATCAGTTGTAGTGTTTGTGAAAACAATGTCATATCAGATTTGATTAATATGTGATCTAAATTCATGATAGATATATTTAACTCAATTTTTGGGCTCAATATGTTAGGATAGTATAGGTTTTACCTAAAACTAAACCAATGTAATTTTGTTCTATTTGACAAGGGTCTGTTTTGTATTTTTCAAATGTTGCTCTCTGTGCTTTCTCTCAAGGAGTGGCTAGATTTTATTCTGTTATAAAAAGAATGTATATTGGAATGCCGTGATATAAGGAGGAAATGTTAAAAGATGTTAGATTGTCATTGAAGTGAATGTTACATGTATTAGAGCCATGTTGAACAAAAGTGAGTAGCCCTGGTAAGGTAGGTTAAAAAGTTGACATTGCACAAGTATTTCAGTTTTGAAGTGTTTAAAAGCGCACAATAAGATAAGGTACAAGTGCTGTATATATGGAATTTATTTAAAAGTTTTCACTGCATGCATTTTTGTGATAAAATAGTCCAAAGTGCAATTCACACCTTGAGCAAAAGTAAAGTTTGACTCCACTGACAGAATATGCAAGGAGAGTTTAACATATATTTGGGTGCAAATGTTGAAGAATGTAAATGTAGCTTTAGGAATATCTGAAGTGATAAGTCATTTACATTCAGTAAAATACTCATCAGTTTGTTATCGTATCATTTATCAAAATATCAAAACTGAAATGAAAGAATGTGATTGGTCAGATTCAACCTGTGAATTGATGTCTCGATATATCACTCATTTTCTACCCTCTCACTATGATGTATATGAATGCAATTTTCATAAGGGTTGAAGTCTTGTTACTAATTTATAACGTGATGGTGTGGTCCAATAAGTGAAATATCACTCATCAACATTGGTTACATGTATTTCTCTATTATATGCATTTAGTCTTATTATTAATATAAATCACAATTATTTGTGAGCCTTAAAGTCCCCGTCTTAAGTTTGAAATTTTTTTTTATCATTCATTTACTATTTGTCAGGACTTAAAAAGTGATTTTAGAGATTTTTGAACAAAAAAAAAATTTTGAAAAAAAAGTTGTGAGCATTTCATTTCTCAAATATTCAAATTTCCCGCCATTTTTCAAAAAAAGTTGAAATTTCTTTATCATCAAATATTTCTTAATGCATTTCAAAAAAGATTATCTTTTTAACACCAATGCAAAGATTGAACAAATGACACCCTATTTCAATAACAAAATGCCATATTTAATGGGCCACTTCAATGTTTTAGCATATCAAAAATATTTTGAAACATTAGTGATGTCACTAAGGTACCAAAAACTTTTTGAAAAATATTGAAATTTTTTTTTCGATGTCAATCTTTTCTAAATATGCTAGACTTTCATAAAAAAAACAATGTTGATTGTCTAACCTGGTTAAAAGGAAGAATAAATTATGTTTTAGATATCATTGTACCATTGGTTTCTATGAGAACTAAAATTTTGAAATGCATTTTTCTCAGAACCATTTTCATGCACTGATAAGTTCATTTCTCGCTTGTTTATCAACCGATTTTCTTAATTTTTTCGGCAAAAAACATGGGAGGATGAATGCTATGAATTGGTATGAATTGTGGCTAATTAGAAGATATGAGTGACCTCTAAAAATTGGTTTTAAATAAATTCACAAATTTTGGAACAAAAAGTCTATCAAAAACCACTTTTTGAAATTAAAAAAAAAAGTTTCACATATCACACTTTGATAACATTGGGTTAGACTACAATATAAGCCAAAGTGGTTTAAACTTTACATGGGGCCTTTAAGAACCAAGTTTTACCATGTGCTTCCAAGAATATAATAATTTCCATGATCTTTATTGTATTGTCCTGCATCCTGCATTGTTGTGCTATTGGTGAACTATTGTAACCTCCTAAAAGATCCACCATAATTTAATGAATTTGTCATCTATTTTCAGGAGAACCAATAAATATAGGTCACCTAGGTAACAGGACATCTGCATCACAGAAATCATGGTCTGAACGCATACAGGCTGTAGATGATCTAGACGGCAATTCCGTCCCTAAACCACGTAGCAAATCCCAATCTGCCCCTACCCCCACTTCTCAAACTCCACCCACAGTGCCTACCCAGCAGGGTCAAAAGAACGAGATGTCGGATGACGATGACAATGTGAGTAAACATTCCATTGCTAACATGAATGCCACAAGGCGCATGTTTGAAAAGATGAGTGTCTCCAAGCAAATAGATATGAGTAAGGTACCAAAGAGGAGCATATCAAGCGGTGATTATGTGCCCAATTACCTACGCCAAGACAGCAACACAACAGTCCCACAAAACAACGACAAAGAACTGAAAATCGCTCAAGAGAATCAGGATAGACTTAAATATGAGAGAGAAGCTGCCAAAAATGAACTAGCCAAGAATGAGCTTGTGATTATAGCACCAGAGAAAAGGGATAAGCAGAAGGAAATTGAGACCTATATAGAGCTGACTGAGGCTGATAGAGGACAGGAGTTGCGTCAACATGAGAGTTTGATTGACAGGGAGATTCGAGCACAGTTAGAGAGAGAACAAGAGATGAAGAGACAAGGCACCATCCCTAGTACCACCCAAGGGCGTAATAAGGTGAGAATAAAGTTAAAGTGTGAATTGTTTATTTCCATATCACTTTCATTTTCTAAATATTCAGTAACCAGTTGATAATTTCATATTAATAAGTTTCACATGCTGCATGTATTTACTATAGGATGAGAAAAATGTTTAAATGTTGTAGTAACATGGGTAACATGAATTTGAATAAAACTTTTATTTGGGTTTTCAACTTCTGTTATACACTTTTGTTTGCATTGAGTATGTACATAAAAAGATCAAAGTTCTTCGGGACAATCAGTAATTCATTCTTTATTTTGTTTGTTTCGAACTTGAAACTAAATGCATTTAATTTGAAGTAGGACCAATAAACTATTTATCGTTGCATGGTATCATGGTAACCTTCAAAATTCATGTTTCCTTTAGTTTGAAAGACAACTAGGTTGTTCTAGATAGATTGCCAGACTGCTGTGTTCAACTTCCTCATGGATGTTCCCTGGATGAGGAAATATCTGATGATTTCAATTAGGGGAACGAACTCATTTGTGATGCACAAGATTAACATGTGATAATGTACTTTAGTTAAAGGTTTTGGGTATAAATCAGGGTGTATAATTTACCAAGTTTAGTTTCAACATGTTAATGATCAATTCTACATGTAGGACAACCATTTGAGTGGTCTGGTAGTAGTTTATTTGGTTTGCTTTGAGGGTGTTTAAATACCATAAATGCACCTACAAACTGTGAGTGACTCATATCGGTCAGAATAACTTACCAAATATAAATTTATTTTACCTAAAAGTCGCAATAATTTTAATCAGTTAGTGTTTGAGTGGTGAATAAAACACTATATTTGGATATCATTAAAGGTTGCTTGGAACAACAGTTCATTCTCACAGTGATTCAAATATTAGGACTTATTTTACTTATATAAAACAAATGGATATTTAGAAGCGTTACACATCAGGTAAGTGAGAAGTTCTTGTTTAACCCTCTCTTTGGGCAATCAACGCTTGACTTGCCTACATGATAGAAAAATTGAATGAAATTCCTCAAATTAGGTTCATAGAAGTTAAAATAGGAATATTTATAAATTCATCAGATGAAATAAAAAGAAATTCAGACATTTCCAATGTGGTAGCATTTAATGTATATGAACTGTAGCTTGAAGATTGTTTAAAAACCGACTGGAGGCATCCCTTTGTCTTTATCCTTCCAAAGTGACCAAATGGCAGATAAGAGGGGCTCTGGCATACCAGAACGGACTGGAAGTTCTTCAAATATTTTTCCCTTTTTACCCCAATTTCTATGCTTGCATACCCTTTCGTTCCACTTCATTTCTTACTTAAATGAGAGCTTCTGGTTGAGAAAGGGTCAGCGTGGTAGTTTGGAATGATTAATTACCCGGTCTGTCACAGGTACCAATCTTTGGGGCAGGGCTGCTAAACTGTAATATAGTCTATACTAGGCAGAGGGTCGTTTATATCTAGACTGCGAGCAGGGTAATGCTTGCAATTATATTTCAAGAGATCTGTCATTTCATAATGTCTTTCACATATAGAGTGTAGCACTGTGACATTCAGCTAGCTTCTGAGTGGCAGTGAACGAATAACACCTGTTACCCAAGCACCATTCAGACATATATAATTGTATGTAATCTAGCCAAATTGGTGCCATCATCTAAAATAATGAAGTCATTTTCCTATGCTATTTTCTACATGGAATTTGACTTATGGCCCCTGTTGGATTTTAACATTGAATGTTATGACATTTACTGTTCTTTCCCCTGGGCGTATTCAGATACTTCTAGAACAACTTAACGAAAATCTCTCAAAGTATATGGAAGTATCTGAAGTTATTGCGTTATTAATACTCTAGGCAATGGGATAGGATGAAATAAGTGGACATCAAAGGATAATTATCTGTTTGATCATGGTCTGAAGATTGTCTGAAAGTGTCTCCAGGATTAGGAAGTATCTATAGTTGTACATGTGGAGCTTCATGAAGTTTGAGATAAGATTGAAAATGAACTGAGTATGATGAGGAATATGACTCAAAGTAAATGAACTTACAATAGTGTGGTCTGAGGTCTGTGATGGTATCATAGTTATCTCAAGTACAGTTACTGTAACAGTGAATCATACATTTATATTTTGGACTTTTATGCCATAAAGGTATGAAATATTATGTAAAGTTAGCATCTATGAAAAAACTTAATGACTGCATTTACATCAGTATACTAATTAAAGCTCTATTTTTTAGCAAAACAATTAGTTTTTTGGAAGTCATCTGCGCTAACACCCCAGTCACATTTGTCGCACGGCGGCCGCAAGTCGACCGCAGAACAATTAAATCGGTGAATTTCTGCGGCGAGTGTAGAAAAACTACGCTCGCCTTGCGGCCTCCGTACGGCGTATGCAGATTTTTACAGGCCGCAGGGAAGGCGTAGAAATTATAACTTGGAGTTATAATATTTGTTCATTTCTGAGGTCCGCGTAGAAATCAACTGGCTCAACAAGATTGAATCATTATTTGTCAATATTTCACGATCACTTTTCATTTGATATTACATCCTAGCACTTTGAATAACATTTATAATTGTCCTGATGTAAATAAAATGAAAAAAACTATTATTTATCAATAGAAATTTAAAATTCACCGTGCGGCTGCCTTGGGAAATGTGACTACAAAAGTATGAGAGCGCAGAAATTCTGCGGCGAGCGTAGAAAAGCTACTGGCCGCAGAAATGATAGACCGCAAGGTCACCGTAGGAAATGTGACTGGGGTGTAACTGGCCAATTTTATGACATAATCAGACTCATTTTTTGTTTATTGTTCAGAATTAGTTGGGGAAATACAAAATAGTATGAAATTAGCTGATAATTATATGAAAGAGAGCCTAGGTTCCTTATATATGAACCAACCATTAGATACAAGGATTAGGATTTTGAAAACTCAGAAGATGTATATGCTGCATCAAGTATTTATGACTGGTAAGCTGAATACTTAGCTATGGGTAGCTTAGGAATGTATGGGGATTGATATCCCTTTTACTTATTTATTTATCAATTATCATCATTAGTTACATTTACAAAATTATCTTCAATCGCCAAATACATGCATGGCATTATAGAAGACATTGATGCCCTTTTGAATATAATATAAGGAGCAATGTTAACAGTAGCTTTGGGGTTGTGGGGGGGGGGTGCTTGGCGTGGGAAACAGTTTATAGAGATAAAACATGTTACAGGAGGGAAAATCCCTGTACTCAAGATTTTTAAAATATACAGTAAATGATATGAATATGAATAAATTGATCCTTGTCTATGATCCGTTCTCTCTTTTAATACTAGTAAAGCAGTTAACTTGCCAAAGTGACAATTCACTGTGTTTCCTAAAATTCAAATTGACCCAACCAAATTTTAGCTAAATCATTGAACTAATTTGTCATGAGACAAGAACACTAATCTACTTATTGTACAATACCCAAAGCAAATACCAATATGCCATGTCAACAATCTTCTCTATTTCCAAAAACCAAATCAAAAATGCCATCAATCCTATTACATTTCAGCCGATAAATAGGAAAAGTTCTCCAACATCATTTGAAAAATGAAATATAAGTCCAAGACCATTATTGCATCAATCAATAGTCGATACCTCAATACAACAGTGGCTCAAAATTTCACCAGCAGTCATCAGACTAGCCAAATGCTGCACGTTGATGTTGCATTGTGAGCAAGTTTGAAATTCTTCTTTTTTAATAGGCAGTGTGTGCCTCACATGCTAACACTATGTGAGGCAGTTCCCCACATTAGAATAGGATTTCAATGGAGAATTTAAATTTGTTACCACTTATAGGATTTAAACAGTTATGCATTCTTTAGTTTTAATTGTTTTATTTAATTGCATTAGTACATGTAAACACACTTTACAGTAGATGACTGTCTATAAGCTTGCTTACTACAAATATAAAAAATAAATGATAGGAATTTTATTGTTTATCATTAAAATTTATAAATATCATAAATGGTACTAAAAAAGAATTTAGTAAATATGAAAGAGAAAGAGTTGAAAAGTCAAAGCGAAATTCAAAATGTGGATAATATCAAGGATGTGATCTTGAAAAAAGATCGCCCACGGGTTCGACTTTTGCAATACAAAGGTTATGTGTATCTATTAAGAAGCAGCGGAAAAGTTACACAGTTGTATAAATACAAGAAAAGGGTATGTACAGGTAATTCAAAATATGCTGAAACTGAAATCATGAAAGGTAGAGAATTTGAAAAATACTGTCCATAAGGATCATATCAAAAATTCAGTGCTCACAAACACATCTCAAATTTTTCTTGACCCCTTCAACTGAAAAAATTTATAATCGCAATTGTTTATGTGTTGATTTATACTATGCATCAATTTACTTATCTTTTCTAAACCTGAATATTAATAAAAAATAATTTGTCAAAAATATCTCTCAAAGATCTAATGATCTGTCCCCTCTATTGTTTTTTCCTGTTGCAATTCATAGATAGTCTGACAGTATTCAGGCCATTAAAATAGTTGAAAAGAATCCAGGAAAGAGATGTCTTAATTATATATAAGAGGTGATATATCTATAACTGAACAAGTGTAAAATTGTCATAATTACCTATAATTATATTTGACAAGTAATTTCAGGTGTCATCTGCATTACAATTTACTACATATTTGTACTTTAAAAGTGAAGTGTGTATTAAATCTTCATGCAGACCTTCAGCACTATGTTATTTAGAATGTTGATTTTTGTTCAGGTACAAATGTACATATTGTAAAACCTGTCTTAGTGAACACCTCTCTCTCTCTCTCTCTCTTATGAACAGCTGTGTTTAGTGAACACCATTTCAAGACACCTTTTACATTTTCTCCTGTATGAAGTAGCTTCTCTGTAGTGAACACCTGCCTACAGTTTTTATGGTTGTTCACATTATACAGGTTTTTACTGTACATGTTAATAACACGCATTGTCCCCACTTGCCAAAAAGGATCAATACAGTTACCATTAATGAATGATTCTCATTTCCAGCCTTCTTCTTATGACCTTTTCACATTTTGATAAACCTGCAAAATAATGTAGGACTAAATAACTTAAGACCTCTCAGGGTCTCAGGCACTCTCCTTAATTCAAAACAAGCAGACTTCAGAAAAAGCAATATAATATATATTACTACCAGTAAAAATTCCAGCAAAAATATGGAATTGTGGGTGGTCATTGAGAAGTTAGTTACCAGTATAAATAAGTCAGACGGGTGTGCCTTGTTTTAATTGAGTCAAGTAGCTTAGGGTATATATACTATGGACCTAAAGTTAGATACCTGCAAGGCTTTGATGTTATTAAAGCATCAATCAAATAAATGATTGAGGATTCAGGGACAGACACATGATTGGATTAATCAGTTATGATAGAATCTGTTTCTACAGGTCTCGTGAAGGTCTTTCAGTGCCTATATTGTTAAAGTATTCATGTTCAATATGCTCGAAATAACTTTTTTCAAAATTTGCTTTTAAATTTGGTCCTAATCAACTTTCTATCAGCGTGAGGCTTTTCAGACTTCCTGCATATACAAGTGCATTTTATAATGTGCATTGAAGTTTGTGATTAAATAAAATGTTGAGTTAAAATTCCCCATCACATAGAATGAAATTTTGAAATATTCTTACCCTTGAATTTTTAAAAATCACCATTCTTCACCAATACAATCATCATCCATCCGAGGCCCGTAGCCAGGATTTGCCAAGGGGGGTTCAGTTTTCAAAAATTTCCAAGGGGTTCACATTTGACGATTTTGGCCCAAATATGGCTAAAATCACTTGAGAAGTGCTCAAAATGGTGAAAAACTGCATGATTTTGAAAGAAATCAGGGGGGGCCAATATTAGACTCTCATATTAGACTCTCATGTCTACGTAGAAGTTAAACATCCTCATTGCACCAAGATAATAACATCTACCTGAAATGTCATAAATAATATATCAGTGTGTTATCTTACTGTGTCGAATCAATGCTCACTTTCTCACTTAGGAGGCACCAGCTCTGCACTTTACAATAGGAGCTACCATAATTATCTATTGGTCTTTGAAGCATATGATCTATTGGGTATTCATAAGGGTAGATGTGCTGAGGAATAACAAATTAGACTTATGTGAGGAGTTAAAGCTATGTTGGATAAACCTGTAGAGTCTGTAGATAGTAGTATGGAGGAAAGCGTTGAACAAGATAATGTCATTTTCGATGATATGGTAGGTCAAACATATATAGATATAGTCTGTACTGGATATGTTAAGTGTTTGCTTGGAAGTATAGTACACTGCATGATAAATTACGAGGAAATTTGTACCACACTTATTCCTTAGTGAAATGGTGCAATAGGAAAATGAAGACTTTCTCTCATTTAACCAAAATGAGGTTTCATACTCTGAAAATCAGGGCTCTGGACAACAGGAAGAAGGGGAGTCCTTGTTTTGGTAGTCAAAACTAGTGCACCATCTTTGGAAATTTGAAGTGACATTTTGCATGTTAATGCCTTGTTGTAAATGCAACACATTTTGGAATTGGTCAAAGATAAACATACAGATACTCTTGAGGTAAAATGTTGGACAATTGATACTTTCCAGATCTATAGATCAAAATCGCTATTTTTAAGTGCTTCTTTTTGATCTTTTAGGATATGAAATTTTCAAACTGGATATTTCTAGAAAAAATTAACCATAAATAAGTTACCTTAGCATATCTTATATTTTATAAAGTGGTCAAAGATATGCATGTACATCTAAAATCAAACACATTTAAACTTGTCAAGATAAACATCTCCACATTCATTGGTGTTATTAAAATTATTTGAAGTCATGCCCCCAGAGCCCAATATCTTTGATGTACTATAAATTGTCATAAATAGTTATACTCGGACAGTTTGGAATCATCTTTGTAATTTCTGAACATGAATATCTGTCATATATTTGATATATCAGCAAATGTCTTTTAAGGTCATGCATTGCGAAAATCTCTTCAGGTCCCTCCTAATATGTTGCGCTTTAAATGACTGAAATATGAAACATTCAAGAAAAATAAAGTTAGGAAAAATACTATCAATAGTACTTATGCAAGTGCTTATGCAGGTCAAAATGTCAAAAGGTCAAACCTTGCAAAACCCTTGCAAAAATGTTTCTGGTTTAATTTCAATCTTTTTAGTGATACTGTGCAAAGTCTTTGCAATGCGAAAAGAATTAAAACAATTAAAGACTCAATGAATTGTACATGCATGATTTAAGACTCTCGTGTCTTGTATACTAGTCTTTGAATTCGGGCTCCCTCCCTCATTCAAAGTCTGATACAAGACATCCATGCTTAAAACCATCCATGATTCAATGTATCCTGTAATCCTTTTATCGAATACCCTTTATGCACATCAGCTAGATAACTATACTCTGACTGATGATTAAATACTTTGGAATGTGAATAGATCTTCATGATCCCAAATGGATCTTCCATGGCCTTAGATAGAAATTTTAATGTGAAACAATTTGTTAGATTGGCCTACTTAATTAAATAGGAGAATGTAATGTTGTGATGTTCTTGCTACAAAGACTGATTGGATCTGAGTTCAAAATCAAAGAATTGTCTCCAATATAAAGAGTGCAGAAAAATTCAATATCTCACAAAGAGTAATAATTGAACTATGTTACTCTGTCAATTGAATATCATGCACTTAGTGAAGACTTAAGCATGGAGGCATTTAAGAAGTTTGTACCTAGAAAGTGCAATACTTTTGTGTACTCTCTTCAAGTTATGTTAGTGATAAGACGTTTATTCAAATAAGCCTTCTAATAAACTCTCTCCGGAGGGTTGGTCACTAAAAATTCTAATTTCAAGAAGCGTAGATAGTGAATTGACCTGGTATTTACTAAGTGATAGATATTGTAATCTCAGTGTGTTCTACATATCCTCTGTATTGAAATATGTGCTTGTTCAAGATATTCTTTATATCCTCTAATTGTAATCTACTGTATGTATGTTAACATTATCCTTCTCGTGTTATTAATTTATATCAAATATATAAGTACTCTTCAAATAGTATCCCTTTGTAGAAGTATAGAAACACTTAAACCAATGATAATCTAAATTATTTACCTTGTCAAAAATAACCGAGACAAGTTTATTGCTTAATAGTAGTTAAATAAAAAACAGGCTTTAATTAATGTATAAAAAGGCAATTTATTAAATTGGGCTAGTGTGATATAAAATGTAAATGCCAAAAACAGAACTGGGAATTCTAATGGAGCACACTAACTTGCTAGAAGTAAACTATTATCAAAAGGTCTTTTTATCAGGAAATATTTTTTGAGATCGATAATCAACAATTTATTAGCCTCCTCAGACGTAGAGACCCTAGATATTATGTTTCCTGATATTACAAAGCTTATCAGGATCAGGGTGACATTATAACAGTTTCATTTTTTGACACATGAAGTAGCATAAATATTGGGGGAATAAAGCGAAAGAATAGCAGGCTATTTCCATGTAAGTAAAAGATGTGAGTTCAGAGAGGAACTAGGGAAGTTATAAACATGATTTTATTTTAATTGTTGTATTTTGTTGTGTTTTTCAGGAGAAGGAACAAAGTGATGCTGAGGAACAAGAGAAGGCGAAAGAGAAATTAGCGCATGAGTCAATAATTGATATAGAGATTCGCGAGCAGTCACAACGTGAAAGAAATTTGGCAGAAGAACGAGGCATTAAACCAAGTAGCAAATCTGCCCCTCCACCACTGCCTACAACTACCCCACCTGCTGACCCCCGAGCCCATGTCCCCCAAGTAAAAGAGACAGTTACCGTTACCAAGACAACAACTGTGGTTGAGAGTACTCCTTCCACTAAAGCCCCACTTACACGGAAAGCTTCTAACGATTCACTCTTGAGTAATACATCTAGCATGTCTGGCGGGCCACAGAATCAGAGGGAGTATGATGCTGCAAAACCTATCCTTCAGGGTCTAGTCAATTCTGACCCTTATGTGTACAAGCAGACTGTCACAAGTGAGGCACCCGCTGGTGAGAGTTATATAGCACGAGAGCTAAGAGAAGCCAAAGAGAGAGAAGAAGAGTTCAAACTGGCTCTGAAGGCAAGAGGTGTATTGGTCCCTGAAGGAGTAGATGATGGGTCCATTATCTATTCAGACCAAGATGTTAAGCATGTTCAACTAAATATCTCTAACGCACCCCACAGAACAAGCAGACAGAAATCTGCTGAGCAGTCACCCTCCACCAAGCCTAGATCAGACAGCAGGACAAGTAACCTCTCCTCAGATGGAAGCCAAGGGTCTCAGCTCCAACAAGACACATCTCCTGAGGTGGTTGTGACCGAGACAGTCACAATCACAGAGTCAACCCCTGGTAAAGTACAGCCATTAAGTCCATATGAGCAACAAGAATACCAATACATTCCACGTAATGAAACCGTCATTGAGCGCGAAATTAGATTAGCCAAACAGAGGGAGAATGCCCACAGAGAAAGCAGAGGCCTTCCAATTAATAACCAAGATGAAGAGAAGACTAAGGAGATTATGATAGAGGTACTAAGCCCCACCCCCCAGGCACCAGTCAGGTCGAAGCGGGACAGTGTAGACAACAAGGCAATAAGACGGTATTCCACCAACCTCCTACAGAAGGAAATAGAGCAGGCGAACAGACGTGAGAAGGATCTACGATCAGGTGGACTTATTCGAACCACATCTGAGGAACACATCGGAGAGCCTATGAAATATGTTGAGATACGAGATATTGAGTCACCCACACCTAAACCCAAATCCAATCCTTCTAAATTACCCCCTTCAATATTTGAAACCCATGAATCAGACTCTGGCATTTCACAGAAAATTATTAGTGGTAAAACCACAAGCCGTCGAACCCCTGAAAAACAGCCATCCATTCAAAATGGCTACAATGATAAGCCAGCTAGTAAAGTTGAGGTCACGACTGTTAAAGAGACAATTATTGCTGATAAAGCACCAATTACGCAAACAGAGACAGTAGTTACCACAGAAACAGTTGTGGTTGAGGCAGACAAACCTGTAGTCAATGGCGGTGCTATTGTTGTTACGGAGGTACCTAAGCCTGCACCAGTTGTTAAACGCCCTAGTACCAAGACTGAAGGCATGGAGGCAAGGTACCAAGTGCGATCTGCTAATCCTGCTGAGTCTATAATAGAGCAAGAATTACGGGCACAGCGTGAACGGGAAGCTGAACTCAGGTAGGAGATTAACATGTAACTTATTAACATGTACCTCAGTCAGATATATACACGTGTTGAAAATTATATTTCACCATGATAATGTTAATAGTGCCACAGAAGCTTTTTAAATTTTATTATTGATGGGTGATTTTATTATTGATGGCTGATTTGATAGTACAGTTGAACTCATTTTTATTTTTCTTTCATAAACTAATCTTACAATGTTGTCTCCCTACTAAATTTCATTGAAGTTTCATGTTTTGATCTTCAGAGAGCAGAGAAGAGTGTTGAAAAAAGATGATGCACCAAATATAGATGTTGACACTTCATCAATAACAGTCGTCCAAAATGGCACAGATAATACAGAAACAGCACCAGTGCGGCCGGAACGCACAAAAAGCTCAAAACGTAAAAGTCTCCTTGCAGCCCAGTGGGAAGCCAAGATTCAATCATCAAACTGAGTAGAACGTGTAAATGTGAACTCTAATTTGAGCAAAACTCTTATGAAATAAGAACATATATTTGTGGATTCATAGTGTTCAGCAAAGACTGGTTTTACTTCAGTAGTGATTTGTTATCTTTGGACTGAGTGAGGGACTGTGTTCAAAGAGTGATGTTATGCTGTTATGATTTAAGCCATAAATTCTCAATTATTTATTTGATTGATCAACAATTAGTATGTAAAAGATACGAGACAGATAGCAATAGATACATGTATTTGTTTCATGATTTTGACAAAAAATCAAAATTTGTACACATCAGATAATCCAATGAAATATGAGTAGACAGAGGCAAACCAATCATCGCAAGAATGTTGTTATTTGGGATCTTTATTCCCTTATGCATTTGTGTTATTGTTGTAGGTGACAATTGTATTTGCATGGAATTGCTAAATATAATCCCCAATGCTTGGTAAAAGTTGTATATACAGTTCATATACTAGTGTGGTATCTATACCTACACATTGCAATGGATTTTACCATGAAATTCTAATTGAAGTAAAATTTTGTTTAAGGATGTGAGTTTTTGGAATTGGAATACATCCTAAGGTAAAAAGTAATAAAAGGTGCTTGAAATTTAACATAAACAAATATTTGTGTTAAGTTTCAATTATTGTAAGTTGTGTACGTACATGTTTTGACATTCCTTGTTTTGAAACTATTTTGGTAATATTTGTAGAAGTACGTTATACATACATGTTAGTGAATTATTTAAGTAAGGTAGAGGTATTGTTATAAGACTTACCTATATGTATTATTAGATAGATCAAACATTTGAAATAGAAGATGTTTATCATTAAAAATATTGTATATTTTCTGATTTTTATACATCAATCAATATTCTAACATGAACCACTTTGTCGCAGAGAAAAGAGTATTTACGGGATGTACAACAGCGGCAATTAAATATAAAGCTATGAGTATAAGATGCAACTACTATTATTATTATTATATGGAGCCCCAAATCACTGTTCCACACACCTGGATGACTCTAACTGCAGTTAGAATCATTCAAGATGGTGGCAACATTTTTTCGTTTTTGATAAACCAATGATTTCAGCTAAACTAAGTTGAATCTGGATTCCAAATGTTTCGCCATGCAAACTAATAAAGGTATGATTGTAAACAGTTACAAAAAAAAACGTTCAAACACCAGTGAAAGTGGAGAAATGTAAAGAAAACGGCCTCTAACTGACTGAATGACTTTAACTGAACTTGATGATGACGTAGGAAATACACATTTTTCAAAACATTTGGAATCCAGATTCAACTTAGTTAAGCTGAAATTGGAGGTTTACCGAAAACAAAAGAATTTTGGCCACCATCTTGAATGATACTAACTGCAGTTAGCGTCATGCAGCAGTGGAACAGTGCAAGTACATGTAGAGTTTAACTTGAGCTTAACCGTATATACTGAAAGCTGTTCATCCATGTATGCTTAAACCATGACATTGTGAGGTTCTTTAGTTTATATATTGGAGAACTTTGAACATTGGCAATTAATCAGTAAAGCTACAATTATTTGAAATTCACTAATTGTATGCACCCTATTTAATTTTATCATGGATGCAGCGGATCAGATTGTATTAAGTTTATACCAGGATGCATTTGAGATGTTAGGATCTTTGAAATTACTACTCAGTTGGGCAGATGAGAGTCCATCCGTCTCATTTAACAAACTTACGTTACATATTATCTAATCATAAGATATGGGGTATTTCCGAGTTGACTTTATCCAATAAAATCATGATTTATATCATTTATGATTTTTATTCAATTTTTCGGAATATTATATTAGTTTTGGGCCTTGACAAGTACAGTAGTTAGAATTTATGCAGCACATGCAATGAAATAATTGTTCAGGAATTTTCCACACCTAAGTGAATGAGACAATTTCTCTTGGTTTTTCAAAAATTGTAACTTTTTAAAAGATCTATTTTAATTTAATAATCTGATCCTGAATGATTTTTTTAAATTGCTTGGATGCTAAATATTTTATTTTATTTACTAGAAGATGGCCTGTTTTTTTTTTACTTTTTCCCTTTTGATTGTTCATTTGTAGCAGATATTTATTAGGTTAAATCAGATTAAAATCATGCTTTTCTCAAAATCCTGTATTATTTATATTATTGGAAAATACATATTGGTTATAAATGACATATGTTTTGTGTTAGATCATGTCAGTTGATTAATGGACAATGACAGAATCAGATGATCAATGTTGTGAGCAACATTACAATTATTCGACAAATGTGTATTATACCGTTTGAATATACTATTACAAAAGCCCCATAAAACACATTTCATATTTGATTGATATTTTCCTTGATTCATACTAATTATCCCATCGAACGAAGTTCGGAGGGATATAGGGAACGCCTCCGTCCGTCCGTCCGTCCGTCCGTCCGTCCGTACGTACGTCCGTCCGTCCGTACGTACGTCCGTCCGTCTGTCCGTCCGTCCGGGCGATAACTCAAATACCGTTGGCCCGATTTTGTTCATATTTTGTACACATATACCCTATGGGGGTAGAAGTTCTGCTCGAAAGCCGATTTTCAAAATGGCCGCTCAATTCAAAATGGCGGCCATTTTAGTGCTGATTTTACAGTAATTTAGGTGCAATATGTAAAACTGTAATAGCAATATGTTTTAAATGTAAAAAAATTATGAAGGACATTAATAAAGCTATAAATGTAGACATTAAAGAAGCACATGGCAGCCATCTTGAAAAATGGCGGCCTTTATTCGTTATTTTATGATTTTTGCTATAACTCGAAAAGTAGTGGAGCGATTTTGTTCATATTTGGTATGTGAATACTATAAGCATTGCACACTGCCTAAAGACACTTTTGGTAGAAGGCGGCCATTTTTCAAAATGGCCGCCATTTTAACATATATTACTATAACTCGAAAAGTAGTGGAGCGATTTTGTTCATATTTGGTATGTGAATACTATAAGCATGGCACACTGTCCTATGACACTTTTGGTAGAATGCGGCCATTTTGAAAAAAAAATTGAAAAATGGCCGCCATTTTAACGTATTTTACTATAACTCGAAAAGTAGTGAAGCGATTTTGTTCATATTTGGTATGTTTCATATTTCATATGTGAATACTATAAGCATGGCACACTGTCTAATGACACTTTGGGTAGTAGGTGGCCATTTTGAAAAATGGTCACCATTTTTATGTTTTTTACTATAACTTGAAAAGTAGTGAAGTGATTTGGTCATATTTGATATGTGAATACTCATGAGCCTTGCACACTGTCTCATGACACTTCAGATAGTAGGCAGCCATTTTATAAAAATGGCTGTCATTTTTACATTTTTTACTATAACTCGAAAAGTAGTGGAGCAATTTTGTTCATATTTGATATGTGAATACTTTAAGCATGGCACATTGTCTAATAAAACTTTGGGGAGTAGTCAGTCATTTTGAAAAATGGCCACCATTTTTATGTGTGTTATTTTACAAGTACATGTATGCGATTTTTCAAAGATTTTATAGGTGGCTACTTAAAAGCATATTATTTCTTCTGATGACAACTTGGCTAGTGAGCAACCATTTTGAAATGGTGGCCTTTCTGGTGTGTTGTTTTATGATGTTTGCTATATATTTCGTTTATAAAAATGCCAGCCATTTCTGTTCGATGGGATTCGCTACGCTTTGGCGTTGCCGTTGTTCTGGTTAGGATCCATGACAAAACAAACCTATCATCACATCATGAGGCAGAGGTACTATGCTCCTTTTTATTTTGAATGAACAATTATTGAATTCCCTGGACCAGATATGAACAAGGCATTTACATGACAAAATGTCACCAATTCAATCTTAAGTCAGATTTGAATTTCTAAGAACTTGTGGATGATTTTGTGAAAAAACATTGGTCAATTTGAAGCAAGTTGAAAAAAGACCTTTCTAACCTTGATGAGGTCATTGAAGGTCAAATGACATGCCTTTGGTTTATTCAATTTGTGAGGTGTTCCACTGACTAATGCCTAGGTTACCTTTGTTCCGATTCATCAGCCGGTGCCTGGCGGTTTGAGTAGTTTGTTCAAAACTGAAAACAATTTTGAACCAAATGCTCAATCGGCCGTGTATTTTTCTGTTTGCAAATCAGAGCGAGATTAACATTGAAAAATAAGGAAAGGGGAACATTTTTAATTGAACGACCTGGTACAAAGAAACAATGAAATATAATTCAATATTCTATACAGTTTATTTACAATTGTAAAATAGCAGTGTATACAAATATATAATCAATATTACAAATACAAGATGTATTCCAATATTATCTACATACTGTATTTTGTATGTAAAATAGATAGGTTAACTACGTTACTTATCATAACTTACAAAAGATCAAATCTATCTAATTGATTAAACCATACCCCGAGGAGCTAAAGCGGCACACTAGGCCATTTTTGTCACCCATGGTCGATCAATGTAGTCACAAATTCAATTATAATTCATTCATCGAAGACTATTTATCAGATTGAAAATGACCCTTTTCAAAAACCTCATGAGTTGTGCTGTAATAGTTTAACATGTGAGCTAATAAAACCAGACATGGGTGATTATACCATGCATGTTTTTAATCCATTAATATGATGCTGATTTGGCATGTATTCCATTATGAATTGTATTAAATTCTCAAACTATATTTAGTCCCAAAATATACTGAACCTACTATAGATTGAAAATGTGTATGCATGTATGTATGTGTTAAATTAGCCATTGTACATTTAGATTCACCCATTCATGATTCAACTTTCAACAAAATATAATTCACAAACATGCTTTCTTCTGTCCAACTCTGAAAGCATCGCACAGTGCACTAAAACTGATTCAATATGCAAATAATTCATGAATCATATGGAATAATGCTATGCTATTCCAACACTGTTCGCTATAACAAGTTTACATGAACACATCAGACTATTTAGTGTTTTAAGCACTGTCAATCACAAGTCTTACTGTCCTGAGGTACTAGCAAATGGGATAGCCTCTAGACGAGACTTTTTCGCCGCGGTACCATTTTTATTTTTATTTTTTCCTTTATTTTCTTTGCTAACTTCACTGGTGGCTGCACCCTTGCTGGATATGTTCTGTGTGTATCGTGACACTGTAGATACACCATCAACAAACTTTGTCTTGAATAAAACATTTGCATTGTTGAACATACCATCCTTCAGGGAGACAACGATGAACTGGAAAAGTAGAATAAAATACTTGGGGAAATGAATCTATCTATGAACAAACTACCAGTATGTAATTACATGTTGAGCTTAAATGAGCAAATTGAAAATATGTACAATGAAGTGAATGGCACTGACTCTCCTTACTGTGGTTTAGGAATATTTAATAAAACTGTTTAAGCATATGTGTGTGTGTAGTATCATGTTGCAGATAAAGTATCTCACCTGTGAGTGTTTGAAATGTGTGCGCAACATCTGTCCAATATTTTGTGTGTGGGAGAGATCCAAAGCTGCATCTACCTCATCCAGAATGTACAATGGGGCAGGTTTGAACAACAACATAGCAAGGATAAGAGACAGAGCCACTAGTGACCTACAATGATGAGAACAATGAAATATCATTACATATTTCACAAGTCATTGACTGAGATAAATGATACTGTTTGATCTGCAACATGCTTAACTTGTTTGTTAGGTTTTGAATTTTTTGAAAAAAATCTGGAAATGGTTAAGAAAAGGCTAAGAATTGTGAATCGTGAGTATAAATAACAAACTGAAGATTTTTTCTTCTTTTGTTTGTAATTTATTTAAAAACTGCTTCAAAGTAAGGAAATTATACAACTCTGGTCTTTACCAATTTGAAGCCCCCTCAACTCAATGTTTTACTTCACAATCAGATGAGTTAAAGGTATGTTTAACAAAGGGAGGGAGGGGGGTGGGGCGGAGCACAACTTCCTGTTCAAAAATGAAATGTGTACCTCTGTCCTCCACTGAGTTCACTAAGAGAATCCTTCCAGACATCCCCAAATGCGACTTTCACCTCAAGTCCATCCAGAACCGATGCACCATCTTGTGGAGCCAGTTTAGCACTCGTCCCAGGAAGCAGTGTAGAGAAAATAGAACCAAAGTCCTGAAAATAAACATGAATGAAATACAGTAAAGTTCCTCTAAAATATATAGATTTTTATGATTACAAGTGGTGCAAGTTTAACACTTGGCAAAAGTGCCAAAAAGGGAAAGGTCAAAAAGTATTACAAAACACACAAGAAACTTCTAAGAGCACAAAAACAAACCACAAATACTCAATTCCAACCATTCAGGAATAAATATAACAATCCCAAAAAAATAACAAGCCCATGGGATATGTATATTTATATTGGTATATTTCATTACAAAAATATTAATAATGATACCCTTCAAAATGAATGCTTTTGTACATTGTGAGTTACCTTGCTGCAGGACATTGCATCCTCACTATAAAATGGATAATCTACTCACTTTGTTGACCTGCTCATATGCTTGCTTCAGAGCTTCATTTTTCTTTTCGTCAAGTTCAGCTATCACAGATTCTATCTTCTTTTTATCATTCAGCACTATTTTTCTTTTCTTCATTAAATCATTATACTGAAATAATAAATTGAATGAATAATATACATATGAAAACTAAATAATATTTGCTTTAGAGCTAAAACCATTGCTCACATCCTAGTTCCTCAGCATATTAAATCTTTTCAATTCTTAAAGTATTTTTCAAGGAAGTTTACAACAATATTCCTCTTCCTTTCAAAATTAGCATAACCTGATGGATGAGAAGAAAATGGTAAGTTATATTGTGGATTACCATTACATATTTTCTCAAATGCTAATCTCATTTCCAGTTTTGCCAAAAGTGAGTCAAAATACAACACACTTCCATGATTTTAACTCTGTGAACACCCAGAGTAACGGATATGTAAGTCACAGAATTTTTCACTAAAATGGAACACTTTGTTCGATTGACACAGAATACATATTAAAAACAAGAACACAAATGTGTACAATATGTCCCCACCAATGGGTGATCCCATCTAATGGTTATCCTGAAAATGAGTAGACAAGACTTTACTGCTACAATTTTGGAACGGAAAATGCAAAATGGCCACCTTAAAATTTACCAAGAATGCCCAAAAAATTAGTCAGTTCTAGATTTTCATACTAAGAATCATCCCTAAAAATTTGAAATTGATCTACCAAACAGTTCACCTGAAAACACGTAGACAAGACTTTACAGGCAAGATTTTAGTACGGAAAATCCAAAATGGCTGCCTTGACATTTACCCAGAATGCCAAAAAACTAATCAGATCTAGATTTTCATACTAAGAATCATCCCTAAAAATTTGAAATTGATCTACCAAACCCTTCACCTGAAAACGCGTAGACAAGACTTTACAGACAAGATTTTAGGACGGAAAATCCAAAATGGCTGCCTTGACATTTACCCAGAATGCCAAAAAACTAATCAGATCTAGATTTTCATACTAAGAATCATCCCTGAAAATTTTAAATTGATCTACCAAATGGTTCACCTGAAAACGCGTAGACAAGACTTTACAGACAAGATTTTAGGACAGAAAATCCAAAATGGCTGCCTTTACATTTATCCAGAATGCCAAAAAACGTATAAGATCTAGATTTTCATACTAAGAATCATCCCTGAAAATTTGAAATTGATCTAGCAAACGCTTCACCTGGAAATGCATAGACAAGACTTCACAGACAAGATTTTAGGACGGAAAATCCAAAATGGCTGCCTTGACATTTACCCAGAATGCCAAAAAACTAATCAGATCTAGATTTTCATACTAAGAAACATCCCTGAAAATTTGGAAATGATCTACCAAATGGTTCGCCTGAAAACGCATAGACAAGACTTTACAGACAAGATTTTAGGATGGAAAAATCCAAAATGGCCGACAATAAAAAAGTGATTATTAGTTTTTGCTGATTTCTTTTTACAAAATTAGCACATATAACTACTGTTAACAATAACATAGGCTTTTACAATAAAGTACACCTGAAATTTTTTATAAAGCTACTAAATAGTCTAAGTATGAAAACTCAAAAACACCATTCAATATGATACAAAGTATTATCGCACGCTAACTTTTCTAAGACATTCAAAATGGCTGCCATGACTGGGCTAACAGGTCCAAAACCTAATCAGATCTAGAATCAAGTGAGTTGAACAGGATGTTAAAGTTTTAAAAGCAACAGTGAAGCCATTTTTCTTAAAGTTTGCAGACAAGGATTTTAGCATTTGACTTCAAAATGGCCGACAGGAAGTAGGTATCGAGTTGAAACTTTTTCGTCCACATCTGTATGCACTCATAAGTTATCCCTGAAAATTTGAAGGTGATATCTGTAGCGGTTTAGGAGAAAACTGCCGGACGTACGGACGGACAGACAGACAAACAGACAGACAGACGGTCGGACGGACGCGCCTAGGCCGACAATATGGCCCCACACTATGTGGTGGGGACATAATTAAAATGGGAAATTCAGACAAATTACAGTACCAACCTGTTCCTCTGCTTTTCCTAACATGTTCATGGCCCGCATATTTACACTTTTCGATAATTTATCTTTTGTATCTTGTAGTTTTTGTATCCTTTTCCCAGCTTCTTTAGGATCTGTTGCATTAAAGTCATAGGCTGTATTAGTCTGTCCAAAATATTTTTTCTCATCAGCGATCCAATCATATTTTTGAATTAGGTGGTCAACCTGTAAAAATAAATATATGAAGGATGAGCATTGAATTCACATAATTAAATATTCATTCATTCATGTAAATGAATCAACACAAGGAGCACATTCGTCTCGAACTCGTGGTTATGGCACCCAATCGCCTAGCCTGAACGTACTGGCGCTCAAGCCCTCTCGGCCAACTCAACAACCCCAAAAAAGGTTGTTTTGTCAGTCGATCTGACTAGATCAATATTTTCAGCTTTCAAATAATCAATTTATACACTTTAATATATAACAAAAGGGTCACTCACCTGGTTTGCAGCATCTTTGGCGTCTTTATTGGATTTGGTGATTTTGTGTTCCAGTTCTTGTTTCTCAAGTTCAGCTTCCTGAGCCTCTTGCCCTAGAACATGTTTCTGGTTGACACGTTCCGCTATCTCTTTATTCCTGGCATTCAATTCATCCTTCTTCTGCTTCAAAATTCTCTCAGCTTCCTTAACTTCGGCCTGCAATGATGATGTATTTTAATGGGGTTTGTTATTAGTATTAAATACAAAAGTTGAAACAAACTCTCCATACTTTTTTCAGTTTGGAAATCAAAAATAGAAGTGCAATATCTTAACAAAATTCTTGATTCAATAGTTGTGCCCAAAGGGCAAAATATGCCAATTTTTCATGATTTTCACAAATTGTTAACTTTGTGCAAATCCAAGCTATAAAGTGGGTGCTGCATTCTTTTTATTCAGTCACTATCCTATATAAACTTTACCTGTGACTCAGCAGCAGCCTCCTTCACTTGGACCAGCTGCTCTTCAAGACCTTTGATAGCTTCTTCCACTGCAAGCAACTGTTCCTCATAACCAGCCACCTCTTTCTTCATTTCCTCCACCTCCAGACGTATACTGTCAGCCTCCTGTAGGGGAACAAACATTACAGTTTTGCTGAGTCAGATTGCAATTATTACAACTCCTATACTACAGGGATAAGGGTTCAGAAGCATTATGAAGTTTATAATTTTTTTAAAAGTAATCAAATGCATTCTATCATTGGTTTTTGGACATTTTAGCATGATACGAGGGGTGATCCAAAAGTCTTGGACGCCCTGCTCTCATTTTGTTGGTTTTGGATAAAATTACTTTAAACTTTCCAATAATAAAGACGAATGATCTAACTACTTTGTGTCCTCATTTCATGGTGAAATGATATATTTTATGTAGTTTTCTCGATAGTTATTAATATAGTGCCACCCTGCCACCCGGAACGGTATTCGCACATGGCAACTTTCAGCCTTAAATGTTGCCACTATTTGACTGGTTTTGCAAGTCTTGACCACTATCTTTCCTTAAATTTTGAATGTTAAACCATGTTAGTCTACTTCCTTTGTTACTAGGGAACCATTTAATTGTGTCTTAATCATGATGTCACACATGGCAATGGCCGTATATGTCAAGTTCTAAGAAAATGACATCAGACAATCAACACTCATTCTGTTGACATTTTTGCTCCAAGATGGCTGCTGAAATGCAGGACATGAAAGAAATCAAAGTGGAACAAAGAATACTACAATATATTTCACTATTATTGACATTGAGCAGCTACCATATGCACGATACAGTCAAGATATGGCTCCGTGTGATTTTCTTCCTTTTCCTCAAGTTGAAAGGAGGGTTGGAAGAAAATGTTTTTTACTCATTAGATGAGGTTTAGAGTGGCACTCCAGCAGCAGTTGTATCACATAGGCAATGGCCGTTTCATAAATGTCTTTCATTCATTGGTAAAGCGGTATGAAAAATGTGTTCAAATTCGTGAAGAATATGTTGAAAAGTCTTAATATGTGAAGATGATAATGGCAGATGACACTCAGACTGAAAATAGGAAATTCTCTGATATCATGACTGGTTTTAGGTTGTGCACCTGCACCTAAATTATTTGCCATATTATAACAGTTGTGACGTGATTTGCTATATTTAAATACCGTTCCGGGTGGCAGGGACCCGGTAGCAAAAAATATTTAGAAAAGTAGCTAAAATATATTAGTTTCTGTTGAAACTCATACACAAAGTTGTTAAGATGTTGATCTTTATTATCTAAAAGTTTCATGTAATTATATTAAGAAATAGCAAAGTTAGAGCGGGGCGTCCAAGACTTTTGGATCACCCCTCGTATATATATATTTCGGCGAAGTTTGAATAAATTGTTATTAAGGATGCTATTGTTTGCCAAAAAATTGTTATCTTGCATTATATATACTTGCTTATAATAGCAATTTTTATATAAAAATCAATAACCATAAAAGCAAAACTCTTTTATTTTATTAACTTCTTATATTCCAAGCAATTTAGGTCTACACAAACCTGTTGTTTTTCTTTACTTTTCTTGTTGGATTCTTGCATCTTTTTCTTAGCTTTAGTGACAGCATCTTCTGCAGTCTTCAACTCCCTCTCCCTGACTGCCTTGGCATTGTTGACCTTCTCCTCCAGCTCTTTAGCCTTATCATTGGCTCTCTTCTGACGACCTTCCGCTTCAGCAACCGTCTTCTGATCCTCATCTAACAAATACACTCAAATTACATCATCTTTCCCCGACATTAATACCCAATGAAACAGCTGAATAACCTAAGTAAAAACAGTAAACACTTTTGACAAGGGAATGGTGAAATTAGGGTTACATAAGACGGAGACAATTTATATAGAGGACTGACAAATCCAAGGCAGTCAACGTCAAAGACATCAAAGACAACTAGACTTGTCAAATCAACTCATTCTTTCGAGTTTGAAGTCAAATATACTCATTGTATAATGAATGTCAATATTATTGAAAAATGTTAGTCCACAAGAAAAATTACTCAAATGTCTAAAATGATGTCAGGTAGGAAAGTCTCACCAATGGTTTTCTGCATCTCATTCACTTCCTCCATCTGTTGGTGATGAGTTCCTTGTCTCAATCTCTCTTCTAACAATTCAACCTCATGGGCCTTCAAGTCAAACTGCTGTTTCACTTCACGGAACCTGAAATGCCACAAAATATTGTTTTATTTGCTTAAATTGTTAATCTTTATTTTAGAAATCTTTTAAAAAACATCAATTTTAAAGATATGTTTGAACGTCCTACTATTTTAACAAAAGTTGAGATTTTCAAATCATTAAATACTCCATATTAATACTTATAATAAACAGATTATTATCTGAATGCCATTGAAAAGATTGAGTAAAAGTAATAAAATTTTGACGATTCATTTATGTTCATGTTTATAACTTATTTTACGCCATGTCAGGATGTCAGGCACTATTTCTTGAAAAAGGCCTACCTTTCGGCAACCTTCTTGAGTCCATCAAGTTCTTTTTCAACCTTCTGGAAAGCTTGTTTCTTCTCATTCAGAGATTCTCTAGCTTCTTTTACATCTCCCAATTTGGCCAGGATGGATCCAGTCTTGGGACGTGCACCTAAAATATACCATGTCAAGTGCGTTAATGGTTAATGCAGAACTTAAAGTTTCATCTGTCATTTCATGAAGAGTATACAGCATAAAGAACATTATTAGTACATTACTTCAAATTCAGGCCTCCTAGACTTCAACTCACATGGTTGTCAGTCCCAACCTCGCTGACCTCATTCCTCCACCCACAATGCGAATATCAGTTTTTAAGTCCTGAATGACCAGTTCTTTTCTCTCGAACTTATTTCTCCACTCGCGCATCGAGTCCCCACATTATGAAAACTGGTGATCATGTGAGTCGAACTCTAGGAGGGCTGAAGCTCACCTCACCCAATCTCCCAACATTGCCAAAAATCCACTACGGGCAAATTATTGATATGACGCGCCAATTTCGTCTTATGCTTTTCACTCTAAAACCTACCGCTAGGTGTTCACGCGCTCCCGGTCTATACTTCTTGTAAAACCCGCTTTCTTGGTGAGCAGAATAGAATTGCTTAAAATTAACAGATTTTTCTGATTTTTTCAATGGTGGTACTAGGGGGTCTCTACTGCATGTTTATCTAAATTATAAGTTGCTATGGTGTCAAATGTTTTCGTCATCTTTCTGTAAATAACCTTGAAAACATCGTGAGTGCAAAATTGTTGCGTCAAACAGACATGTTTAGGTTGGTCGCAGGAGAAGCCGTTTTACACCACTGTTCTTGGACGGATTCCGAAAATAATTTCACGACAGTAATCATTATGAATGTAAGTATTAAAGTAATTAAATTCACATCCATACTATGAGTGTAAGTTATGTTTTCTTATGTCTAAATATCGAGGAATGAACTGCGCTGGCAGTCAGAAATAAACTTTTGATGATTGAACCGTTCAATGTATAGCGTAAACTTTAGACGGACAATTCAATAACTTAATGTGAATGGATTTTTAAATAGATTTCAGATTCATGATCATATTAATATGTAGATTAGAGGGTCTTTATTTTATAATTCTATGATCTAAATGTACTGAGTAGTGGGTGCATCAACATTACGCATTGGCAACGCTTTTCTCAAGTGAAATCAGACGAAGCTCACGCGTAAACATTGACCAACGTTTGTGTTTACACAGTCGTATTTCAAAAGTAAAGCATTATTTTAAAAATCTAAAACGATACGATTGCGATTTAGAGTTTCTAGTTTTTGAATATGTGAATTTAAATTAATTTTATTTATAAATGAAAAAAATGAACCAAGGGTGAAAGTATGACTATCCATAGACGTCCTTGGACTATCAAATCGTTCGTTTTAATGACTTGACCAAATGTAGCAAAATGTAGCAAACTGGGAAGTACATTATAAACATACGACTTTTACACACGCACGGACGTATAAGAGCCAGATAAGTACAGCTGTGCACGTTCTCCAAATAAAAGGTCTCAATCTTTCTCCATTGACGGTAACATAATAATTCTGCACCTGGAGATGCAACATTTCGTCCAGTGCGATCGTGATCAGCGCACCTAGCGGATGGCGCGTCATATCAATAATTTGCCCGTAGTGATCAAAGGAGACAAAAGAACTTACCTCCAGTAAGAGTTCCAGCAGGATCAAATGAGTCTCCTTCAAGAGTGACACATTTCTTCATGACATCCTTGTCATATGCAACCTTCTTGGCAGAGTTCATATCTTTGCAGATCAGGGCATTCCCAAAGACATACTCCATGGCAGATCTTAGCTCAGGTTTATACTCCACCAAGCTCAGGGCTGTGTGTACATCATTTTTGCCAACCTGGAGATTATTTAACATTAAAGCAGGGTGCAATGTAAGTGCCGACCCAGAGGCTTCTAACACTTGAACCAATTTGCAACATGACAAATTGTGATACTATTTCATTTACACATACGATTGTATTAGATATTTTAGAAGAAAAATTGAAATGTAAGCGTACTGATGTCCTGAATAAATAAGATTTTGCTTTATTTTCTGAAGACAATCATGTAATGTGCTTAAATGATACATACCAAGGATTCTGCCTTTCTGGCTACATTGTCTGGTATTGGTCTGGATGAAATCTTGTTGAGTGGTATGAATGTATATCGTCTCTTCAGTCCACCATTTTGTAACAGTTTCTTACCAGTCACTTCAGAATCAACCACAACATTGTAGAGCTAAAAATCAATAATAAAATAGGTTTCATAATTCAATTTTGCTGTACATTCTAAAATTGCTCTTTATCATAACAGCAGAGGGTGATTGGATTTTACTTGCATACCAAAAATACAAGTTCACACCTATGCCTTACCTTGCCTCCGGCTGCTACCTCCAGGGCAGTGGCGTACTTAGGGTCCTTCACTTTGATGAGGTTAGCCACCAGTCCATACACCTTACTGCGATCAAAGTTCTTCTCTGGATCTCTGTATTCAAACTGAAGCTGGGGAAACCTGAAAATAGTAAGTGCAAATGGGATATGCTGACATCTACCCCAAAAACATGCAAATACATATTCCGTGTTATATCAATATGAAAATGGTTGATAAAATTAATTAAGGAAACTTTTAAATAATCTCAGCTGGATTTACATTTAAACTCAAAAAATATAATTATCCTATCGAAATAATCTTTCCACAAATAGGGCCACTCAAAGGTGATCAACTAAGACAGATTTGACCACATTAGTGTAATGTTCTACCTTGCTTCAATGCCATCAATTTTCTCTTGAAGCTCCTGTACATCATGAAGTAGACCTCGTCTTGTTGATGTCAAATTTTCCTCTTTCCCATCTTCGTATCCAAGCTTACTCATCTCTGCCTAAATGAAAAATGACAAATTGATGGTTCATCAATTGATAAAATTGAGATGATGAAAGTTGACTTTTGTGCTTAAATGTTACCCCTTGTTCTTTTTTGAAGAAAAGATAGGATTGGTACAAGACAAACACAGTAGAGATCTTCACTGTTTCTCCAATAAATTTTTTAGGCACCAACCCAATACTGTAAAACGGGTAATTTTGACACCGGGAAATTTTAGCGATTTTTCAATTTTAGGGGGTTTTAGCGCGGGAAATCTTAGCTAAATGATGATTAATCTTTAAAAATCAAATTAGCGAAATGCATTAGAAATTTTATCATTTATGGCAGAAGAATGAATAACGGACATGACAGAGGAATTATCAAAATGTAAGACTTCTAACGCACATGGTATTGGTCCAAACTACTGTATTTCACTGATGGATGGCTATTTATCCTTCAGATATTGAAAGAAACATATACGATTTAAAAATATTTACCTTTTTCAAATTACAAACCGGAAGTCGAGCACTGAACGAAAAGCTCCTTAAATACTAGTATTCATGTAGTTTCCCGGGAATTTGCAAATTTTACCGCCCGGTTTATTTTAACCCCGGTTTATTTTAGCGAATTGAATTTTTAGCGAAACTATAGCGATCGCTAACAATCGCTAACAATTACCCCTCGCTAACAATACCCGTTTTACAGTATACAAAAACACTGTCGATTTATTTGTACCTCCAGTTTCTGTGAATTCTTTTTGACAGCATCTAATGTTGCTTTATCTTTCTTGTAAGCCTGATCAGTTTTCTTTAAATCTGCTTGTTTCTTCTTGATCTCCTGTTGATGATGTTTCAACCTCATTGTGGCCTGTTTGGTCTCAGTGGAGCAGTTGCTGATCTCATTCCTGGCAGCTAAATATGTAAAAATAATATAAAAGAATGAGCACTAGCATACAAAGCCTTCAAGTTAATCTTTGAAAAGGAATGCTACATAAAGCATAATAAATAATATATGATGTACACTGTATATGTTTTTCCAAATTGCCTGAAATTGGTGGACATTTCTAAATGAAAGTAATTTTCTTTGGGAGATAACAAGAATTCTTATGTTAGTTTAATATCGATAAACATTAGCCAAAAGATGGATGAGGGGGAAGACTTAATACTTCGATAAATGACTTTCACCTAAAAGAGAACTCACCTAGGAGCTGGTCATTAAGTGAGGCATCCTCTCCATCTGCATTACTAGAGAGACCAGCACTGACAGCATGGAAATGTTTCTGTGCAGCCTCATGTGCCTTCTTATCTGCCTCACTAGTCTCTTGAAGCTTCTCATAGCCACTCACTATTTTATCAACTTCTTTCTCTTTTGTCTTCATGGCAGCTTTGTCCTGAAGGAATACATTACAAACGTTTTCCATGATCAAGTAGATTTTTAAGAGGGAGTATCCGAGGATTAGCTCTCTGTAGCTATTTACTATGGTGAAAAAATAAATCAACACCTTTTTGATATTTAAATCCTAAAATGTTTGGGAGAGCTTGTTATAAGATTTCTAAGATATGAATTCATTTCAAACACTTCTTTTTTGCAAAATTTTCTCTATATGACCAATTACTGTTTCTCTTTTAATTAGATGGTGACATTTTAAATAAGGCCACAACCTAGACAAATATTCTTATGCACTTACATCTTGACACTGTTTAGTCAAAGATTTATGTTTCTTCTGCTCAGTTTTAAGGTTCTCTTTTTTAAGGTCCACAGCACTCTGAGATTTTGTGTGAGCTTTTTTCTTCTCATTTAGATCTGCTTCTATCTGTTCCATAACACCCCCAGCCTCCTGAAAATAAAAATTACAAATTATATTATTCAAATGAACTGCAATATGAGAACTTTACAGTGGCTTAGGTCATCTGAAAAATCGGGTGCCTGAACTCAGATGCACCGGGATATTTATTACTTCTAGTGAAACTGATTACATCGGTTTCAGTTGAGTGAAAATCTATAAATAGTATCATAGGGAATAACAAACCAGGTGTTTATGCAGGTCAAATGGCTAGTTTTGAATCAATGTTGATCGAGTTAAGAAGTTTGAAGAAGTTTCCTTGCAAAAAATCCCTCTGTTAAGTGCTACTGTATAAAATCTGTTGCAGTGTGTGCAAAGAATTTAAGTACATAGTTGAATGAATTATGAATGATTTAATCCACCCGTGCATTGTTTCCTTGACTTTGTGCTACCACACTCATGCAAAGGTCTGGAAACAACACATTAGTGGATTAAATCATCCGCAATGCATTGAGTCCTGGACTTAAATTCTTAAATTGAATAAGAGATTATTTTCATTCGAGCTTACCTGATCTCTTTTCTTCTCTAGCTCAGCTATATCTTTATCAAGTTGGTTGAGTTTGTCCTTTACTTGCTGCATGGTGCCATTCAGTTTGTCAACAGTCTCCTGCATCTTCTTCAGATCATCTGCAGACCTCTTGCAGGTCTCCTGTTAGAATACCAATTTAGAAATGAAATGTAGGGAATTACATGCTCACTAATGGGAGATGATTATCAACACCTCCATGCTGAACAGCTAATTAATAGTATTGGCCATATGAGAATCCTTTAAATGATTTTCATAACAAGACAGAGTGACAGACACCCAGACTATGGAGACATTTTTCGACTATTTGCAGCAAGGAGGAGGAGGGACAAATACCTTAACTGACATTTCAAGCATATTTTGTCATATAGCTATGTCTTGACTTGTGAAGCAGGGTTGATATTTATGAGGTAACGGGCACCTATAACTTTGATTATAGAATATCTCACTGAATGTGTTTTCTCTGAAACAGTTACTAACAGATTGACAAAACAATTGAACAGAAAAATGAACTTTCCATACCACTTACCTCAGCACATACAAACTGGTATGCAATGTAGAGTTTATTAAGATGCTCTAACTCCCTGATTACTTTCTGGTATTCTAGATATGACGACCTCTCAGCCTGCAGTTTTGTCAATGTGGGGGAAATCTCTTCTTTCAAGATCTGAAACATGAAAAGTAATTCATGTCATGCATGTTCTTTATTCAGTAAACTTCATAATAATCTATGGCTTATAATATACAAAGGATGAAAAATTATGGTTTTATGAAATTCATGATTTTATAAATCTTGAAACAAAATATACTTTTACAATGATAATTTGTACTAACAGTATCAATTTCTCTCAGTTTTGTATCTTTCTTCTCTATAGTTTTTTGGGCAGCTTCCTTTTTGCTTTCATATAGTCGAGTTCCAGCGGCCTCCTCTATCATGGACAAAATCTGAAGGGAAATATGCAACACATTAATAGAAATAGGATATACACAAAGAAAGGACCAGGTTATACCAGTAGATATAACTTTTATTAAAATAATTGAATATAGAAAAATATGAACTGAACGGTGGCCAAGGAGAAGGAAAATGCATGGTATGTATGAAGTGCATGTTTTTGTCCAAACATATTACTGTATTTATATCATATTACTATTATTTTTAAGTTTTTTTTTTTTTATTTAAGCAATTGTTCTTGTCAAAATATCTATTCTCTTAAAATTCCTACTGTGAATACTTTATACCAGGAAAACTAAAGAATTTCACATTTATGTGTTCAATCCATTTACATTTATTTATTAATTTGGAAGATTTTTGCATTTTTCCATAAATATGTCAACTGTACACTTTACAAGCAATTTTGTCTCCCGTCTTATTCTATCATTTGGGAGATTACTGGAGAAAACACTGGTATATTTCAGTGTACATGTAATTACCTCTGGAGGCTTCATATTGAGTACTTTAGTGATGCGTCCCTGCATGATGAGAAAGTGAGGGTTGTTGATGTTCAGTTGGACAGACCGGAAAAGATCCTGGACACGATTGTTGTTTGCGTTACTTCCATTGATCAGATATTTGTTCCTTCCTCCTATTACAACCTGGAGAAGAAAAACAAATGATAAAGATTCATCAAACCCCACATATCAATTATCATTAAATATGTACTCAAACAACACATGAAACTTCAACATTTGAAACTTTATACAAGTCATTAACATGCAAAATGTCACTACCTGCCATTTGTTACAGACCCTCAACTCCAAATGCTAGATGACGAACACCATCCACAAAAACAGAGACTATAACAATATGTTAGACTAACATCAATAATCGGCATTGTTTTATAAAGAGTGAGACACAAGTTTATAAAGGTACACTTGTTAAAGAATATATTATAAGCGCAGTACCTGTCTCGTGACTGTGATTTCTTCATATTGTTCATATCCAAGAGGACTCTGCTTCTTATCCATGTTATCAAAGGTAATGCTGACAGTTGCTTTGGTGACGCCAGCTTGCCCACTCTTGTAGACGAGTTCTTGAAGATTGCTTGCTCTTACCTAAATAGAAGAAATATTCAGAGTGTAGAAGTGAGAAGAAACAATCATCAGTTTGAAACATAAAACATCATTGTCCTTTTTCAAACATGGTCAACCATTTACACACTGCACAGTGCAAAAGGTAATAAATTTATGAAGATGAGTTTTAAATAATCAAAAACAAGAAAATGCAGTGACCCTATCATTGTTGAGATCTTAATTGTATCATGATACACATCAAAATACTGTGGATAATTAAGGCAATGAACAAAACCACACACTTGTTTATGGTGGTGACAATTTATGAGTAATGTCACAGATGATGGTATCATATTGCAAGAATTCATTACCAAGAATGTTATATGACATCATAATTTGGAGTCTGTATCATGCCATTTTACAACATTGCATTTAGCTCCATGATTTGACATGTACGTGGAGATTTAAAAATATAATAATGATTTAATTTCTATATAAAAATATTTAATAATTTTGATGTTAAATTCAGTATTTGATTGATTGATATAATTTAGGTAGGGCAAAGGTTTGCAACGTCGACATTTGGGGTAATGTTGACATGAGAAAAGGGGTAACTTCGACACTTAGGCTACTTGTATAATAGAAAAAATAAGAATTTCCTTATTCTGCTGTTTGATTTCGAAAAAATAAAAACCTTATAAGATCTCGATTCATGCAAAAAAAGAAAACATGGTCTAAACCTACAGATCAGAAATTTAGAGCAAATAAACAAGGTGTCAAAGTTACCCCATATGTCAAAGTTGCCCAAATTAAATTGAGACAAAATAGCCTACCCCTTCGCACTAGAATTAGGTGATGAATTGAATAATTATAGGCATATGTATGTATGTATAACATGTATAAAAAAGATTAAGTTGAATACATCAAGTAAAGAGGTTCTACGTGGTATATTCGACTCAATCTTTTTTAGACATTCCTGAGCCGATAATTATATTTAGCAAAGCTGACCAAAAATCGAGATCTCCAATCAGGTAGCTAAGCAACATCGGAGAATCAACCACATGCTATCTATTGCAAGACTTACGGCTGGTGTAACCATCACCAATGGCAGGCATTGCAATATAATACAACATTGTCGCGGTTATACCAGGCTTTCACGATAACACTATCACAGTCATGGCAGGATCCTTGCGCTACTTAAAGACGCTGAATAACATGGTGACGGTTACGCCAGGCGTAAGTCTTGCAACAGATAGGGTCTCGAATCAACAACACTTACCTGGCTGAGATTTGAGATCCCAAGAAGAAAACAAATGGAGTCCAAAATATTTGATTTTCCACTTCCATTCAAACCTGTGATGGCATTGAACATGGGATCAAAACCATTTACCTCAGTCCTTTGGGCATAGGATTTAAATCCATCGATTATTATGGATTTGATATACATAGTGCTTATTTAAAATAGCCTAATCACAACAAGAATATTGTCTATTCCATCAAAATATTGACAGAAAATCAAAAACCGCTTAAATTTGGCGGTCGTTCAGTGCGCATGCGTAAGGCTGGTGTCTCAAAAATGTTCTTTAAAACATATCATAAAGCGTCCAGAAAGACATTTTGCAAGAGCTTTATACCTTTATTTACCCTTTAATCGCTTATCTAGAATTTATTATATTTGTGAAAATGCAAATAATTAATTATTCTGTTGAAATGAAATAGGACTTTCATAAATATTCAGTCCTTATATTTGTTTATACTTCCGGTTTGAACTTTTCAAAAATTGATTTTTCTTCCTCATCATGGTAAAACTAAATGAAGGACTGGTTCTTGCAAGATCAAGAGCTGCCGATCTAGAAAGTGTCATAAAACTTAACTGCTGGTGAGTATTTCTCTGATCTAAACTGATGATATATTACTGCTTTTATATATGAAAATGAAAATGATGGCTCTAAAATCTTGTCAACTTTGGATGGAAACCATATGTCTAAGGGGGCTGCCCATTGGTCCCAATCTTAATCATCTGAATCCCATTGGCCCAAATCCCAATTGCCCAAATCCCAATCTTTTGAGTCCCAATCGTCGGAAATCCCATAGGTCCAAATCCAATTGGTCCGAAACCGAATTATCAAAATCCCAATGGTCCAAATCCTGTTCGTCTGAATCCAATTCGTCCAAAACCTAATGATCTGATGGTGACATAATTAAAATGCGAAGCTTTTATCAAGATGTCCAAAAATAATCTCCACAATCTAATGAGTGGGTTTTATATAATGTTTTGCTTCAAGTTCAATGGTCATTTCTTTCAAACAAGGATTAAATTAAGGTCTCATGGAAGTTAACAGGAAGTGACAAAACAAAAAATGACAAAGCCATGCTGGATTTTGAAAATTTTTTGAACCAAGATAACAGAGTTCTGTTTGGACCTCCAGTCAGTTTAACTAGTTCCACATATCATTTACATGACCAGGAACACAGTTGAAATGGTCAGAATGACCATAAACATGATAGAATAACCTTTTCAGCCCTCTGAAAATGTGACTAAAAATAGCTAAGAGTAGGTGCTCAGGAAAGGTCACTGAACAGAATCTTTTGACTTTTTCAGAAAATGTGCCCAATATATTGCTCTAAATGATACAATTCGAAAAAATTTGATATCATTCTTAGAAAAAGAAAAAATTGAAAAAAACTGAATTGAAAATCGATCTATTTTCCTTTTTACTACAGCCATTATTGTTTCAGACGATTTTTTAAAATTTCAAAGATTGTGTCATTTAGAGCAATATATTGGACACATATTCTGAAAAAATCAAAAGATTCTGTTCATTGACCTTTCCTGAGCACCTACTTTTAGCTATTTTTCAGTCACATTTTCAGAGGGCTAAAAAGGTTATTTTATCATGTTTATGGTCATTCTGACCCTTTCAATTGTGTTCCTGGTCATGTAGATGATAATTGGAACTAGTTAAACTGACTGGAGGTCCAAACAGAACTCTGTTATCTTGGTTCAAAAAATTTTCAAAATCCAGCATGGCTTTGTCATTTTTTGTTTTGTCATTTCCTGTTAACTTCCATGAGACCTTAAGTCACTGGGTGTTTCAGTTTCATACTCATATTTCACAAAGTGTAAAATGCTAAACGTAGTATTTCCAATAAACATGGCTGGTTAAACCATGGGCTTTCAACTAGAAGGGTAGGCAACTTCCCATATTTCATACATGAGCATTGCCTTGGTTTTCAATATTGGAGAATGTACACATTCCAAGAAAATCTTATTTTGCACTTTTTATTCATGATTTAAAGAAATAACTCAAAAATAAAAACATGAGTTTCTACATACATGTTGATAATTTAATAAGAAATGAAATTCATCAGGCTTTGTATAAAAAACCTCCTACCCACGTACCCTCGTACCCACGTACGTGGGTCCTGACCCAGTCTTTAAAGAGTTAAATCTTTAACATTTTTTAAACATTATTCTATCTCAATGTATGCTTAATTATGGATGAATTTATGTACCCATATGCCTTTATTTCTAGATCGGACATCTGTCTCGTCATAAAATAAAGCCGGCATTGCATAATGTTCATTTGAGCTATTTGAGTGTTGTTTTTGATATATCGAAGCGATTTTTTGTTGATCGGGCAGTCTTACAGTGTACAACCAATCTATTGCTTGGCGCAAATTGGCCACATGGGGCATGTGTTGTAAAGTGCTGTAGTTTTTGACTCCTGAGCAGAATATGGTCAAACTTTCACAACAAAATTCACATTGAATGACCTGAATGATTCTGGATTGACGAAGTTATTCAACTTTTCATCGGTCCTGTTTTTTAACACCCTGTAGTTTCGATTTTTATCACATATACTTTTTATTCTTTCAAACGATATTACAAGTATTCATTGTTTGCACGACAGATTTGAACTATACGTGTAATTTGTCTTATGTCTTTTATTTAATTTAACATCAGAATTGGAGATACAAAGTGATAGAGTGATCAATTCACACGATCTCAAGGAATAATAAAGGCTGCATTTCTGTTTAACCGTGGCGCAATTGAATAACGAAATATTTGAAAAGTAGAAGGATTCGCTATATTCGTTTTTAATCGCTTTTTGGCACAATTTAAGGATAATTGTGCGCACTAGTTCAGTGAATCATTTAGATGGAATTAAAAGTTAGAGTTGCCAAGCTTATGCAGGGGAGTGTAAGTTTGGTTTTGTAAACTTCGACATTATTCATGGCCGTTTGATCCATAATTAGGTAATATGAAGAGTAGAGTTTTATTTTGACAATGATTTGATGTAAAACTGGTTTGAATGATAAAAGTTCAGCTTTGTAGTTTCTAGCTTTTTGCGCGTAAAACGTGAATACAATGGACAACAACGACACCAAATCTTTGACTAACATACGTTAATAACGTATAATATTCGTAAGAATGAATTCTAATAACATTTGAAATAAACATCTAATAAAATGTGGTGAATTTAATTGGTTGGAAACTCTAAGAAATATATTTTTAAAAAGATGTCAACTTTTGGACAAGGGTAAACTTCCCGGGACATTTACAATCTGCATGAGGTAACATGAGGCACGGATTGCACTGAACGAAGGCTAGGAGATTGCTAATCAGCACTGATGTGTTATACAGGTAAGACTGCCCGATCAACAAAAAACATTTCGACATATCAAAAACATAAATCAAATAGCTCAAAAATAATTCAAACATTTATGCAATTCCGGCTTTATTTTATTTTACTAGAGAGATGTCAGACCTATAAATAAAGGCATATGGATGCATAAATTCATCTATAATTCAGGATAAACTGAGATTGAATAATGTTTTAAACATTTAAAAATTTAACTCTTTAAAGACTGGGTCAGGACCCACGTACGTGGGTACGAGGGTACGTGGGTAGGAGGTTTTTTATACAAAGCCAATTCATCATAATTATGACAATACAGAAAGTGAACATTCTCCCACAAATTACGTTTTTATTGGAATGTGTTCTTGAATAATTACCCACAATGCAATACTCCAAGAGAACATCTTGATACCTCTTATTCTTATTGGTCTTTTTTGTTTACTTTAACATGATATTGAATATATGTTATGCTTCAATCATATTGAAAATTGATTTTTACTCAAAATAATACTAAAACATATACATTTTATCTAATACTTTTTGAAATATTACCTTAAAAGGGAAGCATGGCATTGCTCATTTTGAAGGTCTCATGTTATTACACAGAGTTGCATACCCTTCTAATTGAAAGCCCATGGTTAAACATGGAATCACTTTTATTCAATAATCACAAATCAACCTTATGTTTTATTCCACGTCGTTCACACATTTCTTGCATCTTTATGTTGATATCAAAATTAAGTGTTACTAGGCGGGATTATGACCTATGGGATACGGACCATTGGGATTTGGTCCAATGGAATTGGGACGGTTGAGATTCAGACCATTGGGATTCAGACCAATAGAATTCAGATAATTGGGAATAGGACCGACCATTGGAATTCTGACAATTGGGATTCAGACACTTGGGATTTAGACCAATCGGGATTTGGATGATTGGGGTGACCTCATGTCTGTTTACCAGTTTCTGATCGGTCCTTTGACAACCCATAGGTTTCTTCAAATCTCTAGCCAATAACTTGGCTAAACATCATTTGAGGTTTCCTTAAGTGTCTATCTAACCAATAACTTGCCTAAACATCATAAATTGTTTATTTTTCAGTGCCAAAGGTCTTGTTTTGTCTTAGTTCTAATTTAAGCTATCTAGATTTGATATGCTTAGAAAATCTTATATAAGAAAATCAATGCAAGTTGGGAATGTCAAACATATGGGCAGCTGTTAAAGTTCTGGCTTGTGTAAAAATATTGGTGGCTGGGTTACTTGTTGACATGAAAGCTTGGTACTTAACATTTCTGGTAGGGTAAATGGGTCCATGCTATTCTGCAATATCCAAAAAGGACAAGAGGGGGATTAACCCCAGAGTTCAAAGATGACATACGCTTATAATGTAAACCTGTATTCAATGTCATGCAATAGAAATCATAAACAGAAAATCTTCTTTTGAGTAAAAACGTTCAACATTTTGGAAAAAATGTTTTCATATGGGTCCCTATTCATAATTTTTTGAATTGTTCGATTTGATTAATATCACGGCCACTTGAAAGAAAACATACTGTTTTTTTATAAAAACACTGTATTTGTGACCAGAAAGTTCTCCTGACTCTGATTGAAGCTAAATGGTGCAGGGGTTCTTGGTCAATATGTCTGCTTGATAATGTATATGGATATTATGGAGAAAAATTGAACATTTTATATGTATACTGTACATTTACGTTGAAATATTTTTTGTAGGGGTTCAGAACTGACAGATATTAGTATCCTGAAAGAAACACCCAATGTTGAAGTTGTTAGTCTCAGGTATGTAATGTTATAGTGTACATGTTCATGTGATAAGTACAGACAATTAGACACATCACTCACTAATGATACATTTATTGAATTCAAATCATTTGCAATATGGCATTCGAGATACACATACTTTCTTCAGAGGAGCAAAATTTAAGTTCTTACATAATTGGCTGCTTGGCTCAAGGCATGTGCCCAGTTTGCTGATGCTTATGTATTCGTGTCACTTGACAGGGGTCGATATATCAGCAATACTATACCCATATGATAAGTCGGTCTCAATATATAATATCTAAGGTACGTAAGATATTATATAAGTAATTATAATGAAACATCACTGCATCTTTTAATTCTTGTTAAATCTTTCAGTGTGAACCACATTTCCTCACTAGCGGACCTAGCATCCTGCAAGAATCTTCAGGAGCTTTACATAAGAAGAAATGACATTAAAAACTTAGCAGAGATATGTTATCTGAAAAATCTGCCAAAATTGCGAATTTTATGGTTGGCTGATAATCCATGTGCAGTGGGGGATAGGTACAGAATGACAGTCTTGAAAACACTACCTAACTTACAGAAATTTGATAATGTGTGTAAGTACATAGAAACATCGTCGTGTTGATTTTTAATTTATCCATTAAATTAAATGTGTTACTTGCGGTTGATCTAGTATTTTTCAAATCCTTTTTGAAATCTTGCTGATTTTCATTTAAGAAAATTTGTAATCTGCAGGCATTTGAATACCATTTTGGCATCAGTTTGTTTCATTTTGGTGCCAAACGGGCCTGAACTTTCAAGCAGCATCAGAATTTTCATGATAAACAGTTGTTTAACATGTCTTATGTCACCCCCAGAAGTGCTGCAGATTATTATAGTCTCCAGCTTTTTTTGTGGATGATGTTCTGCGGTTGATGTTTGGTGTCTGTAACAAATGGCAGGTTGTGACATTTTACATGTTATGCCTTGTATTTGTCTCAGACTATGTTGATATCATATTTTCAGTGGTCCAACAAGAAGAAATAAATGATGCTATTGAACAAGGCCAAGAGCTGACACCACCCAAAGGATGCTCAAGTTCCAGTTCTGCCCCTTCTAGACCCAAAACACCAAAGAAAACTGAAAAATCATTTATAAAACTTGAAGATGACACTAGTACTTTGTCATTAGAGGAAACTAAGTAAGTACAAAATGCCTGTTACAAAGTCATCAGGTTGTAGCCAGGGTCAAAAATTTGGCAAGGCAAATAAAAATAGGTGAGGCAAAGGAGTGCTATCGATATGGTGAACTTTTTTAACACCTGTTTTTCTTTAACCAGTCATCAAAACATTCTGAAAATTTTACACATTGTCAATTTAATGGTCATCTTTTGGATGGTAACATATATTTATATACTTTTCTCTATATTGTTTTAGAAAACACATCAGACACTTCTTTTGTTCTATATAATAACATATATATAGAGATTATCCTATATGAGGTTCAGGATATTGGGATCATCCCGAGGCAAATATAATATATTTGCCCGAGGGCCACAGGTCCCGAGGGAAAATATATTATATTGGCCGAGGGATAATCCCAATATCCTGAACCGACTATAGGATAATATGTTTATCCCATACCAATCTTGGTCATCTGGTTCACATTGTTCAATCGTGGAAATATTTTAGAATATTCATGTGCAGTTTTGTTTTCTTGGCCGTGGGCGGATTTTCCGGTTCTCTCAAATATTCCCACATTTATTTTATTGATTTTTTGAATGATTAAGTGGATGCTCCTTCCCTTTTTTAAACCATCAAACAGATCCCGCTTGTCTGTGTTTTCTCCATTGTCGTTTACAGTCATTACGCGAACGTTACAAATTATGAACAAATATGCGAGCGGCGATTATGACGTAGCATATCTGCCCGCTCGGAGCGGGACATAAAGCTATATCTGCCCGCTGATGAAAATATAAGTTTTAATAAACTGGCTTTATGTACCTGTAACACGTCCAAGTATGGGATAAATATATATATATATCAGTTCACCATATCGATACCTATCCTTTAGGCTTATACTCCTGCATTTGGACTTTACTTCCAGTTTTAGTTGAAAAACGTCTGATTAGATATACATTTATTTCTGTAGAATTTTGGTGAGGCACCCCACATGCCTCATGTCTGCCTATGACCATGATTGATATCATATATTCAAGCTTAAAAACTGTACTATGCATTAATGTATTCAATATATAAAGAACTAAATGCTTTATGTCCTTTAATGTTGCAGTAAGATCAGGGAGAATCTCGGCCTGAAGGCCTTACCAGCTGAGAAAGTGACCCCACAGAAGACACGGCACACTGGGGGTGCTAAAGCTAGGGTATGTTGTCTTTATATCAAACATAATACTTCATACAATAGCACAAAGTTTTCAGAATTTTTTGTATAGTGATGTTTATATTCAATTTTACTTTTGATTTGTCTCGTGAGTCGTGAATTATCATTTCAGCTGCCATAATACTTCATTGCTTTCAAAGATCATTGTATTCTGTGATCATTTATTCATTTCATCTGTAAAAATTGCAATTGCACACTATTTCACTATGTAATAGATACAATAGTAAAGTTTGACAAGGTTGAATAACATTATTGATTGTCAAATTATTAAATTGTTTCTCATTTTGTTTTCAGAATGCAAACATACTTCAGGCTGTATTATCTTTGGTGAAAGAACTTGATGCAGACAGCCTAGAAACCATAGGGAATGCTGTAAAAAACAGACTAGAATCATTCTGATAATCCTAATTCTTGAGAATTCATAATAAACTGTGTCATAAGACAACACAACAATTAAACACTATTCAGGACAGTGTTATCCAGTGAAGGTTGAGGAACAATGGGCATTTAAATCCTCTCAAGAGTGTTGTTTTATATGAGCTTGATTTGGATTGAAGTGTAAGCCTTTTATTGAGTGCTTGACAAAGAGTTTTGGGCATAAGCAGTTTGATTGGACTGAATATTAATTGAGGTTGTATTTTAGATAAAAGGCTTCATTTCTCCAATTCAACAATAAATTGATTGATTATCCATACAGCTAAACAAATGGTGCTTTGGGTTTGAGCATTAAGTAAATTTCACTCAGCACTATGAACATGTTTATTGTCTATTCACTGTTTAGCAACATTTTCTCTCACTTTTGAACCTAGAAATGGGATTTCTGGGTAGAATGTATTATTTGAGGTTTATCAGTTTGAGACTTCTTTATTTTGATAATTGAATTAATATTTGATTGGGCATTATGTAAAAAATATGCATTTCCATATGCTCATGACTGAAAACATCAGGATACTACCTATTGCCTGCTGCGAATAGACCCCTACTCTGGTGCGGTAAACAAGTAACCATTATAAAGTATAGAGATGAGTTGTCAGGTCTATGTATGCATGCAAATCAATTGTTATCATTGTACTGTACAAGTGATATGATGTCACATTCCGTCCAAGCAGTTGTATATAGCCTACTGTTGTCTAAACATCTTTTGCAGATGACATATGGCAATTTTATTTGAGTATAAATATAAATAAACTATCTATCTAAAGACTTTGTTATCATTTACTTTCCAATGGTTTGTCATTGGAAGGTTGTGTAAAATCAACACTTATTCTACAGAATTACAAATACTGTATATCTTTTTCACGACTTTATGTATTTATTAAATGTGTTAACAATATATCAAGATATAAAATAAATATTAAAATAAACAAGTTCAAGTATTTTTATACATTTACCATTTCATACATTTACCTAATATCAGTCTAGTGCACAAATTTTGCATTGAATTTTTCAGTTCAAAACAATAGCTTTTTTCAAGTTTATCAAAGAGCTCGTCTCAAACAACTCTTATTTATAACAGCCTGCAATTGGCACCATTAACAGACTTTGACACAAAGCTTCTTTCCTGAAAATATCAAGACCTGAAAAAGTAAGCAGCATGTTAAGTGCAAATTACAGTGTGCACCCGACCTGTCAAAATTTATAACTAATAATTCCTTACACAAAAGATTCATGACAAAGTTTGAACATGCAAGGTGCAGGTTTAAGATTTATTTTCAGTTTTGGTTCAGAAATCGGCACTGTCACCCTTTAATGAAATAAGCCCGGATCATTTCAGTATAAATATCACAAATCTTGTTTCTCATTGTGTGCTGGCTACATATTGGAGCTTGACATGAGACAATTCTCCAAACAGCCATATTCATGAAATAAATCTTGTTGAATATCAATCAAATTCAATGAATCAAATATTGCAATACATGTACTTTTGAGAAACAAGTACCAGTGTAAACTTTCAGTAAGAAAAGCTGTGTTGACCGCATCTGGTAACTTCACTAAAACTTCCATTTTGCTGTGTCAAGTTGAAATAACTGGCATAAAGTACTGTAATGAAACATCCTCGTGTAAAACAAAGAAATGGATAATCCTATTATCTACAATATTACAAATCACTTTCTGGGGATTCACTTGTTGACCCGACAAAAATTGTGAAAATTTTCTAATGTCAATTCTGGCTTGAATGAACTGGTTACTGTCCGTCTGTATGTTCCTGTTTTGTGACTGATCTTGGTCTTTGCCTGGAAGAAAGAACATAATTATTATAACATTATAGCATCCTGCCAGAGCCTGTGCTTCATCTTTTTTTGCAAATTGGTTTATTACAATTTTTGAATGCTTTCAAAATATAGAATTGATATTATGAGGTTATATAATGGTTCTTTCTGTATATCGTGTTTATACTCGAGTGAGTATATGATATATTCACAAGTGAGCGTAGCGAACGAGTGAATATATTATATTCTCACGAGAGTATAAAATGCACGATATACAGAATGAACCATTATATAATCTTATTATGCCACTCTAAGTTCAATTACAGTTGATTTGAACACAATCATAACAATTAGAAACCATAAAAATATCCCATAGCCAACTCAATAATACTGATGTTGATCTCGAACCATTTATGACGTCACTTGATTCTAGCAAATCATGCCGAACCATTTATGACGTCACTTGATTCTAGGAAATCATGAAAATTTCCATGATTTTTTTTATTCAACACACGTGTTCAATAGTTCCCAGAATGCACTTCTACAGTGGTATACGCTGGAGTGTATACGGAGGAGTTGTATACGATGACGATATACTACTCTCCACTGTATATCGTTGTTATAGACCCATGTTATACAACTGTAATCGGACTTAGAGTGGTATAAACTTTTTTATTTCATTCATAAATATTAAATAATGACCCAATATTGGGCAATAATAGATATTGATTGTGCTCTAACTTATTGAGGTAGATATACTGTAGAACATTTTTGAGTGACATTATCCCATGGCGAATTATAACCACTTGTCAAACAGACAATATTAGAGTGACTAAACCTTCCAGATGACCTACCCCTACACCCAAAAGTAAAATACCTGCAGCAATCGTTAACATTCACTGTAATCCAATGATGCATTCATTTCTCTAAAAAATTCCAAGCTTGAGAAGAAATCTATTATGAGGTGAGAGGTTTGTAAGGTTCGTAAGTCTAAATACGGTGTAAACTACTGGTTGTTATAAATTTGAGGTATTTAGTATCACAGTAAAAGGTTGAGTCACTTTAACATTGATCAAGTTTCTCTTACTCCAATCTGGATTTGTAAGATCTTTGAAATGTGTGGAGACACTGGCCATATCTGTTTCTATCTTCAGTGTCATCTCTCCATTCTGATTTGCTCTGATTACCTGCATAATTACAAAAATTCAGTCAGCAAATATTTATTCTGAGATTATATAACTGAAATTCAATAAACAGCAATTTAAAACCAACAGGTTAAAATACAGTACAAATATGGGCCGTATCCAGTTCTGCTAAATTACATTAGCTCTCCAGAAGTGCATGACATTTTGTCCACCTTTGTGATTCTTCTTGCGAAAGGAATTATGTGAGGGTGACACATATTATTTGATTTTCGTACAACCCGCATATTTCTAGTTGACATAATCTTTTAAAAATTAGAAAAGCTTATTCGAAGATTTATGAGTTTTTAAAAATTGGAAAAGCTTACCACAAAATTACTAAGATTCTTCATGCGATCTACAACATGCCTTAGAGTCTTTAGATGAGGCATGTAGATGCTCACCTACAATGTGAGAAATGAACATATACTGTAAAGATATCATGTAATAAAAGGCCCAACGGACGGACGGACCAACGGACGGACAGACGCCTGGTCGATCCCATAGACTCACTGTGTGAGCCAATAATGAGATTCAAGCAGAGGCCATTCAGTGGGGTTCAGGGGGGCTGCACGAATTATTTGTTTTATCTGTGCAGACTTCCCCCCTGTACTTTTATTCCTCACAGAAAGGCCAGTCGGTTCAGGATACCGGAACTATCTATAGCAACACATACATTCACAAAGCACTGTTACTTGTTCAATTTTAATGGCATACCTTATTTGATAAAACGTTAAGATTTAAAAATTATAGTAGATGTATTCTAATATGTTTTCTTAATAAAGGTAAGATACAATATTATATGAAGGTGATCTGATGACAAAGGATATCTGAAATAAAGCAGGTAACTGCATTATTAATACATAACAGAGTTTGAACTTTGAAACACAGCTGCCTGATTGCCAATGGTAATCACTTTTCACTCTGGGCAATGAACTTGGAAAATGAAAATATTAAATTGTGACAATAATATTTTGAACCTTAGTCGTCGAACTCCAACTGCACATATACAGTGAGTGTATGTATGTCAGTATGTGTGTTTGTGATATATACTCTACTACTCACATCAAAATCAGGCATTTCTGGCTCTTCAAAATCATCCCACAGCCTCCTTGGAATCACATTTACAGGAATATCGTGGGTAACAAATCTAGAATGATTGCTCAGTGATGGCTAAAAACAGATATCATGTCATTAAATACTAACAAAAGATGCATAGGTTTTATCAGATGTTGTTTTTTAAAGATAACTTTTAAAGGAGTCACAAAGAAAGCAGCCAACTTTTTGCCTCATTCCTAACAAGCATTTTTATAAAAATCTGAGGCAGAGAAATAATAGCTTTTTAAAACAAATTACTTGTATATTTTCCTACAAATGTGGAAATAAACATTTTTATTTTGAAGAATTGTCTTAATGTTCATCTAACTCTACAATTTCTCAATCGCAAATGACTTGACTATCTGATAAAGACAAAATGGACCTTTTCTGAAATATGATATGTGGAATAGTAAAGAGCACATTAGATGGTCCATTGAAATTATTGTTTGCAATTTATATACACAATTGGCCAGCTGAAAATCTGAAAAACTTATAGTATATATCATCGATGCTGCCAGGAGAGGCATGGCATTGTTGTTTTTCCAGATTAGCACAGAATTTCCCTTTATTTTAAGGGGTTTCACCCCAAAAATGGCACAAATCCATAAAATAATGAGATTGCCAGCTAAAGCATGCTTAGCTTACGTAAATAGCACCAAATAATACCAAATTTTTCACTACAGTACTCACCAATTCCACTTCAACTGTAAGGCAAGGTGTATGTTTCTTTGTAAGTTTAATCTTCACAGATTTAGCCTGTTGTCCAGTTTTCAAGGCTCTCAGTAAATTATCAGGAATTACATCTAAGTAGATCTCATTGAACTCCTCACTAAGGCCCTCAATCTGATACTCATTGAAGAAATGTCCCTAAAGTATAGACAATAGACATATGTGTATGATTTCAAGAATACCTGTGTATCCTATCCTCCTTTTGCCGCACAATTCAATATCAAGCTAATTTATCTAAAAATTCCAAAATATACCTGAGTTAATTCACACCAAATACTAATGCCTCCATTGGCGACTCTTTCAGAGAGGATGAAGTAAATCTTGTTGCTTGTAAGCCTCAAGGTGCATCCTTTTACAAGCTTTGCGATTGTGCTCACCACTCCTAAAATCATGAGACAATAAGCATGATAAGAAACTTATAGCAAACAATAATCCACTCCCCTACCCATCTTATTAAATTTATATAATTTGGAAATTGAAATGTCTATTTAATTTCCCTGCGTGGCAATTAGTTTCTGGAATTAACAAACAATTGTTATTGTTGAGAAGGGCTTCTCACAGCTGGGGACCAAAATGCTGCTAAAACAAGGGACTCTTTACAATAAATCAATGCACTTTTGCAATTTTGTTTTGCTTTCAATGGAGCAATTTTGAAGAAAAATGGTGCACATAGGCGTAGGGCTATATTTTGAGTTGGTACGCACACTCGGGGATGCCTGATTGCGTGGTCGAAGGCCGTGCATCGCGGGGGGGGAATCTTTTTCAAGTATGTTGTTTGATGGAATCTTAGCATTTTTATCAACTTTAAATGTTGACAATGGTAAACATACAGATACAGTAGCAAGCATCAATAAATTCGCAAATAAATTAATGCATTTTAACACATTTTTAATTTTTTCAAATACATTTGGTATGCCTGTGCATATTTTGCGTAATAGGCGCTACGCCCATGGTGACGCACAATCCTTTGCTTTCAAACATCTGGTACGTCAAAAATTCAAAATAAAGTTCGAAGTTAGTACCACATGAGAAAGCAGCACATAACAAAACGTTTGGAGATAAACAAGAGGGGGGAAAGCCCCAGAGCTTTAGCGATGACTGACTTGTTACATCTCTTGCGTACCACCTTTGATTGCACAAATTCGTCGTCGTGATGTTTTAATCGATGTAAGCATACTCCCCCGGGCATACTCCTTACATCTTTCTTTAATTTGATATGAAATAACAAGCTACGAAATTGGTTAACATGCCAGGAATTAACATAATATTATTCGAAAGCTATATTAGAAAATTTCCAATCCGCCATTTTTGTTTATCGATTTGGACCAATCAGAGGTGTACGTAATCGCAATACAGGTTTACAATTTAAGCGTACGTCATCTTTGAACTCTGGGGTTAATCCCCCTGAAGATAAACTAGGGTTCTGCGTACATAAAAATATTTCTGCATTTCGGTTGGTCAAACAAATTGTTGACTGTGATTTCAACCTAAATCCAATTACAGTACAACAAAAAGATATTATCAAGCAATGTCACAGACATATTTGTAGGGAAGTTGACAAAGTGTAAGATGTTATGTTGATAATAGAATTTTGGGACACACCAAAAATTAATTTTGATGGGCGATAATTGAGTAATTTGCATTAAATGTTAGCGTAGTCTACAATCAATCGATACATAAATCATTTCTTACTTGTAAAATGTTGAATACATCCTATGTCTACAAGTTTTGCTCTGAAACGCATGATGCACCATCAGGAAAAGTGAAAAAACAAGAGAACTCTACAAATCAAATCAAATGTTTTTGATTTTCCCAGATCTCGCAAAAGGCCCTCGCAAAACCTCGCAAGTGTTAACGAGAGTTGACATACATTTAACTGATGCTTTCAGTCTCCTTCAGAGTTAATTCGTTAATTTTTACTTATGTAAGAACTTTGCCAATCTAAAATGTTCGAAAGTTGTGAAGCTTTTATCGACTATGTTTAATGCCAAAGATTTCACCCACGTCTGATTCGAAAGACCCTGTGGCCTAATGGATAAGGCGCTAGCCTCCGGAGCTAGAGATTGTGGGTTCGAGTCCCACCAGGGTCGAACCTTTATTTTTATACAACCATTTTATGTGCTAAAAGTATTATGAAATCTTGTCTTCAACATACTATTTCGAGAATGAGAATGCATGGGAGTTAGAGACAGACCACCGACTTTTGGGTCCAAAATCCGGTGACAGGTCACTCAACCCCAATTCAACTCAACCAGTAAAACTCAACCCCAAGCCAACTCAACACCAGTAAAAAATCTTTCATGTTAGTCTCAGGTAAAACTCAACCCTAAGTCAACTCAACCCCTGTAAAACTCAAGCCCAAGTCAACTCAACCGCCCCAGTGAAACTCAACCTCAAGTCATCTCAGGGAAGAATGAAAAACTTTTTCATGAATTTTGATGCATAATTAACCCCTGATGAGAGTCAAAATAAGTATCCTAACATTAACAGAAAACAAATAATCATTATCATAGAAAAAACATCAATGGCAACATGTTTGACATATATAGTAGAAATAACTTAAAGACCCATGAAGCCGAATTAAAAAGAAAATCATATTTTTTAAATATATTTTAGGATTTACATTTTTCAAACTTATTATGATTATCAAACTTAAACTGATTATCCAGATAAACACCAATTCACTTATCAAGAAGTATATAATTGTATACATTATTCATTTAGTATTTGCACTTGATTTTTGTACTCTCAGAAGAAGGGTAAGATATTGAGGTTTAATAATATGTGTGATTGAGTTGATTTTTCAGACAAGTACAATTTTCAATATTTTCTAAGTCGATATCCGGACTCGTCATTCCCAGACTCATCCTTGGCCATAATATAAAAGTTTGTTGAATAAGAAAAAGTTTTAATAATTTTGTATCAATTTTTGATTTATTTTCCAAGACCGGCTTTGAATGTCCTAAGCTCCAAAATCTCCAGAATTGTCAACATGGTCCTACTTGAGGATTAATACTGTGAAACTAATACAGTTGTTTTAACTTTTGGAATGTTATAAGTTTGTTTTGCTAGATTTTTATAGTAAATAAGCTAGAGAACTAAATACGTTGCAAAAATATTCAAATGAATAGGGCTGAGTTTTACTTGTGTTGAGTTTTACAGGGTTCAAGTTTTACTGGGGTTGAGTTGACTTGGGGTTGAGTTTCACTGGGTTGGAGTTGACTTGGGGTTGAGATGTCATCGGATTGCTTCAAAATCAAAATCCGTAGTCGATGCTAGGTTGGTTATCGGAGGGGTCGGTCCTTTTGTCATACATCTCATTAATTTAGCATAGGGCGGCCGTGTTTAATATGGTACTGCACTAGTAATTTAAAGTTTCTGACTTCAATCAAATTAATTGGCCAGTTTTCAATGTACGTACACGTTGACATTCTTCAGCACAAGTGTTTTGACAGTGATATATCATTTTAATTAGTGAGTAATCATGTGAAAATCACCAACATTATTTAAGTCATATCGCGTAGTATATCTTGATTGGCTAGGCTACTGATGCAGAACTAAACATAATGTGTGTTCTCCCTAAGCTGAACACGTATATACAATTTGTAGAACACCACTCTATCACCACGTAAAAGAATGATGCATGCTAATTACATGCTAATTACAATTTCATCATCCCTCATTAAAAGGGGCTTAAAACGTTCAGACTGAGACTAGCCTCATTATTAGACTATTACGCCTATTACATAACGCACAGCACTTTTAAGTAAGACGTCAACATTTTTCACAGAATAGGAATATAACGTACAGTTTTACGTTATGATCTGAAATAATTTGTCACACATTCAGCACACCATTGGAAAGTTTATCTTGCGGCATTTGATCTTTTAGATACTAAAATCAAATAAAAACGTTACTACTGAGGAATTAAGTAACGCATGACGAAATTAAGTGGAACTTATCAGTCGGCGTCACTCCCCTCCAAATGTTTGGCAACCTTAACCCCTAACTCCTAGATCTCTAAAGTCAAAATTTTTGAAGAAACCTCCCCCGTTGACATAACATATGATAAAATTATTTCAAAAATTTCTTTGAAGCTCTGCAACTTAAATCCTCACCACCCTTTTCAACGCATGCTCTATGGCTACCTGTGATCGGAAAGGTCAGTCTTTTACACTTTTGAACATACATATTTAAAAGATGATTGTAATAAATTTTCTTGATTACAACAATATCGTACTTCAAATTCAGACTGAATTGTTCTTTTACATTCATTTTGAATTATAATATATACAGTGTTCCTCTTAGACAGGTTTTACTGTAAAACTATTTCTGACCGCAAACTTATTAGAAGTAAAGGAAGGGGTACTTTGAAAAACGACAACTGTGTAGGACTTTTGTACCTTTTTCAATAAATTCGCATTGAATCATAAACGACACCATAAACACGCAAGTTGCTATACAGTGCACATTCGAGGTAAAATATGGTACCGTCACAGTATTATAAATATGGGGAAACAATATTTTGTGACAATTTTATTTTTATTAGTTTTTTTTATATTGCTTTATATTGTGACAAAGATTTTAACATAGTGATAGTTTAAATGAAAAAAATCATGAGTTAATATTGAGATTGCAAATGGTAAAAGCATGGCATGGGCAGACAGTGGTGATAATAATGGTTTTAAGTGAATGATAAATGACCAAATCTGCTCTAACGTTCCAATACACCGTTGGAAAGCTGAGAGAGTCATATTAAAGGATCCGACCTCCATTTGAATTTTTGGTGATTGCAAAAATAGATATTAGGGAGGTTCAGTTACACGTTCAAAGAGAACCTGTACATGAGCCAGGACCATAATTCTACACGTTCACCTACAAGTTTTTTTTTAAAAATGTGTATCTTAGCCTCCCTTTTAACATTTTGAACTCCAATTGGTGAAGTGAACAAATCAATCATGCTTTTTCACTGAAAATGTTTTGACAATCGGAATTGCATTGGAATCACTCCATATTAGATATGATTACTACTAGTGTGGAAATAGGACTGAACAGAGTTTTGAACAAAACACTCATGCATATAATGATGTTATCCCATAATACTGGCCAAGTTTAACATTATTGAGGTCATACAACAATACAAGGACAATTTAATAGGTAAGAACAGTTTAAATGTTGCACTACATGCATTTCTTAGTTACTGTGCTACTTTTTAATTCTTTCACCACAATAGTATTACAAACATCAAACAAAAATATTATTTTTGTATAAATGATGTATTTTTTACAGGGATTTTACAAGTTACATATTCAATGCATAAATTCTCGGTTTTTCCCATGTCACCATGACCAAAGTCGATTATGCAAATAATAACTGTAATAGTTCTAAAATATTATATTTCCTCCCAAGAAAAGCTTTTGACCATTACCACTGATATAACTACAATGTAACTAAATGTATTCATTACAAATTATGTATAAAATAATAGTTTAAAATATTAGCAGTATGATTTAGTGCAACCATATTCTAATATACCAGTATTCAGATATTAGAAAATGCTCTTTTAACATCATGCATATAATATACAGTATGTTCCGACAGGCCATACAATGTACAAAGAATATCAATTAAGAAAAGATACAAATAAATCTCTTAGAATCGAGCTGGAAACAAAAAAAACGTGACATATTCTAATTGAATACAAACATTTTGTATGCATAACAATGGACTTGGAATACTTGGATGAAATGTACATACAGAATGGATTCAATGTACAAGGCCTACATAAGCAATGTATAAGTCCATATCCAATGTATTGGCCAGTGCGATGCATTCACAATTGATCCAGGCTATTACACAACAAATGCATTAGTCCGTGACTGGTGTATTGGCCACTGGTTATTTTATAACGAACCTGTCAATTATTTCAGCTTGAATGGGAAAGTAACATTTATAATCAATGTGAAGCACCTCATTATAAATACAAATTGAAATAGCCATTTGCTTATTCATGTACAATTAACTTGGTTTCAAATATTTATCATAATAGACTATGCAAGACTATGACAATTTTGGGATAGCACTACCAACTGCTATGCATGTATTGCAATGCTTGTTTGGTTGCTTGTAAGTATGTAATGAATATTAAAAATATATATATAGGCCGATTGTGATAGTATATTTTGTTAGAACTATCTACAGAACTGATACAAGTTTGTATGTTGGATATCAGTGTCTATTTGAGTACATCAATGTCAGTATGTGTATATCGTGTGAATGTATAATCCCTGCCTTCAACCGTTTATCACACACTTTACAAATTCTGAAAGTACAAATTCAATAATCAGTTAAGTTAGCATTTAGAAGTAAAATTAATTAAAAACAAATAATTAAAAACAAAAAAACTTTGTCTTTTGCCCACTTCACCCAATGGTCTATTTATAATATTTGCCGCTCTTATTGTACAAGAAAGTTATCCTTAATTTAAGGTTGTAACAGAACAAAAATAATTAAATATTATACAGCTAAATAAAACAGAGTTTCATGAAGCGGAAATTTTTTATAATGAATTTCATTTTAAGGTCAAATGCATCAAAAAGCCTATTATATCTAGAGGTATTCTACATAAACATTGGTTAATGCACACAACAAAGTAAACCGAAACCTTTCAATTAAAGATAGAATCAAAAATTATACATAGGATATCAATATTTTTTTGATAATTGTTAGTTTTGAGGTTTTCTAATACACTGTACTTCCATTTACGCTTATTCATTTTAAACAGCATACTTTACCTTCATAATTTATATTGCCCTGTGCATCTTCATGTCCAGTAAGTAAATGTTCACATTCTTCATCTGTCAGTTTCTCGCCTATAAAGAAATACATGGTTACGACCAGCTATAAATAAACAGTATACATCTGTCACTTAATAATATAACCCATTGTATTTTGATAATATAACCCATTAAGGTGCTGTGTACAACATGAAGTACAAATAAAATATTGACATTAAAAATGAAATAAAAATATATGTCTTATTATCATAAATTGCATGTCATAAATTGCAAGTTTTAACTCCATTTGGCAAAGATAATCAGTAAATTTAACTCAAGAAAAGTAGGAGAATAATAAGAGAAGAAAAATAAGGTATCCAAATAATTTACAACAACGTCTATATTCTTCAGGCACTTATAGGCTACTGGGTTTTAGTTACCGCTCCTTTAAGCCCATCGAAACGTAGCAAGTAGGTTTAATATTTGGATAAGTCAAGCATAAATTATCTAGATATCATTCACAACTATCCAGGGGGAAGAAACTTCATAAAGTTAAGAATTCGTGAAGTCCATTGTTCTCTAACTGTGACGTCATTATATCTGTGACGAAGTCACAGTTGAATTCACTGGTCACTCTACTTATTCCACTGTACATCAGTTAATGTCATCATGATCTTTCCATGTATACATGTTTATGAATATTGCGTTATTTTTATTATGGGATCTGCCAGTTTAATATTTGTATTACAACAGTTGTTTGGGTAATCTTTGAACTTAGAGTAATATTTTGTAGTACTAACCATTTAATTTCTTATATTTTAGCTTCAGATTGAAGTAGTTTTTATGTGTTACCAAATGGGATAAGATTTTTAACCAATTAAATGACAGAATTCGTGTTAAGATAAAAATGACAGACAATGATATATGATGAGAAACTTTGCAATGTTTTCTTTCAATGTTTATATGTTTTCATAATTGTTGGCAGAACAGTGAAAAATACAAGTTTTTTATAAATAAAGTAAAAACTCATTAGCCTTAAAGATCTTGAACATAACTAACCAAAACCTATATATTAGTGTATAAACTTTATAAATGTATATATCTATATAATCTGTATCACATTACATTAATAACTGTGTACTTTTTAGTATGTAAATGTACATAAAAATACTTGTTTCGGACTTTAATGAACTAATAGGTTAAATGAGATAATTGGATTGTACATCCAGAGTTCACGGGACGAGATTCAGAGGTTTTGTCTAGGCATTCCTTTCCCACCAAATTCTGCCAAATTCTCAAACTTTCAGTAAACATCCAAGATTTGTGGGCAGAAAATCATCACTATTCCTTATTGACTTTCTATAAAATTAAACATTCATTTTTCGGCCAATTTTAGTTAATGAGATTTCTTCATATTTTATTGGATAAGACCTCTTATTTCGGCTCTGCCCACCTCAAAATTAACATTATAAAAGAGGCATTTTTAGCATTGAAACCTCAGATTCTCGTTACGTGAACTCGGACCGAGCAACAACTGTAAGTAACAACTTGAATTTATATTTTGGACTTAAACTTTTTCTATAATAAATTAATATTTTAAATTACATTTGGTTTCATGTTTTGTAAAAGATAGAGAGGCTCAACTTCGCCACATATCCATGGTAACAACAATTGATTTACGAATTCGTAACTTTATGAAGTTTCTGTTAATGACCCCCAGATGAACATATTTCATAAGAAAAATAAGGATTTCATACCTAAAGAACACAAGAGATGTCTCAATTCAGCTACACTGATGAAACCATTTTGTTCTTTGTCAAACACTTTGAAACCCTCAATGAAATCTGTTTCAGTCGGGACATCTTTGCTTTTGCTCAGAGTTTGGAAGATTGGCAGGAATTGTTCGAAACTGATTCTGTAATCTGAAAAGTAAAAAATAGAAAGTGAACTTTCTCAGTACAAATGTACTAACATTTGCAATTGAAAAATCATAAAATGTACTTCTACATGTACTTAATTTGGCACTTCTTATTTTCGACGGATTTGCTGTTTTGAACAGTTGGTGGACTTCTAATATTACAATGTACTAAAATTATCGGGAAATTTGGCAGCTACTTAAATTGACACTTTAACAGTTTGGCGGATCCACCAAATTAAAACGGCTGCCAAATTAAGAAGAAGTACAGTAGTTGAAATGTCAAATGAAACACAGTATTCTATAAGCTTCAATCTATTTTCTCTCACTATAGCCAGATGGAGCTTTTTTGAACAGAAAATCAGAAACAAATTCTTAACATTTCAATCCCCTTTACTTTGGCACCATTTTGTAGTATTCAAGTAGATTATTTAAACTTCCCTAAATAGATGATAAAACCACAATGGTAGCCAAAATGAGTTGAGTTGATCATACACCTCTAATACATATAGTCCCATGCCTAAGCTATAATTCCACCGAGCATACTCACAACTATGATGTCATGAGCTTGAATCAGTAAATAAATTATTAATTTCTAACTGAATGTAATTTTGGAAGCAATGGATAACAGTTTAGTATATTCTCAATCAATGTTAACTAAAGCTCTAAAATCATGCACTATAATCGTGAAACCAGGACAGTAAATTTATTTTGTAACAAAAATTATGAACTGAAACTGCAACATCAATTTAATTTACATTTTTAGCTATTTTGCAAAAGTAAATCATACACTCAAGCATTATTTTGTATTAAAACTCTAAAATGAAAATGTACACAATCAATTGCTGTGTTAAATCTGGTCCATTTATTGATCAAATATATTCAAAACCAGTCACATGATAGCATAAGTTCACACAATATTAATTATTCAATAACAGTCACACAATAACACAATCACCAGGATCATCAGGTATTGGCTTGAAGACCCGTTTACTGCTCCCTTGTAAATAAAACAACACAAAATACTCTTTGTGTATAACTTTATTCCCGTAGCTTGTACTATTCCATCACTTAAGCATGATAAAGAGGGATGAATCAGAATGCTTTCTTACTGATTATAATACTTGTCCATTTCATCTCTTTAATTATAAGTTATTTTAATTTGGTGTGTTCTTAATTCACATTATCTGTAAAAGTGGCCAATTAAAATCTTTGCCTAAAACCAATGTATCATATTGTCCTATCATATGTTAATAGGACAATAAGATACATACGTTTTCTCAAAATCTGCAAAACTAAGTATCTTTAAAATGAATGCTCTAAAAGAGATATATTCGCAATATTAAATATGACTTAATTAAACTAACTTATGATTCCATTAATAAGACCAAATAGAGCTTTTAAAAAGGCAACAAGTCAGATGACTTTACAAAAATAAAAAAAATAAAAAAAATCCAAAATTATGACAATAATTTAAAAGCTACCAAAAATTCATCTCTACCCTTTGTTACACCCAATGTACAATATGACATTTACCTGGGTCTTGTCCATAACCACATTTCTTCACCTCTGCTTCAGTAGGATTGAGACCCAATGATCGCAGGACATCACCAAGAGATGAGGCAAATATCTTCCCATCTCCCCTATTGTCAAACAGGGAAAATGTTTCTTGAAAGTCTGAAAATGAAGACAGATTTAAGATTATCAGTCGTTTACAGATGTTCTTTATCCTTGTCAGTGAAATACCTTCGCATGTGTTTATAATGCAGGTATTGAACAAGTAATGTTATACTGTCCTTGTATAAGCATTCTATCGTATAGTAGACAATTCGATACTTCTACCATAAATGTAAGATAATGTTGGCTTTCTAAATGTTAATCAAGCACTTTTACAAACCCAAGCTTCAACAACTAATTGTTCCCTATGTTCAACAGTAACAAAGGTATACAGTAGAATTAATTTGAATGGTGCTTCTCCCAAATCTATGAGCATACATGCATGGACTTTCTATTGAAAGCCCATGATACATGTAATTTCCTGACAAGATCTGGACAAGTTACAATTAAAGCTGTAAATCAAGGGGTTCCAAATTGGAAAATCTGATATGAAAATGATACGAAATGTAAACAGCATATTCAATGGAATGTCCTATTCATCAATGATTCAGTCAAGAGGAAATAAAGTACATCTTGACATTTGAATTGAAGGGTTATTTGGGGTCAAATATTTATATGAGAAATGAAGTGAACTATAGTCTATATGCCCATACACATCATTTATCAATTTCCCAAGCTTATATTGAATTAGTGTAGACAGTCAAATTAACAGATATGGATTATAACAGGTTTTTGTTTTCAGAAGGTGTGGTTCAAATCCTAAAAATATTTGATGAAAATTTTCAACTGACATTCAAACTTCAAACCCAGTTTTATACCTTATAACACAAAATTTTCTTACCTGCTATTTGATCGTCGGCGAATCGAGACTACAATAAACAAGAAAAATATAGTTAAATTTATATAAATGGGTGATTTCAACGTTTAAATCGATAATAATTGAGAGAAATTTTCATTTCCTGGTTCACTCACCATTTTTAGCTATTTCCGGTGAGATGCATGATGGGATAGAGTCGCTCTTTAATCTTTGGACTCGGAGGTAAAAAAGTAAAAAATGTCACAAAATATTCACCCAGATTTGCAAAAGGAGCGCAATGGGAGCTCCTTCGACAAAGAGAGACTCATAAACATAATAGATGGAGGGAAGGATAAGACAGAGAGACGCAGGGAAATAGGTAATAGAATTTTCTATTGTAAATTATGAATAAAAAAGCCTCAAAGGCAAAGTTGGAAAATTGGATAATTTCTTCAGTTCAAGTTCATTATCAATGTTTGTAATTGTATTGAGTTGTTTGCATAATAATTATATCAGTTTTATGTCATGATCATAAGTCCATCCATATAACTCAGTGGTAGCGCATGTACCTCTTACGCAATAGGTCCCGGATTCGATCCCCGGTTTGCTAGGTTATCACGTGCCAGGACTATGTTCTAGTCTATATATATTATAAAGGGATAACTTCAGGGTGTTTGACTGAGTGGTCCACAACTCGTACACTCGTAATGTTGGATATACCCAAAAGGTATTGCTCACCTTATTGGTGGTAAACAAAATACAATACAATACCATGGTATATATGATGGTCACTTTTTTTCGAAGGCAGAACTCTTTGTTCATTGTATCATATTTTGACCATTCATATTCGGCAAGTCGTCAAGGCAACTAGCCTTTAGTAAGTGTAAGTCATCATTAGATGCAATTGTAAATTGAATTAATGATTGATCATAATCCTTGAGAACATATATCCTACAGCGCTTCGACGACATATTTTTTATAATCTATTCAATGTAAATATTGTTTCCAATAATGAATCAAGAAGTAACCTTACTCCAAGTCACTCATTTGTATTTTTCAGTGAGATTTTCACTAGATTATCTTGTTGAATTACTAAGCACCTTGATGTAACAATATTACACCTTGAAAGTCTCATTGATATAGAAATGCATATGATTCTAAACAGATATAAAGTACCTGTACTGGACCAGCAACATTCTTAGTAAAATGCACCAACATTTTAGAGACAAATATTTTTAGACATTTGTAAACTTAAAATAGTATCACATATTAGGACTATAACATCCTCTTTTGTAAAGTGTTACACCATGCCTATTTTTGGATCATAGCTTATGCGCCTGAGTATATTCCCAGAAATGTTAGGGTATTCTTCAACTTCAAGAATTTAAAAAGGTTTGAATTGTGGGGTTATCAAATGTTCTGTATGTCAAAATTCCCAATCAATTTGTCTCTGATCAAATATACATAGAGGTTCTTATATGAGTACCTGTGCAAGATCGTCCATTCTTGATGAGCTTTGATAATTCTTCTTTATCGAGTCGAAGACGAGATAAAGAAACATTATCAAAGCGAGTCAAGAATGGACGATCTTGCACAGGTACGAGTACAAGAAAGTTTTTCTCATATGACTCTGTATTATGCCATATTTTCACCATTTTATCATAAAACTTAGTGAAAAATAACTTCAAATTAATTGAACTTCATCTTTCAATTGTTATGACGTCATAACAATATTGAAGAAAATACATAGATACACGTGGCAACATAGCTCCATTGTTATGACGTCACAGCTTAGTTTTGTAGAATTAGCATGGATACTCATAGCAACGGTGTGTCCGTTGCCATGTTGATGATGTTTATAGACCAGTGATGTCACAAGTAAATCTCATCTTGCACGTGTGACTTTTTAGGATGAAAGATGGCAATATCTTGCATGGGGTAAAGATGGCTGTATCTTTGTTAGTCATATGAGAAACTTCAATCATGTGTATGCATACTGTAGAACAAGTAAAACAATCTCAGCTTTCTAATTCCTGCCCTGTCAACCCTCACGCATTAGGCGTGATTGTCACGCATTTGCTGGAAAAATAGAAATCATACATCAATAACGCAAATGCGAGTAGGTAGTTACCAGTTTCACCACCAGGTGGCTCGCTCGGGTCAGATAGCATGGCGGGTATAGCAGAAAGTTTCCTTTAACTTAAATTACATAGGTTTTAGTGGTTCAATTTTCATATAGCCCGTATGTATCAAATAGTTATGCAAATTAAAGTATGTCCAGTAAAAGAAAATGTTAGATGTCCAATACAAGGAAAGATATTTCACTTTTTGTGATTTTATAATATGGGGTCTATGGAGAATCAACCCGAGCTAGAAGTCACATTTTCAAAAAGTATTAAATTTTCAAAGTTGATAAACAATTTTCGAAACCATATTTTTAGATGTATTGTTACATGCAGATTTCAAATATGACATCACTTTGACTGAATTTTAAATATTTAATGACGTAAATCAAGATCATTTCTACTCGCATCTAGTCTATTTAGCATGTATGATCAAATATCACGCAAATCACGCATTTTGTTGAAATTTTTAAAAATCGTTTTTTGTGAAATGCCGACACGGTAAAATACCGAACGGCGAAAAAAGTGAACGCATTCCGTTCGGTCTTTGCACGTGATTGCCGTTTATGTCACGCATTTGGTACAAAATATGTGTATATATCACGCATTTGTTTCGATCATATGTCACTCATGTTAGATGGTCCCAAGTTGACAGCCCTGTAATTCTGATCATAGCTTGCAAATCATATTATATACTGTACGTGTATGGATCTCTTCTTGTTTAGATAAGTATCCAAAATGGCACATAAGAAAATGTTGGATAATTCATGACAAGATGCTCAACATGTTTAGTTCCAGTTCTTCTTTAATAACACCCTGGGCATTAAACCAAGAGTTACTTCCTGGGATGATATTCCAAAATATGGGAAATTGTACAAAGGTATAATTCTTATTTATAGAATTTTTTTTGAAGTTTTTTATCAAAGACTGTATACACCATGATTAACCCCACACCACTTACATGTACCTCGTCTGATTTTATTTGCCATGTCAAGGTTTTTAATGCATGAGTTGAGGAAACAAGAAATAACCATAATATTATTATTACTTATTTAAATGTGTTTGGTTCTTCACATGACATATAAACTCATTCTCGGGTCTTACCCACAAAATACCCACTTTTCATTGGTCCAGATTGTTGAGCATGTTAACTCTCTTAATTGATTGATAATCTCTTCTTAGGTATGCTTTTGTATACATGCCTGTTCAAATGTTCATGTTAGAGGTCAATGTACCATAGATGAGCTAACAGCTTGGTATGACTACATGTATTTATATCTTCACTTGAATGACTATTTATATCTTCTCTTTGAAGAGAGAAGACATAAAAGACAGATCACCATACCATCTTCATGTTGACCTAGTTCTCTATAATTATAGCTATTGTGCTATCTAATTGCTGTCTGATGATATTAATTGGTATCATCTAATGAGGTGACATACTTTCCCATAAATAAATGTATGAAATGATCTCTCATTTATCTTTTGAGAATAAATTCACTCCATATATCTACACTACTGACTTTAAGTCCCAAACATGTATATTGTTTGACAGTGTTAAAATCTGGGGCTTGAACTTCAAAATTGACTCTTATCAAAGTGCAAGGACATAAAGTAGATACATCTGAAGAGTGCCAGTTATCACGTACTTCATGATTTTAATGAACCAGTTGTGTTTTCAATAAGTATAGCCTAATTAAATTCAAATCATGAAATAGCAATTCTAGATTAGAAATCTCTTGAATTTTGGTTGTAGAAATTTTCTGCTAAATATTAAGTATACCCTCAATGTAAAGTTTACTCACTTTGAAACACTCAAGACAAATCTTTACTTTATGATGCCATTGCCTAAGCAAGTTGATTAGGCTATCATTTGTCTTAGAATTGTTTTGCAACTACAAACAATTTGGCCTTAGAATATTTTGATTCCTCTATATTTCATTTTGATCTTGAAATTCCTCTATTTTCAGAAAAAATAGTTCTCGATGATCCAGTTTACGACCACAAAAGCACAGCCTTTATGGGGCGTGATGAATTATATACAAATTCACTCAGAAAGGCTGCCCATATGTCACAGAAAATGCAAGAACTGAATTTACTGAATCCAGATGACTTTATGTACTATTCCAAGTAAGTTACTGCAGTAATATACATGTACTTGTATATAGTACAGTGATGTATCCAGCATTACAAAAAGTTGAGAAATCTAAAATTACTTTGTACACAGTGAGTTGAATATCTGTTAAAAAGTTTGTATCCAAGTGTATGGAAAATGTGTTTCGACTAATTTGGGATATTCCTCAGCCAGAATTAAAAAGTTGCTCCCATTTAAAAAGAAATCTTTGTGTTAAGTAAGAATACACAGCTTAGCAGCACGGGCCACCAAACAAGTGAGTAAGAATTGAAAAATATGATATATTTTATTATTTTCAGCATGGCAATGCCCCATGAAAGTTCACCGATGGCACTACATACAGCCATGTTCTTGCCTACCCTGCTAAACCAATGCTCCCCTGAACAACAGGAGAAGTGGCTCTGGAAGGCTGTTGGTCATGAGATTATAGGGACATATGCACAGACAGAAATGGGCCATGGTAAGTTTTGACAGAGTAGGCATCAATGAAATTCAAGGTTATCAAAAACATTTGAGCTGTTTTTATGAAGTATTAAAGGCATTCTATATAATACTTATCTTTTTTACTTTTGAGCAATACTTCTTAGCATAGACATTCTATGCATTCATACACCTTTCAAAATGTTGCATTTCTTGAAATAACCATCCATCTTCAGTATTAATGCTTTTGAAAGTCAGACAATTCACTTGTCATGATTTAGGGGGGTCTTAATTCTTAACTTCATACTGTATTCTTGCATCGTACATCACTATGTCAACCCTTTTTACCCCAAGACCACAGGTAATACAGAACAATGGTACATAAGTAATATTTCTGTCAAATATGAAAGATTGCTTCTCTTTAGAATTCTAAAACAAAAGATTATTAAATAGTGTTGTGAGTATAATCTTGAAAATTTTCGCTTTCCTCCAGGGACTCATCTGAGAGGCCTAGAGACCACAGCTACATATGTCCCAGAGACAGATGAGTTTGATCTGCATAATCCCACCCTTACATCTACAAAATGGTGGCCTGGCAATTGTAAGTACTAAGTGCACATACATATGTAGATGTACCTTTTTGTTTGTAATTCAGGTAGATTTGTTCGCAACTTATATTTGCTTGGTTTGATCAATAGACATACAGTAAAAATAGATATGCGCTATGTTAGAATTACAGATATATTTTCAAAATTTTTACATCTCCCATGAAGTTTTAATGCAATGGACCTTTGAAAGTTACATGTATTATTGCTTGATTGTGTCCCAGCAATATTCACTGTTCTGGTTTTTACTGTTTTTTTTACTGTTGACAATATATTAAATATTAAACATAATGAGTAAGTGATATGTATGTATATTTATTTATTTAAGTGCCTCGTATAGATACCCAGCCTATTTTAGGCTTATGGGGCACATTGTACAATATATTTGAAAACAATATTATAAGATTAAATCTTTAAACAAAGCTTGCTCTTTTGATAAGAGCAGCATTCAGGAATTTTCCAGTATGGCGCACTAATCTAAAATCATGTAATAAATCTTTCAAAAGTTCATCATCAATAATAAGTTCCTGTTTTTGTAAAATACGTTTAACAGACAAAAATAAGTCATCTCGTAAGTTGTTATATGATGGGCATACTAGTAAAAAGTGGAACTCGTCCTCAATAATGGATATATTATCATTCTTACAATGTAAGCAAAGTCTCTGGTCAACTGGGATGGATCTATATCTTCCAGTCTCCAGCATTAATGGTAGTGTGCCTGATCTTGCTTTTGCAAGCAATGATCTGAATGTTCTTGGCAAACAGTTTTTGACATAATCTTCTGTTCCAAATGATGTTTTAAATGTCCTATAAGTCCTTAGTTTTGGCATATTGGCGATATTAAGTTTCCATTCTTCGATGTATCATTGTAGTTCCACTGTTTTAACAGAATCGAGGATGAGTGAACTATCTCCAAAGTGTCTTGTTTCATATTCTCTTAGCAAATTAGCAGATATAAATATTTCTCTGACATCCTTGCACCAACATTTGTGTCCTAAGATAGTATTTTCATAATCAAAGTCGAAAATTCTTCTAGTTAGCCTATCTCTAGGCATTTTGCTCAGTCTAATAAAGAGTCTCACCATCTCTAATCGGTGCCTTATGTTAGGCGGTATCCATCCCATATCACCGTAAATTGCTGGAAGGGGAGCGTATTTGCCCAGGCCAAGAAATGTTCGCATTGCTCGATTTTGTACTAGCTGTGGTTTGCTAAATTCCTTATATCCCCAAACTCCTGATCCATAGTCCATGATTGGGGTAATTGCACTGTCGTATATCTTAGTATATGTACTGAAGTTTAATCCATTTATGGAAAAATGTTTGCTGATAAGTCCACCAAGTGCACGACCGCTGGATTCAGCTAATGTTGTTGCAGTTTCGGTGTAGTCCAGTGTCTCGTTTAAAATAAGACTGAGATAACGGTACGATTTTGCTATCACTAAATTAGAATTTCCAAACTTGAAGTTAAAATCAGTTTTTGACCGTGTAGCCCGTCTGAAATGTGTTACTTGGGTTTTCTCTGTATTTACAGATAGACGCCATTTCGTTGTCCATACGTACATTGTATCTAACATTAATTGTAAATCCTGTTCCGTTGGCGCAATGAACACCATGTCGTCCGCGTAAAGCAGAGTTGAAATATATTCATCGTTAATCCAAATTCCATTATTAAGACCTTTTAAAATATGTGAAACAAACATATTGGACATTTTGACATAGCAATTGACCTTTCCTATAAATTCTGCCACCTTTTGCATGGTCAGATTTCTGCCTACAACCAATGAGATCAATTTAGCCGATACTGTGTGGTGTATCATAGTTTCTCTGGTATATCACATCTTCGCACGAGAACGCTCAGTCTTCACTACGTTCATCTGACAGGAGCCGAGTGATGAGTATATCAAAAGCTGGCAGGGTTTAATTGGAAAAGTCTATTGATAACAATTTCTTGCATTCCAGTGGGTAAGACTACCAACTTTTGTGTGCTGACAGCTCAGCTGTGGATCAAGGGTAAATGTTATGGTACACATAACTTCATGCTCCAGACCAGAAGTCTAGAAGATCACACTTCTCTGCCAGGTAAATTTTACCCTATTCAAGAGTGCATTTGTATCACACTCTCTTTTAACACTCTGAAATTGGAAAACTAATCTGAGTTGGTTGTTGCTCTGAGTCACAATTTTGGTATATTTAGATGAATTAAATATTACATGATAAGCATTACTCTGTGGTTCTCTCTGATTCTGTTGAACGACAGAGTAATATTTGGAATTCATATTTGATCATAGTCAGAGGGGTCAGTGAATCAGCCAGTAGCTCAGGCTAGGTAAATATGAAACAGAACTTTTATAACTGATAAATGTAAGAGTGCACAAAGAGCAACATTGGAACGATACAAAAGAAATATTAGCCCCTATAAACCATGCTTCAAATATTTCTTACATGAGCTATATACGAGTATGAATAAACGTAAGTTTGAAGAAAATTGTATTAATTAAAATACAAGTATGTGTATATAACAATCTAAATAATAAACAATGCATATTTTAATACCTTTTTTTAGGAATAACATTAGGTGACATTGGACCAAAGTTTGGCTATTTGTCCAATGACAATGGGTTCATGAGATTGAATCATGTACGGATCCCAAGAACCAACATGCTCATGAAGCATTCCCAAGTATGTTCCCTTAATTGTCATGTTGTAGTTATACCTTCAGGTTGATATATTTAGATACCATTCTTGTATTAATGGTTGATACAATTTATTAAACATTATAGGACACTCATTTGAATTTAAAGAAATTCCATAAAGTATTTTTAAGTTGTAATACTACTAATTTGATACTTTACTTTTGTAACACCCTGTTTTCTTGAAACTATACATTTGAATCAAATTTTGGTGACAATATACAATACAGCTTAATTTATTGTATTTACAATAGGTCTTGGCTGATGGCACCTATGTGAAACCTGCTAGTTCAAAACTATCATATGGAACAATGGTCTTTGTTAGAACGATGATAGTTGCAGAGACATCAAGAAGCTTAGCAGAGACAGTTACCATAGCAACACGGTATAGTGCCATTAGAAGACAAAGTGAAATCAAACCTGGGTAATTATAATTTCATTTCTTTAAAGTGTAACTGTTATCATCAGTCAAATAATATTCAAGTCAATCGAAAGAACAATTTCTTCCAGAATTAGTTATTACTTGAGATTGACTTGATATTCATACAATGAACAACTATAGATATGTTATAGACATCATCAGAATACACAGATAACTTTTCACTTTCTAATATGGTGCAATGAGGTGGTAACAGTGAAATGATGTTGCAGTATAGTTTACCATAGTTGTCAGCTGTCACAAAATTCCACTAGATGCAGACATTTTCTCCATTTTAACCAGTATTTTGCTTCTATGAATCTAGTTAATTCTGTTGTTACAGTGATCCAGAGCCTCAAATCCTTGACTACCAAACCCAACAGTTCAAGTTGTTTCCACTACTTGCCACCAGCTATGCCTTTGACTTTGCTGCCAAGTTCATGAGGGCAAACGTTTCCTCCATTTTAACCAGTATTTTGCTTCTATGAATATAGTGAATTCTGTTGTTATAGTGATCCAGAGCCTCAAATCCTTGACTACCAAACCCAACAGTTCAAGTTGTTTCCACTACTTGCCACCAGCTACGCCTTTGACTTTGCTGCCAAGTTCATGAGGGCAGACATTTTCTCCATTTTAACCAGTATTTTGCTTCTATGAATCTCGTTAATTATGTTGTTACAGTGATCCAGAGCCTCAAATACTTGACTACCAAACCCAACAGTTCAAGTTGTTTCCACTACTTGCCACCAGCTATGCCTTTGACTTTGCTGCCAAGTTCATGAGGGCCAAGTACCATGAGTTAGATGCCAAAATCCAGCAGGGTCTGGTTGAGGAGATGCCACAGGTTAGTGAGGCTTGAAATCATAAATGTCAGGCTAGGGTAAAAATATGAATTGTTAAACATCCTTCCTAATTCATCTATTTCAATTTTCATGAGAAGATATGGTGCACTTATCATTTTTTTGAAATATTGAACGTGATTCTAGATATTACACATATTTTAAAAAAGTACACTATATGTTTTATTATAAGACAGCCTTTGAGAATGTACAAAGATCAAAAACTTCATGCATACATCTTCATCTGCATACAAAAAACCCAGATCTTACATATTAGGGTATTAAAGTATTGTATATCTATTGCTATTGTGCATTTTTCATACGTTTCATTTTTATGTGCTCACAGGCCGAACTAAAAAACTAAAACCAAAAATTATCAAGAAATCCATATTCATTGTTCATATTTGACTTTCAGTTGCATGCATTGTCAGCAGGTCTGAAAGCTTTTACAACTTGGGCATCAAGTTCTGGAATGGAAGTGTGCCGTATGTCTTGTGGGGGTCATGGGTATTCCCAGGCCAGTGGTTTCCCCAAGATTTACACAGATGCAACCCCTGGGGTGACATATGAAGGCGAGAACACAGTATTGATGTTACAAGTAGCCAGGTAAGCTCAATTTGTATCAACGTATTCCTTTTTCCCTTTTTCACACTATTTTATTTGTGCATAAAGATTATGCAGTAAATCCTTTAATCCTTTAACATTGAATACTGCTGAGACTGGTTAAAAGTGTTCGAATTAGCAGGTGTTCACATTTGTTCGAATTAGCAGGTGTTTACATTTTAAGTTTTTTTGCCAAGAGCATGCACATGAAATTAAACATGAAATACTATTTATATTACTTAGATAACTCTTTTAAAACCAACATCACAATTTTTGCTTCAAACATGACAACGTACAGCAAAAGTGTACATCCGTATATTTTGTCACTGTACCTTGTCAATGGTTTGGCGTGTGATAGTATTCTCCGATTTTTTCTCCAATCTTATGAATTACACTACATGACTGTAAAAATGGTTTCAGTATACTTTTAACAAATCATTCAAATCTTTTAGGTATCTGGTGAAGATCTTCAAAGGTGCTAGAAAAGGGACAGAAGAAGCAACAGGATTTGTTTCATATCTGGGGCCGAACTTTTCTCAGGGGGGTCGTGTAGCAGTCCAAATGACAAGTGCATCAGGGGTGGACATAAACGCAATGGTAGCAGCCTACAGGAGCAGAGCATACAGGTTAATATCACAATTGTTGTTGTTACTATATTTTTGCTCACAATAGTCATTGTCATTCTCATTTTCTTGTAGTCCTTTGGTTTTTGACTCACACACCATGTTACTTATATTTTTATGTAGATTCAGGAATTTGTATTGACTCCAAGGTCATAGATCAAGGTGCTGTTAACAAATATTTTAAATCACCAATGCCATCTATTCCCCTTGTGAGCCCAACGAATTGACTGCCATTTTAAAGTTATCTAGTTTTTTCATTGTTATTTTTGGACATTTTGTAATCTAAAGAAGGTTGTATATTCAGTGCTCAAAGATAAATGAACGATAAAGTCTATATATATTTTTTATATTAAAATGACCATGTCATAATTATGCTTCACTGAATCAAACAAAAAGATTGATGTCAACAATGTTTTTGTTTAATATTTTGCTAATCATGCACCAAAGTGCAACTAAGATACATTAAAAACAACTACATGTACCTTAATTCTTCTAACATTTTACTCTATTTCTATTCTTTACAGCCACTTTCTGTTTTTTCTGCTATATATGTCACAAAGCTAGTTCTTCGTGATATTAGTGTTCAACCATCTCATTTTTCGAAAGTGGATGAGAAATCTATAATTTCTAATACATTTAGCTGGCAACCAAATCTTTAAGTGAAATACCAAAACAGGCTATTTAAAACAAAAAATCTATTACAACCAATTTAAGTTCCTGAAATATGAAGCTTTGTAAGTTTACCAGGCTGTGCAGTATGAAGATTAATAATTGTTAAAATGTTAATGTCCATGATCAAAGCTCTAGAATCGATGATCTTGTACAGGTGCTTATATAACAACCTCTATAATGTGCATAACAATTATCACGACTGTGTACATTATTGATTCAGCAGAATTGTACTCTAATATGCCATTAGATTAAATATGACCATGTAGGATCATTTTCTACAGTCTGTAGAGAAATAAATACAACATTACTGTGCTCATAACAACTTGATAACTTTACCATATTATGTTTCAATTTTACGATTAGACAATTTTTCCAAAGGTACCATCTCATGTACCTTGCAATAGTTCTATACTTGATTTTATTTTGGGGACGCATTTTGTGGTTGGTGAAATATTGTTTTGGTAACTAAAAATTTGATTGATAAAAATAATACTTTGGGATGGAAAGATTGATTTAATTATGATAGCCCACTTCCCAATAGAACAAAATTTGAAAATATTGATTCATCTTTTACTTGATTTTTCATAAAGAAATTTCCATTTACCCCCACCCCTTTACAAAATATAATTGGTTTTTATTTTTCCACATATTGACATTATCCCTGATTCCAGTTCTCATTAATATTTTAGTAGGAAATACCCCCAAAATACCATGAAAACTTATATAAAACATTCTTTAAAGAATATGTAATGTTGAAACAACAGGTAATACTTCAGAAATGGATTATATGTATAATTTGGAGGAAAAATTTGAGATGGCCCCTAATTATTCATTATACTGATAATACGACATTATAAAATAAAATATAAACTATGTAACTAGAGGATGTATATAATGGTGTACGAAATCAATATGTGTTATATCAATCAAGCTAATGTGTATGTTTAGTATAATGGTGATCAGATCACCTGATCACATGGATTTGTACTAATAACCACTATATTTTACATTAGTCCCTAGCAACAAACAGTGTGATACGAAACATGGCGGAATCAACTGAAGGATCCAATTCGGAAAAAGGTCCCATGACCTACAAATTGATTTTTATTGACTTTTTAAAAACAACTTCCATAAGAGGTCCTCCGAGGATTATTCGAACAAAGCACAAACTCTGGCGATTGCTTTACAGTTTTATTTTCATGTTTGTATTGGGAACTAATTGCTTCTGTATTTGGACAACTATAGGTGACTATTTGGCATATCCTGTCATTTCTCAGAGTTACATCATTCATAGTGATATGGTCAGTGATAGGGTGGAACATTTTCCCGATATTACCGTATGTGACATTAATGCACCACAACCGCAATATGCTCACCCGAACGGATCTTTGACAGAGCTTGGAATCGAGGCGGAGGTTTTTCTTAGAATGATTTTGACAAACATTGACCAAATATTAGGAGGTGAACCAGAGAAGGACTTGAATAAATTAAACATGTATGAACTTGATTTGTTAAGAATTCAGAAAAAGGAGCAATTTCTAATTGAGAACAACACACAAGGATTGGAATTGATGGAAATGTTTTACTCAACTAGAGGCTATTTACAACAATACACAAGATCCCAACGTTATCAAATTGGACACAGAAAGGAGGATTTTATTGTTGACTGTAAAAGCTTAGACTGGTATGTATCAGATCAGGAGACATGTAATATGACAAGGATTCTCCTCCACCAGGACCTTGGCTTTCCAAATCTGAACTGCTACACAATCCAGCTTCAAACCCAGCCATTTGATATGGTAAAAACTAATGGAGTGTCCTTGGTGCTCTTTTTGGGACCGCCTGGGGACTTCTTACCCGAGGATCCACCTTCTCCCGTGCCACTTGATTCAGGCGCTGTTGTGTACCTACACGAGCACAACACAATGCCTTTTCAGCAGACCAGTTTCAATATCCCCGCAGGATTCAAAACCACTGTCCATTTGGATGTATCGAAAGTAATGAAGTTAAAAAACCCCTATAGCACTTGTAGTGACTCCATTGAACTATTGTTTAAGAATTTAGATGGCGATCCTTATAAATACACACGGGATGCATGTCTTGCAGAGAACATGCAAAAATGCATGATAAAAAATTGTAAATGCATCATTGATGAGGTACCCGCTATTGAAAATGTTTCATATTGTTTGAAAACTCAGTCAGATTCGAACATAGTAAAAGAAAATATAAAATGCATGAAGAGGATGAAATCCCCAAAACACATCGCAAATTGTGCATTAGGTGAAATCTGCCTTGATCCATGTGAAAAATACATTTATAAGCCACGATTAAGCCACACTGAATGGCCCCAAGAGAACAAACAACTTCCTGTGTATAATGAATTCATTCGTGGCGGCCCCCACCAGGTGGTATATCATGAATATGAAGCCCTTCTTTATGAAAACTCACCGAATATGACATCATCTGAAAGAATGAACGCTTTGAAACAACTGAATCTCATAAAGGAATCATTTATCAAATTGGATGTGGTTCTGAACTCTAAAGATATTGTGGCATTCTCAGACAAACCTTTCTATACAGGGTTAAGTGTATTAAGCGTCATTGCATCTTCATTGATATTTTGGATAGGGTTTACATTTTTCTCATTGATCGAGATATTAGAGTGTTTGTTTCACATGGTACTGAGTTGCGTATCGCAAGGTAACAAGAAACCAAGTAGTGTCCATTAAAAGCCTAATGAATAATACAATTGATTGTCATGGAGCTTGTGTTATTATGTTTAAACAATTCCATGGAAACAAGATATCAAGAACTTGTCATATAGGCAATTCTATTAACCGAACCATTTACAGAATGCATGACATTTAATCACTTTTATGTTCAAGTACCTTTTAACGCAATTAAAAATTTATAGAATTATATTCCATTAGTGCTACACCAATAGTATCATTGTACAAAGCATACTCATATTGCATCATATCAGAATTTCAATATCTCCTTTGTTTTACACTCATTGCACTCTAATTTTCAAGCTCTCACAAACTTGATGATGTGGAGATGCAATGAATAAAAAACTCAGTATGTATTTTATACCAGGTTGATCAATAATTTGCATTACATTTTTACAGTTCTCTACAATTTTAATCTACAATGGTAATCATGAGTGGTAATCTCATTCTAGACACTGAAAAAACTTGGTTTGAGGAATGTTTTGTATTTTCTTTTAGTTGAGTTTATTGATCAACTTTCTGTAGGTAGGTATGATACTGTCGTACTATAAATATATGCTGTGGTATCAAGTTTTTGTACAGTTCTATTAATATAGAAATAAAAACTAATACAAATACAGATGTACAGAACATGCAGTTATTGGTATTCTTTATTAAACCCTATAGTGTACCAACTTAGGTAGCAACACAATAAGATCAACTGAACTTTATTTTTAAGAAAGTGCAGTTGCAACAAAAGAAGAGTACATTCTCTTTCTATTGTTTTTAAAGAATGGACACTTACACCCTACTCAACCACTCATCAATTCACTTACCTTTAGTATCAAGAGTTGAATTGTCAATACAAAAGGAATCAAATTAAATGGATCATGGACCATTTACCTTTCATATGAGCCAGTGTGGGTTTTAGGTTAGGTAAACCATTCTTACTGGCTCTTAGGAGAATAATGGCCCCAGGCCATTGGCCCTCAGCCATTATTTCACCTTATAGCCAGTACGAATGGTTTATCTATCACTTCATTGTTGTTTTACATTGGCATAAAATACTGGAAGCTGGAATTTTTGCCAGATTAAAACAATCAAAGGCTTCTCCTGAAATCAAGTAAAAAGCTTTAGATTTTTAAGAAAATAGGCATAACAATTGCAATGATCGGAGCTGTTTTGTTCAGAAATAATTGGCCAGCGAATCCAAAATGATGTTTTTTGGCAGAAATGTGATGTTTGTAGCAGGTTTACATTACTATTAACTCTGTTTTGATAGCTCTGTTTTGTTTTGAATGTGATTATGCCTGTAAGTGGCTACATGAAATCATGTTTTTCAAAATAGCTAGCATTTCTGCTTAGACATTTGAGATTTTCTAATGGTCACCAAAATCAAAAGTGTCTTCCTCTGTTTCAGGTTGATAGAAAGTGCATGTGCCAGAGTGGATGCTCTCACAAAGGGAGGAATGGAGTTTGTGTTTGCTTGGAACAAAACATCAGTGGATCTAGTCAAGTGTGCCACTGTAAGTAATATATCTACAGGGTGGTGCAGAAATATGGCAACTGCCCTCCCTTAAAGTCATGTTATGTGAATAACAAATATTTCCCTTGGATAAACCCTGTATCTAAAACATCTCAGCAAATAACTTTTATAAATGCGAGCCAGAGGGTTGTTATTTGTCAAAAATCAACACTGCATACAGGTTGATTGATAAGCAATGAAATTAGTGCTCTCATTTACATTTGTTATTGACCATTCAATCCTGTACTGTTTCTTCACAATGCTATTTGTTGGTATGCTGTACCAATGTATACAATTTGATGCTTTGTTCATTATTTCAGGCTCATTGCCATTACTTCGTAGTGGATAATTTTTTGACTGGCATAAATTCCCTGGAGTGCGCTCCAGCAATTAGGAAAGTCCTTGGAAACTTGTGTGACTTGTATGCCTGCTATGGTATTGCTGAAAATTCAGGAGATTTTCTACAGGTATTTCAACTTTGTCTCATTCCTAATATTTTACAGACTCTGGGAGACATTAAAACTAGAATCTTGCTTTTTTCATTTTTATTTATTATATTTTTGTTTCATTTTGATGAAAAACATCTGAGTTTTTGAGAATTGTAAATAGTGAATTCTTCTATTTTGATTTGTTTGTAATAGTATCAGACTTGTACAAGAGCTTTTAATAAATCGGGTTCAATATTCTCTTGTCAGGGTGAGCACCTATCTGCCAAGCAAATATCTGATGTGCGGGCCAAAATGCTTGACCTACTTGCTGTAATACGTCCTGATGCTGTCAGTCTTGTTGATGCCTTTGATTTCCATGATCGCTTACTTGGTTCTGTGCTGGGTCGTTATGATGGTCAGGTGTATGAAAACCTCTACAAATACGCTTTGGAGTCTCCACTAAACGACAATGATGTGAGTACAATAGTGTTCTATTAAAGCCTCACTATGCAAATTTTGAATATTTTTGGCAAAATAAAGGCTTACCTTTGAACTTCATAGTATTTCCAATGGATTGACAAGTACTTTATCTTTCATTAGACATCAAAACATGATTCAGTACATGATTCATTTATTTTTATAGAAGTGTTGTCATCTTTTAAATCAAGAGTTATTTCAAAACATGCACTTTCAAAAATGTGCATGCACTACTAAAGTGCAAATTAAGCTTTGTATCTTATTTGATTGAGTGTGTAAATAACATGTTCCAATGATTGTTTACTCTTTTCCCCTTCTAAATTACGCATAGTGGGCCTTATACTTTTCTCTTTTCTCCTTCTAAATTACGCATAGTGGGCCTTATACTACTAGTATAGCAATTCTAAGAAATATTAGAAATTAATATAGAAATTCTAAGAATTATTATTCATCCATTACTTAAATCCTTTTAATGGTTTTTCATTCCAATGACATTATATCGCATAAATTATTTATTTATTTACTTCCAGGTCCACGAGTCTTACTATAAATATCTGAAGCCCTTAGCACGAGCTTCCAAGCTTTAGGACATGTTCGTCCAGAAAGACCCAAATAAATGTGAAAGATTGTATCAAAATGCAATAGCAATGCAATGAACAGAAAACAGATCAAGAAATTACATGTTGATTGTGATGGTTTTCTTGACATGTCTCTGTATGTGTGAAATGGAAGCCGTAATTCTCAGCTAAACACCATAAAGCAACATCTACAGATTCTGTTCCACATTGTAGTTTTTTGGGAGACATAAACAAAAGATTTAATTTTTTGTTTTGTGGCAGAATATAATTTACATATCAGTATTGTGAGAAAGAATTATAAAATACAATGGCAGGTGAGTTTTTAAATAAAATAAATATTTTTAGTGATTATGTAATGGCTTGATAACCATGTTATGAAAAAATCAAATAAAACTAGAAAACTCATTCCTACATGTACTACATGTACAATGGAAACAGTTAGATATAACAAGTGCGTCACTTCCATAGGAAAAGCATCAACATTTCTTGAATGCCACAGAACAATATAGTACAAGTACAGACTATATACTACCTTGTTCCTGATATTGTCCCCATCATGAATGGTATTTGGAATATTCAATATGTCAGTAGATTCCTAACTGAAGTTTTACTACCATGTATGCTATGTCAAAGTGCCAATGATCAGAACATTCTTGGGAACAAAAAGGCGATTAATTTGCAGTTAAATTGTTAGATTTGATTATTTGTTCTGAGGTTTAGTGTATGGACTGATTATTCTGGGCCTCGAGGTATTGTGCTTCACACTGACATCTGAAATATGCATGGGACAGGGAAGTATAAAAAACACTTCAAATTTGTTTATTATATTATATAATATCAATAGCACTAATATGGGACATTTTGCATTCCAGACAATGATTAATAATTTATCAATGGGTACAATTTATCTTGATATGTCAGGTTATGTTTCTTATGGTTTTATTATGTAGAATATGTGTAATTTTATTGAAATGTATATATTTGTTATCTATTAAACTGTACATTGTATATGTATACAATTTATATAATGATTGAATGAACTTCATCAATATTTTGTTTGTTAGCAAAATTAAATTGCCTGTTGTACTTTTAAAAAGTATTTATTGGAATGAGTAAACATTGGAATTTTACATTGTAGACTGATTTAATTGCATAATAGGTAATAATAGTGAAGTTAGGGTTGCTATGATAAGCTTAAGATGCTACATTTTTGTGAGCCTTATAAGAGCCATATTTACTGAAAACAAAGGAATCATAAACACAACAAGGAAAAGTTAGTTTGATTGTGCTAAAGACATAATACCCTTATACGTGTACATCATTGAAAGATGTGAGGTATCGGTGTAACAGTGAGGTAAACGTTACAATGCAGGTCCAGAAATTCTTTCAAAATTATGCAGTTTTTCACCATTTTGAGCACTTTTTGCATGATTTTTTTTCCAAAACTGCCAAAAAGCTCCCCTCCTTGGCAAAAATACCTCCTTGATAAAACCGCTCCCCCCAGTACTAAAAGTGGGGACATATTGTTATGATCTCCAACTTTTTTATTACGGTGGTTTACATCCAGCATGTGCTTGTTAATGCCTTGTTTATTAATTTTGACTAGTGAAATAAATTATGAAATAAAGAATTGCAGTATGTAATTGTAAATAAATGAATATCTGTTTGGTTTTTGTTGGAAAACAATATAAATGACACATCCATTCATATATCTATATGTGATAGTATGCCTTTGTTACTGTTGTAAACCTACTGAACTCTTAGCATGACCTTGATGTCCCATTAGCAAGCTACATCAACATGATTATTCTGAAGAACTTAAGTATGATTTCACAATTCATATAACATAGCCCTCAGGGTTTTCATATGACCTTGGCTTTACATTGGTATATTCCGTATTTTACACTCGAAGACAGAGCCAGAAACCCCTCATTAGAGGAGCCCTGTTTTCTTTTTTTGTGCATGGGTACATAGACATACAAGTACACAGCACAGTCTTTTATACTCAGCCAAACACCCAGAATTACATAACGCACAAACAAACTTGTCTGAACCGGGAATCGAACCCAGGGCCAAGCAATAGTGGTAACCTTGACTCTGACTTGACTCGCCACTGAGCCATAGCGGGTGGACTACAACTGGACTTCTTAATGTGGCTTTGGGTCAACCTTATATAGTTGTTTGTGTATACAACAATTATAATATGGTCAATCTACCATTTTACCCATAGAAAATACTCAACAAGCATAATTTTATGAAAATATGAAATAACAGATACTGAATTAATTTAATCCAATCCCATATACCACTGTTGATTGTGCAGGTGACCTTGACCTATAAATATGATAGTGAACTTTTATGCACTCAATTTAGTTTTGACCTCCAAACCTAAAAATGGATTATTGTTGTGTCAATGCCAGCTTTGAGGCCAACCTGTTATATGTTCGAACCTACCCATGGCCCCATTTCTAGATCAAGGTCACCAGAAAGATCAAAGAATGGGGATAACATATGAAAGTGAAAAAGAAACCAGTTTTTGACTTTCTAATCTGTTTATGTAATCTTTATTCTAAAAAGATATAGCAAATGTCGCTTTTCAATTCAATTCCAATTTCAACACAATAAGATGATATTGCATTACTTCAATATGATTTCCATTACACAAAACTGTGTAAAATTTAAAGATGAGTATTAAAAGGTCCAGGATTGTGTGCCCTAAATGTTCCTCCATGTTCTAGTGTGTCATTACTATTCCTCTATGTTGCAATCTAGAACCAATATGTGTGTATCTTCAATTGTCCTCCATTTGTCTAGTTTGCTCTAGGATGCTGTTAAGAGATGCCATTTGGGTCTTAATATCATTCACCTGGAAAACAATAGCAATTGATTACAATAATTTAATAAAAACCTGCTTGATATAGGGTTCTTATGACCATAATATTAACAAAAATTTGAATTTTCAGTTTTGTACAATAATACAATACAAATATGTCATTGAAGTGATCTAGGCATCTTTCACAAATGATATTCCAAGGAATTTTCATTAAACTGTGATTATACTGCTAAATTGTTTATGTCGCGAGACCTTTGTTTGGCCAATTATAAATGGCAAGGTTGACAGTGATTGAGCAAATCATTCAAGGCTTCGCAAAACCTATTGATAAGAAATATCCTCAAAACAAATGTCATGAAACATAGATGATTAAACACAAGGAGCACACGCGTCTCGAACTCACAATCTCGTCATCAATATTACATACCTTTTCCTGATATTGCAAGTTTGCCTCTTCAGTATCAAGTCTCGACTTCTTTTTCCTCTTGTCATTCTGTTCTGTTAACTTGACCACTTTCAGTTGTAGTTTATCCAGCTTCTGTGTTATAGAGTGGATGAGATCTGAAGTCTGAACCATGCCCTTAAAGGAACACAACAATGAATACAAATGAGACTATCATGTGCTTCCATGCCCTAAAGGAACACAACAAGGAATACAAATAAGACTATCAAGTGCTTTTTGTTCTTGAATCACAATCTTGATTGAACAATCACATGGGGATACAGTGTGTATAAATAGAGATTATCCTATATGAGGTTCAGGATATTGGGATTATCCCGAGGCCAATATAATATATCTGCCCGAGGGCCGTAGGTCCCGCTGATGAATTTATAAGTTTTTACAAACCGGCTTTATGTACCTGTAACACGTCCAAGTATGGGATAAATATATCTTTGGGCACAGTTGTGTTGGTCATCCTGTGCAACAATTTCACTGAGTGTAAAACAGTCCAAAGCTTTTTCTAATTATTCAGTACAACTTTTAGGATTTAAAAATAAACCGATAGGACAGATTATATCAACAATGACATTATAATATTTATGTGACTAACATACCCTTATTTGCATGAGTATTTTTTGTAGACAACATACTGTTAATAGCATATGTATATGTAAGCAAATAACATGTTTTTAATTGCATATGTATTGTATGGAGACAACATACCTTTAATTGCACATTTATTGTATATTTGCCACATTCTCTGCTAACACTACCCTCATTGACTGAATCATTGTTATTCAGTTGACATTTTGTAAACTGTTGTATAAACCCTCTATATTCATCAAGGTCCCCTGAACTTTGGCTGCATGTTAAGGTAACTAGAATGGATAGATACGAAAAAGGTGTAAAACACAAAAAAAGACTGCATAAGCTTGCATCTGTTCTCTTCCATGATATTTATTTGATACAATTAGTGTAATAATTTGAACTCATTGAAAAACTTTAAATATTGATAAATCATATGTGAAATAACAAAAATACTACAGGAAAGACTTCACTTTACATGTATATGTATTTCTGGCATTGTTCAGTGTAGAATAGCTAGTCCAGATACTTACCATTTGGTGAGAGTTTCCAAGACACATTGAAATCCTTCCTGATGGACATGATCGTATTCATTATTGCGCGTACATCCTCTACCTCTGACTCTACTTTTGCATTGCTCAACATGAACTACAATGGAACAACCGACATAATAAATTAAGATAGCATGTGTGTTCATGTCTATTTGCTTTTTTTCGAAATAATTCCCTTACATCTATATCTATCTATATCAATAGTTAATAGCGCACCCTCTATAACAGCATTTAGAACCATTGCACAATTTTCTTCAAAATCAAAAGAGTAACTTGTATCAACTATTATATGGCTGATTGAGGCATATTACATAATATCAAGAGGATTGTATATTAGGTAATGTATTGGTATACAAAAGATATACCTCTTCTGGTCTAGGATAAGGCATGATACATATGCTATCAGTTGTACTGGATTGCCGTGGTAACCTTTGGAAGAGCTCTTCAGTAATGAAGGGCATAAATGGATGAAGGACACACAGACATGTTTGAACACAGTGGTACAGGATCTTCCGTTTGGTAGCAATCTCCACTGGGTCTTCAGACAAGAATGTTGATTTGGTATATTCCTGTAAAGATTGTTGCTGTAAAATGGTGTATTCAAGTAATAAACTTCTCTACATCTCTACACATCTCCAAACAATAATAAGAACGAAATAACTCCGAACATTTATGGCACATTCTATATTACTAAAGCATTGTCATAAATATAAAAGTTTCACTTACTAGATAAATATCACAGAAGTCTGTCCACCAGAAAAGATAGATGGCTCTGGTAACAAGGTGAAGGTCATATGTGTTGAAACATGCCTCTGCCACATGGACAAGATTGGAGAGTCGACTCAGTACCCATAAATCCATACTAGACTCATTACCGGTGAGCTAAAAGTAAATATTTTTAATAAAAATATAACCTGAACAAAAGAAAATTCTTTTTCAATTCAGATTCCAATTTTTGGCATCCAATAATAGAGCAACCCGAGCTCTTAAATCTGATGAAATCATTTTAGTTTGTTACGGTTACAGTTTATTTCATCAGTTAAATTACGATTACTGCAATGACAAACATGAAAAGGGAGTAAAGTCTTGTATGAAACAAACCTGAAATTTATCATCAGGTTGGAATTCCAATCCCAAATTATTAGTGACATATCGGAAGGCTTGCCATATCTTGTTGTTAAACCTTTTGTAGCTCTCTGCATGTGTTACATTCATGTTGATAAAGTCACCTGAAAAGGCAATAAGTGAGCAATACAATTCCAAAATTGGAATTTATGCAGTGGGAATATAGATGGAGTATAAAGACTCTATAGCATGGGTAATATCATATTCAAATGATTGATGGCATAAAGATGGCTCTAACCATAACTTGATTTGATATGGGGAATCAGATATGAAAGCAAACCGAACAGAATAAGTCTTATGGCTTAAATTAATTTACTTGTAGGCTTACATCTTGGGTATAGAGGACTATAGGTCTATTAAAAAATTGATGTTGGTTATTCACTTCACTTAAAATTGTAACAAAAGATGCATCAGTAATAGGTGTATTAGAAAAGTGCCATGATGTTAGTTACTCACTTTTGAAATTGTAAGAACAAAGTGTGAATCTTAACACATCAGCACCACACTCTGGTATGCCTTTGGGAAAATCAATTTGTTGACCCTTTATTGCTATGGCAACCTCATCTGGGTCAAGGTTTGAGTTCTTGATAGAAGAATTCAGGGTCTAAAAGCAAAAATGTTTGAACTTCATTTTTGTAGTTAATACTGGTCATTCTACATTCTTGGAAACTCTATCTTGATATGTTTAAATAAAATCCAATTTAGGCTGAAGATTTTTTGAGGATTGGATTGCAAAGTACATGTATTTGATATTTTGTATCTGTGTATCCTTACATATTGTAAGGTGCAATGATTTTAATGGTCAGATCTTTTTTCATTTTAGGTTACAAACTCACAAATAACTCACAACTCACAAAAATACATATATATTATACATGATCAATCTTCTTTACATGAAGAATTTCTTTTAGATCACTGTGACTAGTCGATCTATGTGGATGCTGTCATTTATATGTAATGTTTCATGGGTGCTCGCGTACATTATAGGGAATGGGATTATTGCAAAAATATGACAGCAAATCGAGGTAAGTGATCTCAGAGTTTCTACTTAACATTGTGACTTGAAATCTTGCATACATATTCAATATACATAGTATGACAATGTGTGAAAGTTTCAGCTACCATATTCCTGTTATAGAGAAGATATTTGAAAAACATTTCGTTAACGTCAACATATATGTATAAAATGGATGCACCTATGTATCATTTGGATTCAGAACGGTAACAAATGGATGCTTTAATAAATCATACTTTATCATGATGATTTATTTACTGATGGACAACTGGCCAGATTTTCTTTGTATACATTGTTCGGATAAACATTCCTTATTCATTAAAGTAATTAGCCACCCCATTACAAGTAGTCTAAAGACACCCTCATGAAAAATTGAAGATACTATATATAAACCCATCAACTGGAAAATGCCATTACAGATGAAATAAAGGACCCACGGTCCTGCTCACACAGTGTAGAACCTTCAGAGGAATGTATATCCTGATTTTCAAACAAAAGTATTGGTAAATATGGGATCAATGAAAGATGAGTCCTTTGTTGTTGGTTCAGATATGATTTGTTGTAGTCAAAGGAAAAACTATGAATTTGACCTAGATTTTGACCTAGGCCTTTTAGTGTCAAAATTTTGAAGGAAAGTAGATTTTGAGGGCGGCTTCTATTGTAGATTCTTATTAAGTTGGCTGCATCCAAGCTGTATCTAGTGTTGTGTTGTTACAATTTATAATTTTCTCAAGCCCCATTGACTTAACATGGGATACCAAAATAGCGATTTTTGAGATTTCAAAATGACATAACTTCCGAACCGGAAGTCGGATCAAAATCTGGTTTGCAGATTCGGATTCTTTGGACAATTCTACACATATTTCATAACTCATACATTGAATTCCAAGAAGTTTTTATTGTGACCTACTTTTCGGATGCCTATCTCAAAAACGGTAAGAGTGATCAAAAACAACTTGCCTGTAGGGATTAGCTTTTTCCAAGGAACATGATTAAAAAAACGGAGCAAAAATATTGAAGGACGACTGAGAAAATCGAAAAAATGACAAAGTACTGGATTTGACCTAGTTCTTGACCTTTGACCTAGATAAAACCTGATTAGACCTAGATCTGGACTTGGACCTGAACTGGACCTTGACTTGGACCTGGACCTGGACTTGGACCTGGAAATGGACTGGACTGGTATTTTTTCAATGTTTTCTTCACTTCCCTTGACTTTCTATAAGGCTATCATCAAATCGATTTTTCTCGAAATTTAAAAATCAGCAATTTCTCGGAAACCGGGCGAACTTGGGAAATGGCGATGATAGGTCAAATAGACATTATGGATATGCATAAAATGAATGTGGAAATGACTCAATCCGAATAGCAGTTTTAATTTGAGCAGCAAATGTTGACAGACGGACAGACCAACGGATGGACGGACGGACCAATTGAAGGATGCCTGGTCGATCCCATAGGCTTACTGTGTGAGCCAAAAACTATGGTTTTATCGCTAATACTGTTAATTTGAAAAACGGGTCCATAACATGTAATGATGACAATGAAAATGCTGAAATTAAGTACGCCAATGAAGTGAATTCAGAGCAAAAGACCCATCGACCCACTGGAATACCCACAAATCAAGTTTCATAGCCTTGCCCAAGTCGGTCTCTTTTACTTATTTTGATTTCAATTATGACCGCATTGTACCCAAGAGAAAGCCACATGCTTTACCGACCCAATGTTTTTGTCGGTAAAATTTGACAAATCAACGACGAGCCTACATTGACGGACTAGGTCTTCGTGCATTTCTTCGAGAATTCAGTTTTGATTTTGAATCAACATTGAATTGCATGATTTCATATAGACGAGTATTAATGACTGCTTACATTCCAATGTACATTTAATAGATCAGATCAGATCATTGAATTTCAAGTCCTAGACGGGTAGTTTGCTTTTTTTATGCAGGTCAACCTGATAACGTTTTGATTGGTCAATCAGCCTGAAGTCACACGTTGTGTCCATGTCCATATTGTCAATCAATATGGTTTTGCGATACCGTTAGGTAGCCTAGGTATTATGGGAATCTCGAAACCGCTGAATAACTTAGCATAATATCAGCAATGATGCATTGGATTGTTTATGGTTGTAATAATTAAAGATCAGATAAGTAAATAAATACCGACTTGGGCAAGGCTACAAGTTTCAGAGCCATTAACATTCCTTGAAAGTGACAATGAGCAGCCAACAGATGGACCATCCGTAAATCTTGATGATTTTGTCAGCTCAGCTGAACGAGCCTCCAGATTCCTTGAAACAAATGACCATAATTCAAGAATGATATTATCTATTTACAATTTTTTGAAATCGTGGTAAGTGGAATCTTTCCAATTACTAATAAAGCATTATTATTGTTTTTTGACACTGTGGATTAAAATATTAAAAATACACACATTCAAAATGATTCAATTGAAACCTAGCCAGTCTGTTCAATGAATCCAATCAGAACGTCTACTAATCCACATGATACATCATAATTAAATTGCTTTTTTAAAGCGGATATTTCATACCATAACCCCAAAAATATTATAGAACGCATTGTATTTGTATTTTACTTCACACAGACATATTTGTGTATATGTGAAATAATTATATTACTTGAATTTTTTATTCCCCATTACAAGGTAAACCTATAGCAAATTATACAGCCTTCTCACAGCTGTGAGCGAGATGATAAAACTGGTCGAGTGAACTCGTTTGAGTTATCTATTCTCCGTAAAAATATCAGAGAATGTGTGTTTATAGCGTAGCTTTGGTTTTGTAAATCAATGAAGTATGATATACACGGATGAATAAATATATATTATTTAAACAGAAGAGCAAAATTCTTCCATTGAAAAGTACAGAGGCGGGTACTCACGAAACATTACATGTGCCTGACTGCATCCACATAGATCGACTAGCCACAGTGTTAGATAGTCAATTTGGTTATGAGTTTATTTACAAGAATCACTCGTATAACATAGAGAGATCATAATAGACAAGAAATCAATATTACTGAGTTACTTCATGTACACTTGTTCAATATATTGATTTGTATACTATAATAGAATTTTGCTTACGATTAGAGTTAAGTTAATAAAAAGATGGCAGTTAACTCAATCTGATTCTTAATCATGGGAATTTATGTAAGGGGATTCCCCAAAAGCCTGCAGAAATTAGGAACAACCCTAGACGGTCTAGACAGATAGCCATAATAATTACCCCTGTAATTACTTTGATACACAGACTACACAACATTCCTAATGCTAAGATGGCCCCAAAGACAAAAGGTGGGTAAATAAATTTGAGGTAAACCTATAATGAAAAAGTATTTCTACTAAAATCCCAAGCAATTTATATTTTCTTAACTGTTTTTTTCCTGTGAAAATTGCCATTGAATCCCTCATTGAAAGAAGTCTTTATGTGCCAAATTTGAGAGCAATCAGTTCCTCTATTTAAGAAAACTATTGAAGAAATTGAGGGTTGCAATTTCTAGGGTCTAAATCTACCCCAAACTACCGTTTTTTCAAATATCTACTGTAAAATCTACCATTTTTCGAAAATCTACAGTAAAAACGCATGTTTTTTACAATCTACCGCGAAAACTACCTTCTTTAAAATATCGATCGTAAAAACTACCATTTTTTAAAAATCGACCATAAAAACTCCTGTTTTTATCAAAATCTACCGCAATTTTCAAAAAATCTCCCGCAAATTTTTCATTTTAAGTTGGCGGGTCTGATAAAGCAAAAACAAAGTTTTGGCGACATTTCAATTCTCATGAAAATGACCCTGCTATTAGGGAGCAATAAAACTAATAATGTGTGTCACCTTGCAGGATTGGGAAGACATGGATTGTCAAACAATCAGAAGAGGAGGATCAAAACAAAGACAAATAAATTAAGTGCTGATTCCATACAATTAGACAATGGGAAACGTAAAGCAGGATCCCACGAAAAAGGTAGGTTAATGCTTTAAGAATTTGACACTCCTTGAGAAAGTGGATGCCTAGTGACAATTTTTTTAATTTAAAATTGTATACATACAATGTACAATGTATATATTGTAGAGCTATAATCCATGTTTAGGTATAATTTTTTCTTTTCTGAGCCTTTAATAAAGGCTATAAATTATATATGATAAACATTTAACTTTCTTTACGCAGGGCCTCTAAAGTGAGGCTGAAAAGGACAAATCAGTCTCTGGGTACAAGTGAGTTAATATGTCTTTGAACTGTTTTCTTTAATCCAGTGGCAGCTACACACAATAGATGGTCTAGGTTTTTCAGATTGGCTCTTGATAATAATGTCACTACATGCACCACTGTGATAATCATAAAATGAAAAACATCCCAGCCTTAATTTCCAGACTCGGGAAATATAGTTATTATCTCAAGAAAAATTGGCAGTGATAATTTTCCAGGCAGAGTTCTGAAGAGGCAAAGACTAGAATATGTTGAAGGAGCAAGACAGAGTCTACAAGAGGAAACCAACCTTGAGGTTAAGAGATGGAAGGAAGTCTGTGAAGAGAGAGATGAGTTGAAATCAAAAATTGAAGATCTTAAGCTGAGGCTAAGTGAAAAGGACAATGATATAGATATTATTAAGGACAGTGAGGAAAAGTTGAAGAAATTAAATGTAAAATTAATGGGATTTCTGCAAACTTCTGGTGAAGAGATTGATCAATCAAATATATGTATAGAAAAGTGTGAAGGGAAGTTAAATGACATGTTGAATGATAATCAAGTGCTTGATCAAAGGTGTGCTTTGCTTGAACAAAATAAAAAAATAAAAAAGGTTGATGAATTGAACAAAACCCTGAAAAATAAAAGCAAGAATATCTTGAATATGAGTCAAGAACACTTCCATGAAGAAACCAAATCAAAGATTTTTTCAATTTTAACATTTTTTATATGTCTATGTCTACTATTCTTCCTGCATGTTTCCAGCTTAGATAGAGGAAAATTTACAGCATCAGCAGGATCAGAGTTCTCTACTTTGGACTTCAAATCAACTGATCACAACACAATTGAATCAAAATTAGCCTTATTTAGGAGCCTTAATAGGAGGCCCCCCAACGATATATTATTTAATATTATTATTAGACTCCAGATGAAAATCTGGAGTCTATTGCTTTTGCCAGTTTTCTTTATTATTATTATTTTTCTTCCTCCTTCCCAGATTTCTCACTAACTAGAAGAGCTTACTTTAAGCTGCTTACATGACTAACTAGGGAATGTATCTGGGATGATGGGAAATTAGGTCAAATTTTTATCTAGGTCAAAGGTCAAGAACTAGGTCAAATCTTGCATTTTCAACATTCTTTCAATTATCTTCGTCGTTATTTATTGAAACAACTTTGTCTTTTTTTCATCATGTAGCTTAGAAACAGCTCTTTCAAAGATATGCCATCAGATTTTTAATTACTCGTACCGATTTTGAGATATGGCGTCCGGAAAGTAGGTCAGAACAAAAAGTTCTCCAAATTCAACATGTGAGCTATGAAATAAGTGTAGAATGATCTCAGGAACCTGAATCTGCAAACCAAATTTCGATCCGACATCTAGTACGGAAGTTTTGGTGTTTTGAAAGCTCAAAAATCGCTAAATTTGGTGCCCATGTTAAGTCAATGGGAAAAAAGATTTTTTTGAAGTGAAAAATACAAAATATAGACTGAGTTCAGCTAAATATAATGAAAGCTTTTAAAAGAAGGGGACCTCATAAGCCATCTAGCTTCAAAATTTGGACACCAAAATGCCTTGGTCAAAATCTAGGTCAAATTCAAAGTTTTTCCTTATTTTTGCGATTCTGACACTACACTTTAATTATATTCTTCGAAATTGTGTATACATGTAGCCAAGAGTGTACTAATAGTGTTAGCCTTTTGCAATCAGGAAGTATTTTGACCCACTTTTGAGATATGGTGTCCCAAAAGTAGGTCAAAATAAAAAAATCTTCAAATTTAACGTATAAGTTATGAATTAGGGGTAGAATTTTATCAGGAATCCGAATCTGCAAACCAAATTTTGATTTGACCTCCTGTTCGGAAGTTATGGCGTTTTGAAAGCTCAAAAATAGCTAAATTTGCTGCCCCATATTATGTCAATGGGAAAAAAGATTTTTTGAAGTGTAAAATACGAGATATAGACTGAGTACAGCTTAATATAATGAAAGCCTATTAAAGAAGGGGACCTCGAAGGCTACTTAGCTCCAAAATTTGGACACCAAAATGCCTAGGTCAAAATTTAGGTCAAATTTATAGTTTTCCCTTATTTTTGCGATTCTGACACTATATATAAATGATTTGCTTTAAAATTTTGTATACAGATAGCAAAGAGTATGCTAATAGTGTTAGCGTTTTGCCGTCAAAAAGTAGTATTTTGACCCAATTTTGAGATATGGTGTCTGAAAAGTAGGCCAAAATAAAAAGTTTTCCAAATTTAACGTATGAGTTATGAATTAAGGGTAGAATCTTCTCAGGAATCCAGATCTGCCAACCAAATTTAGATCCGACTACTTGTTCTGAAGTTATGGCATTTTGAAATCTCAAAAATCGCTAAATTTGGTGCCCCATGTTAAATCAATAGGACCGAATAATTTTTTGAAGTGAAAAAATACAAGATATACATGTAGAATGAGTACAGCTAAACATAATGAAAGCCCATAGAAGAAGGGGACCTTAAAAGCTACTTTCCTTCAAAATTTGGACACCAAAATACCTAGCTCAAAATCTAGGTCAAATTCATAGTTTTTTCTTATTTTGCGATTCTGACACTACACTATGATATTCTCCGAAATTGTGTATACTTGTAGCAAAGAGTGTGCTAATAATGTTAACATTTTGCCGTAAAGTTTTTTGACCCACTTTTGAGATATGGTGTCCGAAATGTAGGTCAAAAAAAAAAGTTCTCCAAATTTAACGTATGAGTTATGAATTAGGGGTAGAATTTCCTCAGGAATCCGGATCTGAAATTAAAATTGCAATCCGATCCCCGGTTAAGATTCTACGCCATTTTGAAGTTTGAAATTCGCACTTGCCAGTATTCACGATGCTGATTGATCAAATATACTTTCAAAAATTCCTGCATACCCTACTTTACCTCCCTACCTACTCAGCTACTTATTTGCTTACTTACTCAATTACTTAATTAGTTATTACTTACTTAGCAACTTACTCAGCTACTAACTCAGGTACTTATTCAGCTACTTACTCAGCTACCTACTCAGCTTTTTACTCAGTTACTTACTCAGCTACTTACTCAACTACTACTAAGGTACTTACTCAGCTAATTACTCAGTTACTTACTCAGCTCTTTACTGATCTATCTAGGTCAAATAAATCTGGAGTCTTAAATTGAACTTGTTCAATTTCACAAATCTAGTTATTATTATTATTTATTCTTCTCTGCACACCTACTTCTAACTAGATTTCAACTATCTACTATATGAACCTACTAGGGACCTAGGTTGAACTTACCGGGAAAGGAATTTTTATCTAGGTCAAGGTCAAAGGTCAAAATCTAGGTCAAATTAAAGTTTTTTCTAAGTTTCTCAGATTTCATCCTCATACTTCATTATTTCTTGCGATGAATTAAAATGTAACTAGATATAAGCATTCCCTACAAATTACTCACTATATGAGATAATTGACGTCAAAAAACGGTAAAAATTGGTCATTTTTCAACTTGCTTCAAATTGACCAAATTTTTTTTTAAAAATCATCTACAAGTTCTCAGGAACTCAAATCTGACCTTAGTTTTGACCTTTGACCTTTGGTTGACCTTCAGTGACCTTCGAAAGGTCAAAAAAGTTGATTTTTCAAATTGATTTTCTGGATTCGAATTTAGGTACATTTGATCACAAAAGACCCACTGAGGTCTAAAAAAGTAAAATTTGCAAGGTCAAAGGTCAAGGTCATCAAACTAAATCACAAACTGTGTTTTCTAAGTTTGTAAGTTTTGGTGACTACAAATCAATATTTTATCATGAAAGTCAGGATATATATTCCTCTATAGGTTCTACACATATTAGCAATTGACTATTCATTAAAATTGTGTACCAGTTTTGAGATATTAGAACTCAAAAACTGAAAAAAGGTCAAATTTCGAAACTTTTCAAGACTAAATTTCAACTTGCTTCAAATTGACCAAATTTTTTTTAAAACTCATCTACAAGTTCTCAGGATTCCAAATCTGACCTCACTTTTGACCTTTGACCTTTCGTTGACCTTCAGTGACCTCCGAAAGGTCAAAAAAGTTGATTTTTCAAATCGATTTTCTGGATTCAAATTTAGGTATATTTATTCACAAAAGACCTTCTAAGGTCTAAAAAAGTAAAATTTGCAAGGTCAAAGGTCAAGGTCATCAAACGAAATCACAAAATGTGTTTTCTAAGTTTCTCAAAATTGGAGACTACAAATCAATTTTTTTTTACTGAAAGACAGAATATATATTCCTCTAAAGGTTCTACACATATTAGCAATTGACTATTTACTAAAATTTTGCTCCAGTTTTGAGATATTAGAACTCAAAAACTGAAAAAAGGTCAAATTTCGAAGTTTTCAAGGTCAAATTTCAACTTGCTCTAAATTGACCAATTTTTTTTTTAAAAAGCATCTACAAGATCTCGGAAACTCAAATCTGACCTTAGTTTTGACCTATGACCTTTATTTGACCTTCAGTGAACTTCGAAATGTCAAAAAAGTTGATTTTTCAAATTGATTTTCTGGATTCGAATTTAGGTACATTTGATCACAAAAGACCCACTGAGGTCTAAAAAAGTAAAATTTGCAAGGTCAAAGGTCAAGGTCATCAAACTAAATCACAAACTGTGTTTTCTAAGTTTGTAAGTTTTGGTGACTACAAATCAATATTTTATCATGAAAGTCAGGATATATATTCCTCTATAGGTTCTACACATATTAGCAATTGACTATTCATTAAAATTGTGTACCAGTTTTGAGATATTGGACCTCAAAAACTGAAAAAAGGTCAAATTTCGAAACTTTTCAAGACTAAATTTCAACTTGCTTCAAATTGACCAAATTTTTTTTTAAAACTCATCTACAAGTTCTCAGGATTCCAAATCTGACCTCACTTTTGACCTTTGACCTTTCGTTGACCTTCAGTGACCTCCGAAAGGTCAAAAAAGTTGATTTTTCAAATCGATTTTCTGGATTCAAATTTAGGTATATTTATTCACAAAAGACCTTCTAAGGTCTAAAAAAGTAAAATTTGCAAGGTCAAAGGTCAAGGTCATCAAACGAAATCACAAAATGTGTTTTCTAAGTTTCTCAAAATTGGAGACTACAAATCAATTTTTTTTTACTGAAAGACAGAATATATATTCCTCTAAAGGTTCTACACATATTAGCAATTGACTATTTACTAAAATTTTGCTCCAGTTTTGAGATATTAGAACTCAAAAACTGAAAAAAGGTCAAATTTCGAAGTTTTCAAGGTCAAATTTCAACTTGCTCTAAATTGACCAATTTTTTTTTTAAAAAGCATCTACAAGATCTCGGAAACTCAAATCTGACCTTAGTTTTGACCTATGACCTTTATTTGACCTTCAGTGAACTTCGAAATGTCAAAAAAGTTGATTTTTCAAATTGATTTTCTGGATTCAAATTTAGGTTTATTCAATCAGAAAAGATATACTGAGGTCTAAAAAAGTAAAATTTTCAAGGTCAAGGTCATCAAACAAGATCACAAACTGTGTTTTCTAAGTTTCTCAAAGTTTGTGACTACAAATCAATATTTTTGAACTAAAGTCAGGATATATATTCCTCTCAAGGTTTTACACATATTAACAATTGATTAGCTATTAAAATTCTGCCCCAGTTTTGAGATATTGGACCTCAAAAACTGAAAAAGGTCTAATGTTGAAATTTTTCAAGGTAAAATTTCACATTGCTTCAAATTGACCAAACTTTTTTTTTAAAATCATCTGCAAGATGCCTGGAGTTCATATATGACCTTGTTTTAAGATTTGACCTTTGGCTGACCTTTAAATGTTCAAAAAAGCCTACGGGGCCTCCGTAAGATTGCTTGCAATCTTATACATCTAGTTATTTCTAATTCTTTGCTCCATCCTTTATAAACCATTATACCACCAATCTTTCCCCATAGATCGTTAGAGTAAACACGCAAAAAATTAATTCCAAGAGCTTTAAAATCCTGAGAGGACATATGCAATATATATGGACCAACGGACGGATGGACGGACCAAAGGACAGACAGACGCCTAGTCAATCCCATAGGCTCACTGTGTGAGCAGATGTGAGTAAATTAATAACTTTCTGGTTTGTGTAGAAGTCAAGTAAAAGGTGAGAAATATCCACTTTCCCTGAATCTACTCTACTCTGATAGAATGAGTTTAAAGGATGGCACTACATCCAAATCCCCTTAGAGTTAATGCCTAGACACTTGCTCTGATTCATCAGTGGGCACCTGGCTTTGTTCAAAATTGTATACAGTTTTGACCAGAATACTCAATTGGCAAGGCGCCGGCCAATGAATTGGAGTAAATGTGACCCAGGCATAATTGTTAGGTTGTTAAAGAGAGTGCATTGGAACAATAGGTGTTTGATTGATTCTGAAAATGGCCACACACAGCATGAAGAAATAGTTATGAAATTTTGTGTGGAAAATTTGCATAAGAAATGATTGCATCTTGTTCTATTCAAGGTAATACCCCTTTTATTGATAGATATAATTTGGATTTAATTTGGGTGTTATAAAATCCTTTTTTATCAACTCAGTGAAAAATGAGTGAAAAATAAAGCATATATCTTCTTGGTTATAGAAATGACAAGCACATTTATGGGTTCAATTCATTTTGGGTCACCTTGCACGTGGTATGTTTTGACAATTCTACCATAAACCACTTTCATAAAAGGTGAATGCATATACTATCAATATTAAGTCAATCAGAACTCAGAACAACAAATCAATGCCACATACTAGTAGACCATATAACATCTGTTTGTGATTGGGCTTTAATAAAATAAAAATATAATTCTGACCTGTAAAGTTGCTCCTTGAATAACATGCATTGGGTCTATGACATTCCCTAATGACTTGCTCATTTTCCTACCATGGGCATCCCTCAGTATACAATGGAGGAGAACCTAGAAAAGAAAAATTGAAATAATGCTACTGTTATGTTAAATGGTGTATATATCATACAGTATATATGTATATTTCCGTATGTATATTATAATAAGGAAAATGTTTTTGAGTTCATGTGATGTTGATTTTACATGTATACCTTAGCACAATCATATGTAATAACTGTAGATACAAAAATGTATGTCAGAACAGAATAATTAGACCTAGCAATTATTCGTTGACTAATCAAATATTTTTGTTTACTGTCAACTTGACAAGTAATTGTACACAGTAACTGTAAATGTAAATTATTTTGAAAATAGATTGATATATTCATATTATTAAATTGTTTTTATTGTTAATAGTTTTACTACAAAGTGCGGAGATGTAGAAGTAGTTTCCATCTATCCTGATAGGTATTAAACATAGGGTTCTAAGAACATGGGTGTAGAGCCCGAAGCTATTTTCATAAAGCTCTAGAGCAGACACAGGTCACACGACATGTATAGTAGAGCTCAATATAAACAAGGCATAAAGCTAATCCCGGGGGTTTATAATAATATATTAATATATTTATAATAATTCCTTGATTATCATTGAAAATTAAATCAGATTTAAGACTTAATCAGAGCTTTAAGGCGGGGGTAATAATATGCCAAGAAAAGTGAATTTGTTTATACTGGCCTTTAAATAGTAATTTCTCAAGATTACACCAAAAGGTTATCAATTCCAGTCAGTCATATGTGTAATTGGTCTTCTTGTAGCTTTATGAATGAGGATTACCTGTTTGAAGGGTAGTTTTCCAGTTAAATGTTCTCCTAGCATGACCATCCTAGCCACCCAGAAAAACAAGATGTCACGTCCAGTTTCAAGCAAATCTGTGGGGTAGAACCTTTGTAGATCAGGGGTCTAAAACAAAGTTCATACATTATGATCAGAATACCAAGAAATGCACAATGATGAAGTAAAGATTATTCAATAATATAAATGACATCTGTAACATCTCCATTTTGGATTGGTATAGGTTTATAGAAAAGCATATTTGCCAGGCTTTTTCACTCAGTGAAAGCCCAGCATACCACACATATCATGGTCTCTCTTGAAAATCCTTTAGCAAAATAAAGATTCAGGCCAACTTCTCATTGCTTTAATGTCTCTAATGGATTGATTAGTATTTGATAGTTCATTTGAAACCAAACAAGTTCAAATGGGCCATAATGGAACTTACAATAAATCAAAAAACAATTTGTCAAATTTTTCCGATGTCAAACTTTAGATGGTGAAGATATTTATATCACATGCCATTTTTGGTTATGTCTCGACCATATACACTATCTATTCATTCAAAATTAATTAAAACACCTTAGTGAACAGAAACTTTGGTGAAGATGAAGATATTTACCTGTTGGGGCCATCCAAATACGGAGAATGGGAAAAGGGCTGATGAAAACCACGTGTCCAGTACATCTTCATCTAAAAAGTACAAATGTGAAACTTGAAGTGAAACTTATAGATTGCAAAGAAACTCTTGTTTGATTGTGGGAAGCCACGTCCCTTTTTCTTCTTTCCTCTTGACGGTGTTAGAGTATCTTTTAATGCAAAATACTGATGTTTGTCATATTGTATTCAAATCATAAGATATATATACAATATTTATTTTTTTATTCCTCCAGCTTTCAAATAAATGCCCATGGGTCAATTGGAAAGTGAATCTGCTTTGTTCCAGTGACTTCAACATATAAAGTACATGTATATTGAAGATGCAATTTTAACAAAATTTAAGCTGGTGATACATTTAAACTCTGGTATATGAGTATGATATGCACATATCGCATGGGGTTACAGAATGTGATAAATACAGTTAAACCTGTCTGCGTGGAACATTAAGTCAGTTGGTTTTGCGACTCTGAAAAGTATTCCACTAACAGATGTGTTCCACTTTACAGATATCACTGTACAGTTAGTATAACAAATGTTAAAAGAGGTTACAGTGACTCATACCCATTAATAAATGTTACTCTCTAAAAACTGTTTCCTTTTAAACAGAATGTGAATCAGCCTGCATTGAACATAGACGTCATTTAAGGTAAGTCACATTTTCTACTTTTGCATCTTCAAAGAATGTGGATTTGAAAAATTTAGAAATGTATAATGTGGATTAAACTATAATATAAAGCATGAACTTGTTTTTGTTTGAATATCACTCCATAAACTTTCTCAAAAAAAATTGTTGGTTAAAATGACAAATGTTCATTTACATTGCAGTTGATTTTGAAATGTAAACATGATGTCAAACAGCCAGCCTATATCACAGGTTCTACTACTTCTATTTATGACTAATACTGTGGCAGCTGAAAAATTGGACCAAGTAGTTGATCCCGCAGGGGCAGATCTGCTCAAATATCAATACAATGCAAATGAAAACAAGGCATTAACATGACAAAATGTCACCACCTAGTTGCTCACAATATTATGAGTTCAAACTTAAGTCAGATTTGAATTTCTGAGAACTTGTAAAGTCAAATTTGAACTTCTGAAAAGATGTAGATGATTTTGAAAAAAAAAATTTGGTCAATTTGAAGCAAGTTGAAAACAGACCTTTTTGACCTTTTTTGACCTTGAGAAGGTCATTAAAGGTCAAATGTCAAATCTAAAGTCAGATTTGAATTTCTGAGAACATGTAGATGATTTTGAAAAAAAAAATTAGTCAATTCGAAGCAAGTTGAAAAAAGACCTTTTTGACCTTTTTTGACCTTGAGAAGGTCATTGAAGGTCAAATGTCAAATCTAAAGTCAAATCTAAAGTCAGATTTGAATTTCTGAGAACATGTAGATGATTTTGAAAAAAATTTTAGTCAATTTGAAGCAAGATGAAAAAATAACTTTTTGACCTTTTTTGACATTGAGAAGGTCATTGAAGGTCAAATGTCAAATCTAAAGTCAGATTTGAATTTCTGAGAACATGTAGATGATTTTGAAAAAAAAATTTAGTCAATTTGAAGCAAGTTGAAAAAAGACCTTTTTGACCTTTTTTGACTTTGAGAAGGTCATTGAAGGTCAAATGTCAAATCTTAAGTCAAATCTAAAGTCAGATTTGAATTTCTGAGAACGCGTAGATGATTTTGAAAAAAAAACTTAGTCAATTTGAAGCAAGTTGAAAACAGACCTTTTTGACCTTTTTTGACCTTGAGAAGGTCATTGAAGGTCAAATGTCATATCTAAAGTCAGATTTGAATTTCTGAGAACATGTAGATGATTTTGAAAAAAAAATTTAGTCAATTTGAAGCAAGTTGAAAAAAGACCTTTTTGACCTTTTTTGACTTTGAGAAGGTCATTGAAGGTCAAATGTCAAATCTTAAGTGAAATCTAAAGTCAGATTTGAATTTCTGAGAACACGTAGATGATTTTGAAATTTTTTTTTAGTCAATTTGAAGCAAGTTGAAAACAGACCTTTTTGACCTTTTTTGACCTTGAGAAGGTCATTGAAGGTCAAATGTCAAATCTAAAGTCAGATTTGAACTTCTGAGAACATGTAGATGATTTAGAAAAAAATTGAAGTCAGTCTAAACAGTATTTGTTAAGTTATAGGAAGTTGTAAGAAATTGTTACAGACGCCGGACGCCGGACGCCAACCGCCGGACGCCAACCGCCGTCGCAAAAAAAACGGAGACCATAACAATATGTCACCACTTTTGGTGGTGACATAATAGAAGTATTGACAGAAAAGAACACAACATCTCCAATGAGCCAAAATTCTGCACATACAGTTATAAGAAAAAGAAAGGATTGGTATGTGTATGCAGAGCAAGAACAAAAGATGACCAAAAACCACTGGCAAAAATCCTGAAATTTATGGATAAAAAGTACATGTCTTGTGCTTCACTTAGATTTGAAAACTTTAAATTTGAAATTTTGGCAAATGGATCATTTTAATAAATTTGAGAACCTATCATCAGTTTTTCTAAGAAACTGCAGTATATTGCAGATTGAAACAGGGGCTTTTAAAAGTAACAGTTTGCAAACTCTCAATAACATAACAATAAATATTGAACTGAATCCTATAAGGTACATTGAACCCGGAACTTTTGACCTCTCCAAATCATGGAGACAGCTGCTACTTCGTCAAAATGAGAATTTGGGAACAGAAAATATTCAAACAGTTTTTAATGACCTACAAAATAAAACAGTGGAGACTTTGGAAATAAAAACATGTGGAATTTTCCTGAGGGAATTAGATAAATCCTTTTTTGAACCATTACGGTATTCCAGTATTAAAAGGTTGAATATGGCAGGTAACTCTTTCGGAATTGTGGCATCTGATGCATTTGAACCATTGGCAGCATCCCTTGATACCCTAGTTTTGTGGAACTTTATGTACATAAGAAAAGACACATTCAAGGTATGTCGACACCTGAGAAATTTGAACCTTGGTGGTTTCACAGTAACTGCAAGTCCAGACGCCCGACCATTACACCTAAATAATTTAACACAGTTAAAAATTCTAAATATCAACTTAAAGGGTTCTGGATATGTGATACTTGACATATATGGTTTGGATAATTTGTATGAGTTGCATGTTACAAACACTTATGATTCTGGAATAATGAGAACTGTCATTAAACTTCTGGACACTTCCAAACTTCTGAAGCAATTAGACTTGTCAGGAAATTCACTTTTCACATATCCAGATAACAAACTTTGTCAACTTTCTGAAGATCGAGTCAATCTCAATTTTCTGTCACTGAAAAACAACTTCTTTTCCCATATTCCTCGATGCATGTTTAAAGGTCTGTATAATCTACAGAATCTGAACCTTCGAAACAATTTACTCAGAATCCTAGAAAGGGATCTCTTCAAGGATTTACATAGTTTAAGCATGTTGGATTTGTCTCAGAATGCAATAACTTTTATTGACTCAAGCAATGTGGAAATAATGACACCTTATCAAGGGCATGTGATATTGTACGTGCAAAACAATAACTTTGATTGTAACTGTCAACTAAAAGACCTTCGTAATTGGCTTACAATGAACCTCATGCAAAAGCGATATATTTTCAAATATGTACATGTAAATTGTTCAACACCATCCAATAGGCAAACTGAATATATCCACAATTTCACAATGACCTGGCTGGAGTGTAATACAAAGCTAGTTGTAGAAGTTTCATCAATAAGTGGAAGTTTAATTTTACTTGTTACAGTTGTGGCACTTGTGCTACTGAAACATTTCTGGAAGGATATTGAGTACAGGAAAATGGTCATTTTAGCCCGCAAACATGAACAAGATTTAAATATAGATGGTCTTCTTATAGAACATGACGCTTTTGTTAGTTACCATAGTGAAAAACAATTATGGGTTGAGAATGATTTATGTAAGGAACTTGAGAATGGATTGGATATCAAGTTCAAACTGATTTATGATGATCGAATAATGCCTGGTGGTTCATTATTCACCTCACTGGGAATGGCAATACATACCAGCAGGAAGATTTTATTTGTGGTGAGTCGTGGTTGGGTGAAAGATGGCATGAATCAATTTGAGGTTGACATGGCTCTCGCCAAACTCCTAGATGACTACAGGGACATGATCATAGTTCTACTGATGGAACACATCCCTAAAGCTGAGATGCCTGACAAAGTAAAGATGATTATAAAGCACAATAATTGTTTTAGATGGAGCAACAATGAGAAGAAACAAGCAAAGTTCTGGAGGGATCTCAAATTGGAGCTAGGGAAACATCACTTTGAGATACCAATACAGGAAGCTGATTGAATAATGACAATGCTGTGCAGGGGCGAAGCCAGCTTTCAGTCAGGGGGGTGTGATCGCCCCAAAAATTCAGTTTTCAGTCAAGGGGTGCGATTGTGGCATAAACAGCCCAAAAATTAAGATTTATCTTGAATTTTACATTATATTTCAAAGCTCCCTTCTTCTTCAATCTCATTGTTATACATGTATTTTTATTGGTTATGGGGGGTTGCATAGTATGTATCCAACAGACTGACTAGAAGTCAGTCTGTTATGATGTACTACTTTCCTGTGGAAATTGCAGTGAAATTTTTTGCACAAAATTATCAATAAGAGGAACCATTTCTTCAATAAAATAAACATTACAAAATATCAATTAAATAGTAAGGTACAATTAAATGCAATAAAAAGTAACACAGCATATTGTCAAGTGGAAATAAAGCTAGTTGAAGTAACAAATGTGCAAATTAATTTTACCCAATCGGCCATTTTGAATAGCACTTCCTATGTAAACAAATATTTGGAATTACCAAACTTTAACATAGGTGCCTTATAGTCTGAATATAATTCAGACTAAATAGGATATAGTCTAGGGGGTTGCATCCAACGCACCGCCCACCCCCTGACTATGCTGTATATACATGTACTGACTTGTATACCTTTTGAATAGCAAAAAGTAAATAAAAAAGTGCAGGAAAAAAGGAAATTCAATTGATCAAACATAATGTGACACAAGAACATTATTATGCTGCATACACTTTACATGCTAGCACATGTACATATATTATATGAGTAGTGTTTTTGAAGAAAATTTAATAGAATCATCGTGAAATGTCTAGAATATGTTTGTACATATCATGGGATTTCGATGGGGCTTTCTATATAATCCCCATGTACATGTGTATATTTGTTGATTATAGTGCCTCATATAATATAAACCAAGCCTATTTTAGGCTTATGGAAATATTTTGAAGAAATGTACATTTTCTATTATTAAAATGCTATATGTATCAGATTATTGCGCTTATCAATTGTCAAAATGATAGAATGAATACTAGAATAAATAAAATAAAATATTAAAATGCAATCCTAGGTCTGTCAGATTGTTAAAGCTAAGTTCACACCAATGGCGCTTTGCAAGCTGCTATTAAGTGGCATCAAAGCGCCGATGGTGTGAACTTAGCTTTATTGACAAAGCATGTATAATCACTGACCAGATTACGCATTAAAAAGCATTAAAATTGGTGCACTGTGTACAACATTGAGAGCATGAACATATCTAAGAAACCTTATCTTGACATTTCCCCCGCCCCCTTCCCAATCTAACCTCAGTAATCTGAGACAAAAATTGTACCTTGAACTTCCAGTCCAAATAAACAGTCGCAGATGATATAAGGCACTGATTAGTGTTAAACTTTCATTTCAAGACAACAACACTAGTAAACAACAATAATTATAATAAATACTAATAAGCAATTGCAAGACTATGGCGTTTATAAAAGTAGGAGTTTTAGCTTTAGTATTGCTATTTTCAACAGTGGTAAGTACCTTTAACTTGATTGGTCTCATCTAAGTTATGAATTCAAAAAAAACTGCATTTTTTACAAGAGTGTTTTAATACGTAAATGCATTTCATTTATGATTTTTTGTATCGGCTATGTCTAAATGCGCACTTCAATATATTTTAAGATGTTTTTCTGTGTCTTTCTGTAAAGAACTTTAAATAAGCTAGGCATTAACTTTTGATTTTTAAATATTTGTCTTTGTAGTCGAGTGCATCACCAAGGTCTAAGAGAAGTTTTATGGACCATGGCAAATGGTGTGGAACCTTGAACACTAAATTAGGATCCCCAGGGTGTAACTGTGAGGCAGGCATAGAGAAATGCAGGTAAAACTTTTTACACACTTTCAAACATGAGGATACCCTTTGAAAGCTCATTTTGCATGTATAATTAATAGACTCTGATTAGGAGATGATTCTTTAATTTATTCCTATTTCAAATCAATGCCCAGAAATATTGACATTCTGTCGGTACCATTTCACATTCAATCATTTCAACATTTATTTGACATTGACAAGATTTTATCAACATCAAAACTGAAAAGTTGTAAGAAATAGTCAGAGTGCAGTGTGATTAGTTGAACTAAGGGTTAATGCGAGGAATGAAACATGCACCCAATAAATGATAAACAAATGTTGCAACCTTGACTCGTGATACCAATTAGAGAAAATGAGAGTTTTATTTTAGCCTCTTGACTTAAAAAACGAAAACATTCATAATGTCAAAAAATACTTCAATACTTTTAATAGATGTCATAACTGTTAATGAAGTATTTGGCCAACACTCTAGTACTAGGTAGGGTGTTTATGATATGAATATTTACTTCAGAGAGTTGTACCCTCCCATAGATGAACTGGATGAGGTATGTCTCTCTCATGACTGGTGTAGCCGATGCCCAAGCAACCCTGCAGTGGAGAGCTACCGCCCGCTTCACTGGTGCCAATGTGAGCAAGACATATACACTAATGCCAATAGCGCCACCTGTTATACATCTCACTGTGATGGATACAAAGCCGCAATGAGGCTTTTCTTCAAGTATGTGCCATGTGTATGTGAGCAGGAGGGGAAGTGCGGCTTGGAATGGTGCACCAAGACAATATTCGGAACAGAGATAAGCTATCCATGTGGACATGTTTCTTGTGAAACTATATCAGTAGTAAGCAGATTCTCAAAATGCCAAAACATAAATTAAATACTGCTGGGCTAACTAGACTTTGGCTGCTATAAATAATTGCACATACAGCAAAACCTGTGTAAGTGGAACACATCTGGTATATCTGTGGTTCCACAGGCCCGTAGCCAGGGGGGCTCGCAATCCCTCCCCCCCGGCCAAAAATTCTTTCAAAATCATGCAGTTTTTCACCATTTTGAGCACTTCTCAAGTAATTTTGGCCATATTTGGACCAAAATTGTCAAATGTGAACCCCCCCCTGGAAATTTTTGAAAACTGAACCCCCCCCCTTGGTAAATCCTGGCTACGGGCCTGTTCCATGTGAGAAGTGTTCCACTTAGAGAGGTTCATTTAGACAAAAGATCATGGTATTCCACTCTAAAGGTTTTACTGTACATTGCAGCTGAAATGAGTATTTTGCAAAATTTCATGAAAAAACAAGTTGATTTGAATGTTAACATCTGCTAAAATAAATCAAAATTGTTAGAAAATATACTGAACTAGGGACATGTGTGAACTGACAAATATATGCCAAAATTGAACATCAAATTTTTACAATAAAAGTTGTGTGTTGTCATACCTGTTAAAGTGTAGTTCATTGCAATTCTTTGAATGTGCTGATATCCCATCCCATTGTAAGTAGCTAACATTAATTAAACTTAGATTTTGGGTTAAAAGCCATAGCAACATTTTAGATGGGGACTCAACATAAGTTCAATTTGTCTAGCCTACCTTGTTGCAGAGTAATCTCATCAGGAGCTAGTCCTGTTAGCTCGCTTGCTTTCTCTAAAGCCTCATTTATGTCACGCCCTGCTACCCATACGACCTCATCATCATCCTAATAATGTAAATGTCCAATCTATAGTGCAAAGTCAAAAAGAAAAACTTGCCATGTGGACGCTGCCGAGTCAAGCTCAATACAAAACTCACTCTGCGAGGTTGAAATGCTAAAGTAATATGGAAGTCTGCAATGTGATATCACCAATATTTGCTTGAAGCGTTCATACTAACTGTAAATTGGTTTGCTGGGTTTACAGAAGTGTTCACATTGAAGCTACAGAATGAAATGTTCAAATAAATACAAATGTACATTAGTATGTAACATACAGAACAGCACTCAATATCTCAGTATCTGGAGATGAACAGTTTGTAGAATATTTCACTGTACAAACATATGACGCAAACAATGAATGTTGTACCTGAGGTGTCTTGCAGATTCTATATGCAGGAACTCTATGACCCCACCATAGCTGCCGTGAGATACACCAGTCTCTAAAGGCAAAAACATTGAACTGTATGATACACTGCATGGATGACATATATCATCAAATTATCACAGAATAATCAAATTGAATTTCTCTCCTTTGACCCCAGCTTTTGACTTATCTAAAATATTTCATTCAATGCAACTATACATATTCTGAAGAAGACTATTAAATGAGAATATTAAATCAGAGTTGTAAATTGTATCGCAAATTCACTTACTTGATATTTTTCAACCATTCGTTCCAAACTTTTTCATAAAATTCTGGGTATAGTTTCAACTCTTTAGTTTCTATAGCTTCTACAGCATTTTTAGCCATATTGTTGCAGTCAACATACCACTGCGGCTTAAGGCGAGGCTCAATGATGTCTCCAGATCGACTAGAATTGAATGAGAAATAAGTGTAAATGGTATTTAAATATTTCAGAATTTTTAACTTTGTATAAGGACTAATGAAAGCCAAAGAGTTTCTAAAAGTGTTTATTTTTTAAGACCCTCTTCATGTTGGATTCTCCTTTTTACAAATACCTTTTTATTTATTTTATTTAGGTGTTCAATGACAGGTTTTACAGTACATGTACCATACCTGCAAACAGGGAGACTCATGGGGTGGCTCCTAATTTCCTTTAGAAGTCCCAGCTCTTTTAAAGCATTGGCCACCCTATACCTGGCCTCAAACCTCTTCATATCCTAAAAGTGGGGAAGAAAACATTAAGGAGGTAAAACTACACATTTTGAGAGAACTTGTACAAGACCATGTAGAAATATGGTCATCTAGGGATTGTTTCTCCCCTTTGAATTATTTCCTTGCCTGACTGAGAATAAAGGTATAAGAATGTAGTCATTATACACAGTCAGCACTATCAATGGTATATTCTAAAAGTGAATAGATCTCTAATAAATAGAGGAAAGTCCACAAGGCATTTGTGACAATATTTTCCGGAAGTGTTATATTTCCATTTATCGTTCAAACTGTGACATTTATGCTAATAATTCGACATGTATATGATTCTTACATACCCAATACGATAACAAACGTTACTAACATACCAAATGAAAGGTGATTTCCTGGTAAAACTTGCAAAAGTTGGTCCAAATTCACACTCGAACCATCCACTTCCTCCAATGGCGCATGCACAGCCCGATGTAAAAAATTAAACCTATCTGATTGGTTGTTGTTGTAAACAGTGGGAGTTTTAAAAAATGGAGGTGTCACTACGGTAAATCATTGAAAAATATTGAAAAAAATCACAAAATTCAAGTTCTGGGCTACATATCGCCATTTTCGAACGAACTGGCCCATACAATGACTATATCCATAACCTTCATCTTTACACTATATTTAACATAGGGTTTGCGTCTCGATTTTTAAATATCACTACGCCAACATAGGGACTCATTTTTAGGTAAAATCCCTGCTTCACCGATGAAAATTAACGAATAAAGTAGTTCCAGTTTACGGGACTATATTCTTGCGATTCAATTCTAAAAATGGCACATTTAGAAAGTACTTGGCCTCAGCTTTACATACATACCTCAAATGGCCACAATGCATATACTTAAACCTACTATACACAGTGACACCATTGAAGTTGGCATGGCTTCGTTTTTAAAGTATTAAAAACACGTCCTACCCGGAAGTGGTATTTACCGTAATAACACCTTAAGGTGCTATGGAAGTTAACAGGAAATGACAAAACAGGAAGTGACAATTTTTTTTGCATTTTTAGACATTTTTTAACAAAGATAACAGAGTTGTGTGTTGACCTCCAGTCGATTCAACTAGTTCCAAATACCATTTACAGGTCCAGGATCACAATGTGCAGGGTCAGAATGACCCTAAACATGATGAAATAACCTTTTTAGCCCTTTGAAAGTGTGACTGAAAAAAAGCTAAAAGTAGGAGCTAGGGAAGGTCACTGAACAGAATCTTTTGAATTTTTCAGAAAATGTGCCTAATATAACGCTCTAACTGATACAATCTTTGAAATTTTAGAAAATTGTCTTAAACAAAAATGACAGTCATAAAAAGGAAAATTAATCGCTTTTAAAATTAGTTTTTTCATTTTTTTTCTTTTTCCATGAATGATATCAAATTTTCAAAGATTGTATCATTTAGAGCAGTATATTGGGCACATTTTCTGAAAAATTCAAAAGATTCTGTTCAGTGACCTTTCCTACTCTCCTACTTTTAGCTATTTTTCAGTCACATTTTCATAGGGCAGAAAACGTTATTTCATCATGTTTAGGGTCATTCTGACCATGAACATTGTGATCCTGGACCTGTAAATGGTATTTGGAACTAGTTGAATTGACTGGAGGTCAAAACAGAACTCTGTTATCTTTGTTCAAAAAATGTCTAAAAATGCCCAAAAAATTGTCACTTCCTGTTTTGTCATTTCCTGTTAAGTTCCATAGCACCTTAATATCCAAAAATGGGAAAATTTTACTATCATAATTTTTCCTCATTCAGCATTTTTTCAAACAATTGAGTTATTTCAGGCTCAAAACAGCTGCATTTCAAACTTTTAAAACGTTTTCTACAAAATCTAGCCATATTTGGGGAAATAGGTGAAGGCTGAGTCTCTAAAAACGGGCCAAAATGACCTAAAATTGGGTCATCAACTTCAGGGATCTCATTCAAAAATTTTGGAAGCAAATTCCCCGAGATTATTTCATTTTGTAAATCATTATAGCAATGCATTTCAAGTATTACACAGAATGTACTTAAATGTAGGTTACTAAATGCAAATATTTTGAGTCAAATGTGGTCCCCATGTGCAAAATTGGCCCTTTTCTCCCCCTTTACGCCAGTTAGGCCCCAGTGTAGTGTGACATCAAACTCATGCCATTGCTACAATGTAGCAATTTACAAATTAATCATGATTACTCCTCCTGTGGTAGTTGAACACTGTTTTTGCATCACGATATTCCCCAGTGTGTTGACTGATTACACGTCAGCTTACTTAGTTACTTACTAAGTACGCAATAACCACCGTCAAAGACCTGCCGGCACCTATTTTTTGGGCTGGTGATGGAATATTACAAGGGCAATACGAGAAGAATTCAATTTTTCAGAATTTCATAATAATTATAGGAGATCTTACGGTAGTTTGAACAAGAATACTGTTATTTCCAGCAGAAATATGGTAGATTTTCAAATATTTACGGTATATTTTACGGCCGTTCTTATGGAAAAAATCGAATGATAATAAAATATTTTACGGTAGATTTTGGTAAAGTTACAGCAGATTTTTTACGGTCGTTTTTACAGGAAAAAACGGTAATTTTTTAACTGAAAAACGAATATTTTTTGGTTGATTCCCGTAAAAATACGGTAGGTTGGCTGGTATGAGTTACCATGGCAACCGTGGAAATGGGTAAAAAATGAAAGCAAAAAACACCCAGACCCGCCATAATGGCACTAATTTTCAAAATATTTCGAGACATACAAATTTTTTTCCACTTTGATATCGTCTAGAACACTTCGAGACAACAAAAATATCAAAATTTTTTGGAAGGTTTATCACTTAAATTTTTTGCAAGCCTTGGTCAAAGTAAAACTACGAAAAAAGCACTCATTTTCCATTTAGAATCACCTATTATCGCCCAAATGGCTATATGTTGTCAAGGTCGCCATGTTAAAAGTAAAATTACGGAGCTAGATCTGCTCTTCAGACAATGTTTGATAGCTTTCCTTTACCATGGAACAAAGATCTTTGCACTGGCAACACTGGTATGCCCATTTCCATGAGATAATGCACGTGAAAGAGGAACAGTGTCTTTAAATGTCATCAAAACTTTTTCGCACTACTTTTGGTGTAATAATACCATCTGATTGATTGTTGGTGTAAACAGTGAGTCGGGATTCCCGGGATTTGGGCTTTAGGATACTATTTTACACTGAACGGAATGTATCGACGCAGTTGTGAAACCAAAATGACGAACAGTTTTTGAACTTCTGTATTTATCTATTATAAGGTAGAGTATACCATTGATAGTGCTGACTTTGTCATTATATTATAATATTATGTGTTCATTTTTAAGTTCATGTGTCACTTAACCTCTCAAACACTGCACCTAACCATTGTATACAAGGCTGTCATTATTTCATTGAGAAATATTTTTCATAGGCACACAATGAATGGATTAATTCATACCGAAAATTCACCACAATTCTTGTTCATCTTTCCATCATCGTCTAAGATGTTTATAGATGGCAGAGCATGTCTTTTCCCAAGGTCAAAGTCATTTGAATCGTGGGCTGGAGTAATCTTTACAGCACCTGTTGAATAAATTACTACAAAACATGTACAAAGGATTTTGAAGAAATCATGAACATCATTAATAAATATTTTCAGATATTCAGAAATACAGGTTTTACTGCACTTGAATATTGTATATAAAACTGTTCAAAACTGCAATGTTTTACATACAATACATGTAACCATAGTTACCTGTTCCAAATGCCATGTCAATTTGAGAGTCACAAACAACAGGAAGGAGTTTATCCAGGAACGGATGTCTTACATGTGTACCATGTAGATGCTTGTATCTGTTGTCATCGGGATGAACTGCTACAGCTGTATCTCCTAGCATGGTTTCTAAGCGAGTTGTAGCAACTACAATCTCTTCTGAAGGAAATAATCATTACACTATCACAGTTGAAGAATAAGTAGAGTGTTTACAGGTATTTCAACCAGAAATCAAAAATTCATGAAAAATGACCACACAACAACAAATTCATGAAAAATGTTCTAACACAATTAATTGTATAATTGCTTTGACTTCATGGACCTCTATCCATGGACTTTTTAAGTGTGATTGCCCTTACTCATTGGCATCTTGCAAAACTAGGAAAATTGGGAATACATGTAGGCAAAGATTAAAGTGTGCGCCAAACTTTAAAACTGCGCAGGTGCAGCGCTCTCGCTAACCTATATAAAGAGATTACAGGGTACAGGCTTCAGAGGTAAGCCAGGAAGGTGAACAACTATCGTCCCGTGTTGATTTCCCGTATAATCGTAACCAGGCAAGTTTCACCATTGGAATTGAAAATGACTATTAGATATACTTTATATGTGAAGGTATTAAGTGTATGCATCAATCAAATGTCTCATTTTGAACATATAAAAAGTATTTGTGTTTTGTTTCCCAGGGAATTGTATTCACATGTAGTACACACATAAATAGTGTACATTATGTTGCACTTGAATAGCCTGGCTTATATAATATTGAAGGGCATGCTGATTGTACACATGAGTACATGCATGAAGGCCTAATATTGATATTGCTTGCATACCTAAGTAAAAATAAACTCTTCTAATCCCCTAATGTAAACACGGTGGTATACGTAGCCCGATTTATCGGGGGCTTTAAGATACCTAACCCTACTATCACACCAAACTAGTTCTCACTACGTTCTCGAAAACCGGCTTAAACTTTGCACGAACGGATTTGACGTACTAAGAACCCACTAAGAACCGATTGGGATCTGTTTACAAACTTCATGAAACTACTAGAACAAGTAGGTCCTCCAGCACTTAGAGCATGCTCAAAATTTTCTGGTGATCGTCAAAACGTTGCCGAATCGGTTTTAAACTGTGTGCGAACTGAATGAACGTAGCTACAACGTTCTACGGTCTGTTTACGAACTTAAGGACTTTCCCGGACGGGGTATGTAATTTAGAATTTTGAATCGATTCAAAATTCGATGGCGACCATACCATTCTGTAATCAGGTCATGATGACCTTCTATACTAAGGGACGGTTTATACTACGTTGCACACCGACGTGGTGCGACCTGAACGAACTGCGAATGAGATGGACGTATTGAAGACTATTTATGAACGAAGTAGCTAATTATTTTAGACATATATCCCGACCGCAGCCAGATTGAGCCCGTTTTACAACATTTTCGTTGGACTTGCAAGAACAGGTAAGAACTAGTTTGGTGTGATAGGGGGGTTACATACAAGTATACTGTAGTTGGGACAATTCACTCAGAATTTGAATCTACTACAGAAGAACCTACATACCTGATGAGGTGTCCACAGGATAAGCAAAGTGAGTCAAGGTACCAAACTCTAATTTACTATTATAGCCAGGTACTTTCAGTTTTGTCTTTCCTTCCAGTTCTATGATATCAACCTAAAATAAATATAGTGTACCGGTATTGGGATTCATTTTCTTTTGTTTTACTCTGTAGAGTTTCACCTTATCTTTTAAGAGAATAATGCGCCAGGATGTTACTGAGAATACATATTCAATATAAATGTCTTGTACATCTGAACACCTGTGTAATATGAATACCTCACAATTTGAACACTTTCTCTCAGTTCCAATTGTATAATCTCCACTTGACTCTTTTCTTAAAGAAACCTTGAAATGTCAGGCCCGTAGCCAGGGGGGGGGGTCACAAGGTTCAGGCAACCCCCCCCCCCCCCCCTGGCCAAAAGTTCTTTCAAAATCATGCAGTTTTTCACCATTTTCAGCACTTCTCGTGATTTTAGCCATATTTGGGCCAAAATTGTCAAATGTGAACCCCCACTGGAAATTTTTGAAAACTGACCCCCCCCTTGGCAAATGCTGGCTATGGGCCTGAATGTAAACACCTGAGCCAATGTCTACAATGCATTGGTAGTTGCCTGTTTAGATAATTCAATAAGGTTTACTCTCTAAATTACAAATCAAAACTTTTGAAACACTTGTGTTTTCTAAACACTACCTCTATATCTGAAATTGCAGATTTCAGTGAACAGGACCAATTGACCAATCGGTTGCTTCTGTAGATTAAGCCCTGATCATGGAGTCTAACAAATGCTTCTGTGACTGCTTTGGATAAATGCTGGAAGTATATAATGTGCCACATCATTTTCAGATGGGGCATATATCCAAAGATAGTCAATAATTTTTTTTTTTTTTTTTTTTATTCATAGAATTTATTTTACAAATACATAAAGTACATAAACATTATACACTTGTAGTGGCTTTGCTGAAGGCATGATCAGCCACTTGATAGTCAATAATCAGTGACGTCATATTTGTAATGACAGAAGGTATGTTACTAGGATTGTTACCTAACCTTCAAATAACTGAAAGCATGATTACAGTTATATTTCGCGTAAACTCCTAATATGTACTTACAGGGTCAAGTGTAAATGCCTCCTTACTCCAATCAAGAGATGATCCAAGTTTTCGCATCTGTTGGAATATTTCCCCTCCTTTCCTGAAGAGCATGATAGAAATATACAGTAGTTACTAGTAAATGTTTGAAACCTATCATCTTTAATTTAAGTTCATCGGACATTTCTTCTCACTGTGTTCCACATGTAAATATACAGTCTTTAAAAAACTTACTCATTTTTCCATTTCCACACTTCTTTGAGAAATTCTTCACGTCCTAAATCATGACGTGTCTTCTTTTGTTCTTTCCAAAGTTTTTTTTCAACAATGACTTGTGTAGCAATCCCGGCATGATCGCACCCTGGCACCCATAGTGTCTGTCTCCCATTCATTCTGTGCCTAGGTACAGTAACCACGGGGTACCATCGAATAATTTTGGCAACGTATCGGAGAATGACATTTTACTAAGAAATGGCAATAATTTAGCACAATATATTTTTTAACTAGAGTTCTACTTTGATTTTGACAAAAGTAAGTATTCCATGCAATGGCTATTTCATTCATGAGTTTGTAGGAATTCTGTTGGAACCCAGTTCTGATCAAGTACGAAGTTATTGAAATCGGCGCAGTCGGACTTTACTCCGAAAGATGGTTTTTCGATTATAACTTTTTACAACATTTAATTAAGTATAGACTTTTGAAAAAAGTACAGAATAGTCCTTATACTATTGAATAATTCTGTTATTTCTAATTCACACGACTCTGATTTGTTTAATTTAAAAAAAAGTTTTAAAAATATTACTTAGGAACGTAACCGGAGCTGGGAACGTAACCGGAGCAGATCAGTTGAATTATATAATTTAAAAAAATAAAATATATGATTTAAAGCATATATATTAATAAATACGCATTCGAACAATCCCATATGTTTTTAAATTAGTATATGTACTTTAAATCATATATTTTAATTTTTTTGATTAAATAATTCAACTGATCTGCTCCGGTTACGTTCCCAGCTCCGGTTACGTTCCTAAGTAATATTTTTAAAACTTTTTTTTTAATTAAACAAATCAGAGTCGTGTGAATCAGAAATAACAGAATTATTCAAAAGTATAAGGACTATTCTGTACTTTTTTCAAAAGTCTATACTTAAATGTTGTGAAAAGTTATAATCGAAAAACCATCTTTCGGAGTAAAGTCCGTCTGCGCCGATTTCAATAACTTCGTACTTGATCAGAACTGGGTTCCAACAGAATTCCTACAAACTCATGAATGAAATAGTTATTGCATGGAATACTTACTTTTGTCAAAATCAAAATAGAACTCTAGTTAAAAAATATATTGTGCTAAATTATTGCCATTTCTTAGTAAAATGTCGTTCTCCGGTACGTTGCCAAAATTATTCGATGGTACCCCGTGGTAACATATAAATAAAATATAGAGTAAATTAGTTAATACAGGTTATTGTTTTCAGATTTAGATTTAGATTAATCATTTTAGAGGAGGGCTAGGCTGATAAAGCAATATTCCCACTCCTCTTTACACTATAAAGACTGTAGACAAATATACCTTTATTTACACTGAAGTCAATTCTGTTGATCTGGGAGTGAAATGGAATGCATATCTTGATCAAACATGAGCTACCATGGCAACCATATATATATGTCAAGATTTAGGGACAAAAAATTATGTCATTTTAAAGTAAAGCTTTTTTTCTTTAGAATTTAAAAACATCCCACTTACTGAACTTTTAAACTTTTAAGGCATGTATTTTCAAAAAGCTTTAAATTGGCGATATTCCATTACATTCATGGACTTTGATTATTTTACGGTTGAAAGTTATGAACTTTTATATCAGGAATTTTCAAATAGCTTTACATTGGCCATATTCCTTTACATTATTGGACTTAAAATATTTCACGATGCAACGTTGTGAACTTTTAATGCAGGCATTTTCAAAAAGCTTTACATTGGCCATATTCCTTTACATTCTTGGACTTCGAATATTTTACGATCTAATGAGGTGAAATATTACAGCATGCATTTTCAAAAAGCTTTACATTGGCGAAATCCCATTACATTCTTGGACTTAGATTATTTTGCGATTGAAAGTTGTGAACTTTTATAGCATGCATTTTCAAAAACCTTTACATTGGCCATATTCCTTTACATTCTTGGACTTAGATTATTTTATAATATATAGAAGTGTAATTTATGGCATGCATTTTCAAAAAGCTTTACATTGGCCATTTTCCTTTACATTCTTGGACTTAGATTATTTTACGATATAGAGAACTGAAATTTATGGCATGCACTTTCAAAAAGCTTTACATTGGCCATTTTCCTTTACATTCTTGGACTTAGATTATTTTACGATATAGAGAACTGAAATTTATGGCATGCATTTTCAAAAAGCTTTACATTGGCCATTTTCCTTTACATTCTTGGACTAAGAATATTTTGCGATTGAAAGTTGTGAACTTTTATAGCATGCATTTTTAAAAAGCTTTACATTGGCCATTTTCCTTTACATTCTTGGACTTAAAATATTTTGCGATTGAAAGTTGTGAACTTTTATAGCATGCATTTTTAAAAAGCTTTACATTGGCCATTTTCCTTTACATTCTTGGACTTATATTATTTTACGATCTATAGAAGTGAAATTTTATGGCATGCATTTTGAAAAAGCTTTACATTGGCCATTTTCCTTTACATTCTTGGACTTAGATTATTTTACGATCTATAGAAGTGAAATTTTATGGCATGCATTTTCAAAAAGCTTTACATTGGCGATATTCCTTTACATTCTTGTACTTAGATTATTTACGATATATACTTGATAACTTTCAAGGCATGTATTTTCAAAAAGCTTTACATTGGCCATATTCCTTTACATTCTTGGACTTAGATTATTTTATGATGTAAACTTGTGAACTTTTATAGCAGGCATTTTCAAAAAGCTTTACATTGGCTATATTCCTTTACATTCTTGGACTTCGAATATTTCACAATGCAAAGTTGTGAACTTTTAATGCAGGCTTTTTCAAAAAGCTTCACATTGGCCATTTTCCTTTACATTCTTGGACTTAGAATATTTCATGAAGCCAAAGTGTGAACTTTTTATGCAGGCATTTTGAAAAAGCTTTACATTGGCGAAATTCCATTACATTCTTGGACTTACAGGTAGATTATTTTACGACCTTACGAGGTGAAATTTTACAACATGCAATTTTAAAAAGCTTAACATTGGCCATATTCCTTTACATTCTTGGACTTCGGTTATTTTACGATCTATTAGAAGTGAAATTTTATGGCATGCATTTTCAAAAAGCTTTACATTGGCCATTTTCCTTTACATTCTTGGACTTAGAATATTTTACGATATATACTTGATAACTTTTAAGGCATGTATTTTCAAAAAGCTTTACATTGGCCATATTCCTTTACATTCTTGGACTTAGAATATTTCACGAAACAAAGTTGTGAACTCTTAATGCAGGCATTTTCAAAAAGCTTTACATTGGCGAAATTCCATTACATTCTTGGACTTAGATTATTTTGCAATTGAAAGTTGTGAACTTTTATAGCATGCATTTTCAAAAAGCTTTACATTGGCCATATTCCTTTACATTCTTGGACTTCGGTTATTTTACGATCTATTAGAAGTGAAATTTTATGGCATGCATTTTCAAAAAGCTTTACATTGGCCATTTTCCTTTACATTCTTGGACTTAGAATATTTTACGATATATACTTGATAACTTTTAAGGCATGTATTTTCAAAAAGCTTTACATTGGCCATATTCCTTTACATTCTTGGACTTAGAATATTTCACGAAACAAAGTTGTGAACTCTTAATGCAGGCATTTTCAAAAAGCTTTACATTGGCGAAATTCCATTACATTCTTGGACTTAGATTATTTTGCAATTGAAAGTTGTGAACTTTTATAGCATGCATTTTCAAAAAGCTTTACATTGGCCATATTCCTTTACATTCTTGGACTTAGATTATTTTACGATCTATAGAAGTGAAATTTTATGGCATGCATTTTGAAAAAGCTTTACATTGGCCATTTTCCTTTACATTCTTGGACTTAGATTATTTTACGATCTATAGAAGTGAAATTTTATGGCATGCATTTTCAAAAAGCTTTACATTGGCAAAATACCATTACATTCTTGGACTTAGAATATTTCACGAAGCAAAGTTGTGAACTTTTTATGCAGGCATTTTCAAAAAGCTTTACATTGGCAAAATTCCATTACATTCTTGGACTTAGATTATTTTGTGATTGAAAGTTGTGAACTTGATAGCATGCATTTTCAAAAAGCTTTACATTGGCCATATTCCTTTACATTCTTGGACTTAGATTATTTTACGATCTATAGAAGTGAAATTTTACAGCATGCATTTTCAAAAAGCTTTACATTGGCCATATTCCTTTACATTCTTGGACTTAGATTATTTTACGATCTATAGAAGTGAAATTTTACAGCATGCATTTTTAAAAAGCTTTACATTGGCCATATTCCTTTACATTCTTGGACTTAGATTATTTTACGATGTAAACCTCGACTTATGTTCTTTTACATGTACCTACATGTATGTGTACTTCTGAGTAATTTGAAATTAACAATCAAATCAACAAATATTCACATATCATATAAGCAGATGTCAGGCGAAATTACAATAAGATATTCTGATCGATAGAGTATTTGGTTATAAAACCGGAAGTGTTTTCTCTGAGGTCGGCGCGTCAAATTCAATACATGTATTCTACTTTGGATATAAGTATTGGCCGGTGCATCCTCTCGATTAATATCTATCATTGGGTGCTTTCAACACCATATTTTTCTAATGTTATCGCAAAATAGTCCATAAAATGAAGGAAATGTTTCAAAGTTAAGAATTTTGATCGGCATTTACCAAAAGAGCTTCTGCGCATGAGTTCTGCGCATGTCAAAAGCCCATCAAACTTTCTCATTTCTTTTAACATTTCTTGCCTTTTACACGACTTTCCCACCTGGAATCATGATCTATCATCAAATTGAAAATATAAGGTACAACTTTAGATCGATTTTCAACCATCTCTTGTGAAAGTATTTAAGATGATCGGGGAAAACAATCCCGTCTATTTGAGGGGCTCTGTTGGGAATTTCTTCAATCACTATCTGTACTATTGTCTATGCAAGTTCATTTCTTTATATTAGCGATCTTTACTGTATTCTCTCCAATGACATATGGTTTTTACAATTCTACATGTACTGTACGTCGTGAAAGAACAGAATCCAAGAAATACCAAATAATCTATAAGTTAAAATAAGTAAAGGAAAGGGGACACTGTAAAGCGTGGAAATACATGTACAGCTTTCTATGAGAGTTCACAACTAAATCATA